TTTGTGTTGCTGCGTCCGCCCCCCCGCCGCCGGCCCGGGGGGCGGGGGCGGGGGGGGGGGGGGGGGGGGGGGGGGGGGGGGGGGGGGGGCTTTCGTCTATCCTAGACGGAATCTGGAGTCGGTCCGCATCAGACCCGCTCTCGCTCATGCGGGCGCTACGTACCTGGGTATAGCGTCAGCCAACTACTTCCAGTAGCGCCCCAGATCAAGACCGGACCTTTTTCAGACCCTTTTCAGACTTCTTCTTCAGACAGACCTTGTTCAGACCTCGTCCAACCTACCTAGGTACCTAGCTATGTAGGTATCATGTACACGTGGGCCCACGGCTATGGAGCACACTAAGAATGTTCTTAGGTACTTATAGTAGTAGTACGCAATGGTGCTTGCTCAAATTACTACTCCGTTATAGTGGCATGTACAGCACTTTAGTGTACCGCAAGTCCAATCGGCAGGGAAAACAGGCTTTGGTACACTAGAACAGGGAAAAGAACAAATTGCACACGCACGCTTTGGTTTTCTGCGCTTCTGCGCTTCTGCCCAGGCCCTGCGACAGCCTGCCCACGGACAAGACGCTACTCGACCAGGCTTAGCTCGGCCAGCTGAGAATGCCCACATGCATTTACATACAGTAGTGCTCTGGTTTACTACTTATACAGTAAGTAGCCGCCGCAAGGGGCAGGCAATGTTGGAGGTGGAAGGCGAAGGGGAGAAGGCCAGAAAAGAAGCGATTCTGCAGAACGTCTGCCATTATCATCCAGTCTGGCCCAAGTCTGATCCAATCTCTCTCCAAACTACGAAGTACAGTATATTACTTACAGTACTAGGTGTGCTCTTTTCTCGATGCGGTAGTCAGGGCGAGGCATGAGCCACACATACTGCCGAGTCGGACAATCGTTGCTACATAGTTGGAAGCACGTAGGTCTCAAAGATATCCCAAAGAGGAAACCATCCGACTCCCATCACGAGGAGCTGTAACCATGGAGATACACAATACACACTAAGTACCATGTATTTTACTAGGTATGTTCTACTAAGTATGTAAGTACTTGTTATATTTGCATTAAGTACATACTTAGGGACTCAATGGGGAGACAACGACAACAAAGAGTTCAGGGTTCGGCTAGATCGCTTAGTCAAAATACCGCAAATGAGTTGGATAGAAAGCCAGCTAGATAGGTATTCATTCATTACCACAACCTGCCCTACGCTACGCTGCGCTACCGCCAGATTCCAAGAACTAGCAATTGATGGTTATGGCGCTACATGGACGGCAGCTAGTTTCGGCCACCTCGTGTGTGTATCTTGGTATCTTGGTATCTTGGTATTCGACAGGATACCAACAGGAAGGGACACATTTAGCCCGCTTCAGCCGAGGGGCAGGCCAGAATTAATGACACCAGGATTGCACTACCCGGTACGTACATACACTACTGTACATATATATCAGGACGACAAGGGGTTGCTGGCCCTGGTGGAGTTGCAGCGGTGAGATGATTAAGCCCCCAACGCTTCTAGTGTCATCGCTCGCTCGCCTGGGTGCTGTTCCTGGCATCCTGGCACCCTGGTATGATGTACATACAGCATAGCGGAGCGCACGTATTACAATCCTCGCTTGTCCGGCCAGTCGATGGTCATTGACGGATAGGGAGCGGGAGAGGCACAGACGGAGAATGGGGTCGCATGGGGGAGATGCAGAGTCGGGGGGGGGCAGAAAATAAAATAAAATAAAATCATGAAAAGAATAATACAAGATCACAAACCCATCGAGCAAGTGAACCCGAACCCGCCGCACACAACCCTCACCACTCACACCTTCGATGCCCGCACCAATTTCATATTGGAGATGCAACCGTTGGAATAGTACGACCCACACACGTGTTCATACGCTCCTCTACTAACTTCATACAATGTAGACGACTGCACTAGCCAGAGACCCTGTCGGATGGACATGGTTATGATCGCTATCGTGTACCATGTACTTCGCCATGTACTTCGCCATATACTTCCTGGATCGACCCTGTGTAGCTCTCGACGGAGGTATCAGTTTGTACTCCATACGCTTGCTTGCTACTAATTATGACAGAGTGACAAAGCCGGCTCGCGCAGAATGGCCGTCCACAGAGTAACTATAGGTATACCTCCCACTAGATGTCAAGGGGGTAGCATATATACAAGAACATGCCGCTCTGGCTTCCTTCAATGGCTCCCACAACCTCAATTCCTTGATGTCATCATACGAATACAGACTCGACAACCCTAAGACCCCTCCGAGACCAGTGGAGAGAAATCCTTCCATTGTTCCACGTGAGTGATCATATACTTTTCGGAGGGCAATCGACAATAATCCGGGTGCTCATCCGCGGGCCTGTCTTCAAGTATAACTCTACGACTTGAATTAGCAGAGCTATCTCATCCGTTTTGTTCGCCTAATCACCATGGCGGGCACATATGCCGGCAGCGTGGAGCGAGACTCGCAGACACCACTGCTTGAAAAATCTACTCAGGCCTACATTGAGGAATCTGAGACGAGCGAGTTCGGGTCCAGAAGCCGCGTTGGCAAAATTGCATACATTCCCAAGCTGATATGGATCTTTACGGAAAGCAATTTCGACACCTTCGTCATACCAAACACAGCGTTTGGTGTCCTCGGCGCCTTCGCCGCCTCTATACTTGTGGAGGGATATCAGAAGCCACCAACTGCCCTCGAGATCCTCTGGCGATTCCCCCTCGCCTTGGCTTTCAACTGGTATAGCGTCTTCATCTTCGATCTCGCGAACCAACGATCTCCTGAATCCATCCAAGAAGACTTGATCAACAAGCCATGGCGTCCAATTCCTACGGGCAAGGTTACAGCGACTGAAGCTCGCCGTATCCTGCTCGTAGCTATTCCCTTGGTTCTCTTATTCAACTACATGCTAGGCGTCTGGAGGCAGGGATTCATCATCCTTATCCTGACGTGGATGTACAACGATATACGGGGAAGTGACGAAGTGGTTCGTGACCTTATTATCTCCGTTGCTTATGGCATGTTCAACAGCGCCTCGCTAGAGATTGCAGTCGGGGGTGGCGAATACACAGACATTAGCATCAGTCGCGGCGGCTTGATCTGGACGGCCATGATAAGCGCCGTTATTCTGACGACAATGCAAGTACAGGACCTCAAGGACCAGGCAGGGGATAGGACGCGTGGGCGTCAGACCATTGCACTCTGGATAGGTGATCGATTCTCACGTATTACGATTGCCTTCTTCGTTTGCTTTTGGTCGGCTGCCTGCCTCTTGTTCTGGGACCTGAGGCCCTACGGTTATATCATCCCGGCAGCGACGGGGGCCGTGACGGCATATCGAGTACTCTCCAAGAAGACGCCTAAGGAGGACGCCACCACCTGGCGATGGTGGTGCCTCTGGACCATCACACTCTATCTCTTACCGATCCTGAGCCTCATATGACATCCGAGGCCACTCGGTACGACGGTTCGCGCCAGGTTTTGTTTTCTATCCGACGGAGTTGTAATCGGAGGGCGGAAGCTGCATTTACTACACGGGGAACAGGGCGGGCATTGAGGGGCAGGGGAGGTAGCACAAGTCACATGCATGCATGGCTTTTGGCAGCGTGGCGCAGGAGGCTTTGTTTTTTGTTTTATTTTTTTTTTTATTTTTTTGGGGGGGTTTTTTCCAGCGCTGATTGATGCCTGACCTTTTGGTTTTGCGCTGAGTTGCTTACATTGACGACATGACTACGACCACGGCGTTTTTCGGTGTTAGATACCACTCTCTTGAATTGTTTGCTTATATAGTATATATGCATTTACCTGACGTGGGCCAACCCGCCTACGCTTAATACTACTACTACTCACTCATCCGAAACATGGTAAAGAACCGCAATGACACAATCCCGCTGTGCAGGCCCATGTGCGGCGCGACACTCGTGCGTGCCTTGACCGTGAGATCAAGGTCCAGAGCTCCTCCAGTATGCTACTCTAGAAACAAGCCTTGGAACCGCACGATACACTGCACCCAGCTCCCAGCACTCGGACCTGACCTAGCGCCCGCAGCTCATACGCCTGTAGGCCTCATCCGAGGTCCCGACAAAGGAGGCGAGAATAGAATAACAGGGGCTGCTTCTGTTTCTGGACGGCTTCGCGATCTTGCGCTCGGATGGACCCTGTCAGGAGTGCTGTGGGTGTGTTGCATTGGCATCTGGCCCGCGCCAACTCGCGTCTTGTCATTAAGCGCTGGCCGTCCCATTCGTTACCAAGGTCCCATCGGGTCGTGCCGTGCCATGCTCTCAGTCGCAGACCATCATGCGTATCTTTCATGCAATTTGCGCTGCGGTCGCGCCTAATCTCCCGCGCCCAGACAGCAATGGCAACCCTCATGTGGTTCCCCTGATTGCGATATACACCCACGTTTTCCACAGCTATATTACGTACGCACGAGACGCCTGGGAGCAGTAGTGTGTGCCAGGTAGAGATGGGGGACCAGAAAATTACCCACTTCGTCTCTGCTTTCATTCGGCAGCAGTGGAGGAAGTACCACGCAGGTCAGCATATCGTCTTATCTCAGATAAATGCTAATCAAATTTTGGAACGGCCAGCAGCGGAGATGAAATTCAAGCCCGTCCCCCCCAATCTGCCCCCAGACTGTTCCTATCTACGAGTGCTGTTTGCTGGGCTCTCCCCTAACCCTTCGGCACCGGAGATTCTACTTTACGGGGCCGGCATACCGAATACGATCTAGTATTCCAAATCTATTCTCTTAATCCGTTAGGGCGGGAAATGACGAACAGCGTGTTCACATATTTCCCCATCTTTGCGCGTTGCTTAATTAGTACGTCTCTCACCACCCGAGAGGCTGGACCCCTCGACCTTGGTTGCTAACCGTAATTAATATCTACGTCGAATGTAGGTGAAACCGTCATATCATCGACGATGTTAGTCTCGCTTGGCAAGATAATTAATACGATATGCTTACCTACATGTGGCTCTTGTGTAGCGAATATAGCCCAGGCTACTGCAATGAGGATGCTGAACATGAAATCCTACGCCAATTCGACAACAAGCGCACTACCAAAGAGGGACTCCCTGGATCGTCAGTCCCCTCAGAGCAGTACAGTAGTGTCTCCTGTAGTGTTGCATATCTCTACCGTTTCAGGGCCTTCTCTTAACCCCTTCGCGTCCACTTCAGGCGAGGCCGACCGCATCAAGAAAGAAGATCCATCGCCCACTCGCTCAATGCAGATAACAGACATACTGAATACCTTCGGCCGGGTTTCGGCAGAACGTCTAGATGGCTGGCTCACCCTGACTCTATATCAGGTCATTTTTGCATACCATACCGCCTTGCGGTGGAAAGACGACCAACAACAGCTGGTAGCAGATTCGGAAGCCTTAGGCTGTTTCCAAAACATGCTCAGCAAAACGCGCTGTTAGCAGAGACTGCAGGACACTTGATGAATTGACTCCGCAAAACCTCGTAAACTTTCCTTGGAAGGAAGAGCGGCGCTGTACTCGGCTCGAAGACAGGATGCATACTTGTTGGTAAGAAGTGACCAACCTCCTCTCATCTAGTGAGTTTTCGTCGCCGGCAACGGCGATTCCCGACCTCGCTTCGGCGGTAGTGTGGCGAAAACATCACGGACTTCTTCCACAAGATGAACAAAATGATTGTTCATCACGACGATCCATCCCGACTCTACGGCTACACCGCCAGTCGCCACCGTTCGAGTGCATACTATAGTATGCTGAACCTGAAGTATCTATTACATACCGACGATAGTATCTGTACATGTAGACGACCAGACCGAATTCTCCCCTCACTCTCACGGCCCTAGTCGAGAGGTCCGGTGCGGGTCATGCATAACCAACCACTTGTGCCTTTGACTCCTTGCGTCATATGCACAAAGTCTACCGTGGCTCGGGATAGTGTAGGAGTTGGTGCAACGATGGAAAATCTTCTTATGCATGTGATCCCGCTAGCCGGGCCCGGATTCAACGTAGTTCGCCTAGACAACCCACCCACCGACTTGTACGTGGCGCCAGCCAACACATCGGGTCGTTGATTGTCCAGCCATCTCCACAACATTGTGGCCATACTATATCGGTCGAAGGAACAAGAGAGTTTTTCTCTGATCTAAATTTAACAATTGTCTAGATCCTGCTTACGAATCGAGTGGGAAACCGGCAACCAGCTTACTTTGAAGAAGCCATTGATAGAGAATGCGATGGTTAATGGTAGGTTTGCTCAGCTCTAGACTGGGGCGTTCCAGGCCCCAAAATGCTCGATAGTATTAATCACCAGTAATGAGCGGTATAAGTAAGTAGTATTCTTAAATACATCGTGGTTTGTCTGTCTGTTTATCTCTCCAATCACGTGGGAAGTTTAACAGCCGCTCATATGTCGAGGCCACAAGGGTTGTGGCATAGCCAACCCGCAATAAGACACACTAAGGATCTAAGTATTCAAATCGTCCATGACGTGTGTTTCCAGGCCGTCGGAACAGGTCGACCACCTGAGTCATGGAGGTGCAGCTATGCTCTTAGATAGCCAGAATGGCAGTTTTAGCTCACCAATCTTTTCCTCTAAAGAGTATTGTTTGCATTAGCGAGAAAATCTAGGAGTAATGGGCGCTAACCCCTGTGTTGTTTCTTGACTACGGCTTGTTATGATGAGAACACATCTATAACCGCTGTGGCGGATAGGCGAACGTTGTAACCAACCCTTTTCGAATTTAGCAGGAACACTATATTCGTACGCCAGAGACGCCCTTATCAATAGCTTATGTTATGAAGTAAAATATTATTACTCTATTTCATTGATTGACAAAAGCATAGCAGTAGTAAGAGCTCGTAGTCATTGCATACGTTGTTTTCTTTAAATTCTATAGACTCTCTTCAACTTACGACAGTAAAGAGAGAGGTGATGTAACTAAATCTTTCGCCTAGACGTAATTACCAAGCCTAAAATCCGTATAGACAAGCTTAATATCGTTGAAATAACTCGAGACTCAACATACTAAGTCAACCACCGGTCAAATTAATTGTCTAAATACTATAAACTTGCCGTTATGAGCGAATTTGGTGGCTTCAGTCACGTGGTTAAGCGAGTATTCCCTTCTGCACTGTTAGAAGACCCTTCGTGGATTGTCACGATTCTCGGGCTATAGACAAAGAGGCCGCTATATAATTATAGCCCTAGCCTAGGCACGAAGGCTTCAATATCTTCGTGCAATAATGACCATCATAATTACAGGACTCCATGGTTGCAGCTCTCGTATGGATATCTTGAGACTTAGCTTCGACTCTCTACAGCCTCGGTCGCACAGACAGTGCAATTTCCCCGGGAGACTGCAAATTTAGACGAAGAATGTAAATACTGTTGTCGAGCAAGTTTCAGCCTCTCCACTGTACATGGCCGATACTTGAGCATTGAAGTAAATGAGACAGCTCCGTTAGAACTCGACCATCTACAAATTCACTACTATTATGTCATTATATCAGTCATCGGATATCTCCAATCTGAATTTGAAAAGAAACAATAGCCTCACTTATTGACACCAATTCCGTAAGTGAGATCATCACGAGATTATATCTTAGAGACACATATAATTATCTGTTGCGAAACTCAAGTGCTATAAGTGACCCAATTACTAGTATTATTGCCACTAATGAGGCATCACTCTATCCAGGCGTATGAAGCATACAAAGTATTTCTTTCAGAATACTTAACCGAAATAAGATCTCTATGCTCCTACTTAAACATGTGAATTGATGGATGCATCTTCATCCTCAGCCGCGAGAGCTATGAAAACGGAGCTACATATCTCTGTTTAGGATTCGTTGATCGTGTACTACTTTGAGAAGTCAGTTCAACGCTTAAAATCACCAACGTACTGCATACTTCCTAGCATTCACTACGGCGTAGCAGAAGTAGCAATAATATTGTTAGATCTCCATGCTATTTCCTTGTAGAGCGAGCATCAATATTTTTCTGATAAGCACTTGCCTACTGAGCTCCCAACATTGATATGGGGTTAAGGCGAGGCGATCTAGTAGATATAGTCTATACCTTATCAAACTTCGCGTCAAGAGCAGTTCATATTCGCTGGTAGCCGTTATCTATCAGCGAAGGATTCCGTTTCTTACAGTTTCCCTACGCTACGACGAATATCTATTACTTTAAGTCATTATAAACTGCTAAACAACATGGTAGGAGTATATACTGCAACCTACTAGACACGCGCTTTATTGTACCCAGTCATGCGTTAATTTGTCAGGGAGTTCGGATCGATACGCCATACACTCACGTATCGGGCCTGGAATTATTTGAATTGGAGAGTAGTCAAGTAGACGCGATAGAATCATCTTGCTCTTCATACGAAGTACCCGAAGTGCATAAGGGGAGCTGATGAATACGAGAAGTCAAATCACCCGATTATATAAGTCAAACACACTAGATAAGCGCTTACTATCGTCTTTGCCGTGAAGGACACCATCTTCCGAAACAAAAACACGAAAGGATATGTGCACACAGACAGGAGAAGACTGAGGACGTTCCGAAGTCCTGAAACCCTCGCGCCACAATTCCAATCATGCCGTCCCTTATACTGGCCCATAACCACGCAGGAGAAGAAATGACAAAAGAATACTCTAGCAAGGAAGCTATGCACGAGTTAGACTATTTCAGCTCTTGGGCAGCTTTTGGAGAACGGAGTGCTCCAGTAGATAGATTTTACGGCGACTCACTTATGTCGGTGTCAGGGGTGGAGAAAGGATGAGAATTTAGGAGGACAATGACACAAGTAGATTTCCCGTCTTCACCGGCCGAAAGTCTGAGATACATTTCCCACCGGGTTTTATCAAATGATTCATCACCATATCGGTATCTTGTCGAATCACGCTATGAGGCTGAAGCCTATCTAGCTATGAAGCACGATCAAAATTGGTCACCAGGGCGGATGGTTCGCTGCGAACTTTTGCCTCACCAAAGACACCTGAGCTAAGTGGTAGGTAGGTAGTGACTGCTGTAGGTACCGTGACATGGTAGGGATGGTGGTATAGCACCAAAGGTGTTGTTGTGAACGAGCCACCGAGTTGCAGGTGGTTGGTGGGAGGATATACCGACGTCGACGAGAATAAACAGCCGAGTTTCAGTGCCACAACACTTCACTCACTCCATGCATACGCTATTCACTACTAGCAGTGCCCGAAGAACTTGAAGAGGCTCTTTGCGTTTGCGCGCCTGACCAGGTCCAGCCATGAGTAAACTCACTCACTCCTGTTACAATCTTGCCAGCGCCCTGGTATCTTTCACCGGAACCCGGACCCAGATCTCTCCCTGTCCGTCCCCGTCCCCGTCCCCTACCCCTCTCCTCCCGTTCTCGAGAGCAACTTCCTGACAGTCTTCGACAGGGATATCGTTCGCAAACTGCACGACCACGAAGTCGATCGTCGAACCCGCCGGGCCCAGAGCCACCATAGGCGCATGCCAAGTCCCCGCAGCATACGTCACAGCCTGCTCCCCGCTCGCCACAAACGCCCGCAACCCTCTCACATCAGGGAGCCCTCGACCCGGCAGCCCAGTCCCCTCCGGCGCGGGCAAAAGCTTGCCATCGCCATCATCTTCCCTCCTCTCAAGCGTCGGCGCGACGATGACGAGATACCGCTTCGACGTGTCCGCCGTCAGCGGGATGAAAGTCTGCGACGTGAACGGATGACGCTCGAGGACCTTCACCTCGAAGAAGCCGTTTTCTTGGTCCTCCCCCCCGCCTCCGTTGTCTCTGGATACGAGCGTCCGCGCGCCGCACACGAACATCGTCATCCGCGGACTCGCGGCCTTTCGACTGGGCGCTTCGCCATACAGATCCCGCATCGACGCGATCGCTCTGTACTGGATGGCCGTCCCTTGGTTCGCGGAGACGGCACCGCAGGGCAGGTCGCCGCGCGCGATGGCCGCGGGCGGTGTATTCAAGGGTGTGGACTCTGGCCACGGGTTCGCGACAACGTCGCCGAAGGGCGCGAAGCCGGCCCGTGTGAGCGGCTCCGCTGTTATTGCGAGGGGCTCTGTGATGGGTATGGTCCTCACTAACATAATGAGCCGAGGTGCTTGTATTAATATTTGATACTGCTTGGACACGGGGACGGCACTGGTAAGCTAGAACTGGCAGACGCGGAGCAAGTGCTGTTGAGGGTTGGGGACCTGTGGATAGAACGATAAGTAAATGATAAAGATAGATGCCGTTCAATTGGACCTCCTTATTATCTCGCCGCCCTAGCTTCGGCCCGCTCCGGCGTCGCGCTCCTCTATCGCCACCGCATGTGAATTCACTGGCCGACTTCAAATCTTTCATTCAATGCGTTCATGTTGCCTTGCAACGTACTGCATTATTCACGCTTCTCATCAGCGTGTCACAATTTGCAGCTACTCAGAGGCAAAAAACATAACCATCTTGATCATTAGCGTAGTCTCTCATCGCGTTGGTCACCTTGGAGCATGTGTGAGATCTCATGACCGGTCGGCATTTAGAATTAATCTGCTGCTGAAACGATCCCATGAGATCCTGTGACGAAAACTACGAAGACTATTCTGACAATAAAACATTGATTTCTCCAACCCCATTTTTGGTTCACCGAATCAGCCTCTTCTCATCTCAGTTCGCTCGCCCTAATTTTAGCCAACCACCTTCAAATGAGCGTGGCATCGCATCCGTAGTACGCAAATGGAAGAACTCTGCCTCCCCTCTCTCCGTTTGCCTGTACATTCTTGGCAAACACAGCATTTCAAAACAAAACAGATAGCCAGTCTTCTGCCCTCATGTAATCATACCTTCAACTCTCCTGCAAGCGACATGTTCACGTCGCAGGCAAACCTTCATGCAATTATACCAATCGCTACAGAGTAGAGACTGATATAAAGCGTGCATCATGACATGCCAAGTGATAGGGTGAGACTCCGATGAAAACTTCTCGGTCACTCCAGTGACGTCGCAAGGGTAGGTGCATAGTCGTGTCATCGCGCACGGTCTAGAACTCGCGATTTTGCTGTACCAACCAATTCGTCTCGTCTGTGAGCTTCCAGATCTCCTCTTTGGAAAGGCCAGAGGTAAGCTGGTCCTAACAGCTTGCGTCTGTTTCGCCTATTTCCATATCTCCAATCGAATCATCATGATGTTGGTCATCGACAAAGTAGGCCACATCTCCCCGTCCGACCCTGATAGAGGAACCTTTACGTAGCTGGAGAAGGTCGGCTTCGAACGTGTTGGCGGTGACGAAATAATAGACGTACACCACTTTGCGTTGCCCGTGACGGATTGCCCGCCCTTTAGCCTGTTTCACGTATTTGTCGTAGTCTTCCTGTTTTCCGAAAACAGGTGTATTGGCGAACATGACGTGATTCGCATCCTGGAAATTGGATCCAGCAGCCTCTTCGCTGTTGAGCTTCAGCATGCGGACTCGCTCGTCGCCCAAGTTCTTGGCAAGTGCTTGGGACAGTGTCTTGTCATGTTGTAGCAAGCGACTGATCTGTGCCTTCTGCTCGTCAAATTGGTAGAATACCAGTATCTTATCATTGCCTCGTCGGAGGATCTCGCCTATTGTATTGGCGATCTTCAGAGACTTGGGACTCACTCTTAGCACCTTGTTGCCCTGGTCTGCCTTTAATCCAGCGAGAGAAGTATTCAATTCGCAACGATCGATTTGCTGGACTGGGATTGAGCGATTCCGAATGATCGAAGAGCAATTACTGCCGCTCGGATACTTGTCAGATATGATCTGGCCGCATACCCCAGCCTCTATATGCTTTGAGCATATAAGATGACCACAGTCGGGAAGAAATCGTAGATCGCTGCAATGAAGTCCACATGCATCGCACTTGCGCTCATCACCCTGACAGAAGAGATTCAATGCGGTCGTGACCCGTTTCGCTGTAGCCATGACTTCTGCTTTAGCTTCATCCATTTTCATCATAATGTCAGTAAACTCCGATTCTGTTTCAGTATAACTGCCACCGCGAGTCTTTTTCAAGGATTGAAATAAGGGGTATTTCGGTCTATTGTCATTCTTGGTCGAGGCGGTCTTTGAGGTCTTCTTGCGACTATTTTCAGGCTGAGGGGCTTGCGAAATGGTCGACATTTGCTTTTCTTTGATTAATTCTTCTAGGTAACGTCGAGCTTCGGCAAGAGAAAGTGAATCAACATCTTGTCCGCCAAGCTCCCCTATCAGAACTAGAATTTCCGAACGTTCAAGGCTTGCAAGGGTTGCTGACGATAATTCGAAGTACGCAACCCACACACCTGCTGGTATCTGCTTACTGAGCCGCGTAAAAAGTCCTTTATAGTACGGCTCCGAAGCTCTCGTTCCTGGGTCAGCACTGGCAAACCATTGTGAACAATCCGCAAATTGCTCAGCATCGATAGAGTCGGCGACTGCGTTGAGGCCATCTGCACCATTAAAATCATCTGTACTTGAATCTAGAATCGCCTCGATGTGCCAAGTAAGTTCCTGGATGTATTGGGTTGCAGTCTCGTTTGGCTTGATGGTCTCTTCTTGAACGTTTGCAATCTCTAGTTCCTGAAACCGGCGAAGAGCCAGCCACACCGCTACATTGGTAACAAACTTTAGTCTCTCCTGGGCCTCCCTCAGGCTTCGGTCCCGACTCAAGCGAAAGCTCACAACATCTCCACCCTCGTCATCTGCACAATCGATGGATGCAAGCCATGCGAGGGCTATGCCGGCACGACTGCCTCCTTCCTCAGGGAACTCGTTGATGGTTTCAGAGTCTAGTTGGCAACGCTTCAGAAGCTTAGAGAAGTCCAACTCAGAGTTGCGAAGGTCTCTCTGGAGATCGAGGTATTTCGCAAGCTCGAAACGGGTCATATTGGAACAAATGACACGCTCGTGCACTTCTATTTTACCCATCCCTTTCTCGTCAAATGGGTTGGCACTGGCAAAATGTCGAAGGAAGTTATGTGCCGTTTCTACCCGGTCGCACACACTCTCATCAGTGTATAATTTGCCGTACGATAATTGCTTCTCCGTAGGATTCTGACGCAAGAGAGCTGGACCTTCGGTGATGAGAGGTAGCCCTGGACGTAGCTTGACTGGCCTAGCAACATGGATCCCCAAGAGTTGTCCAATATCACAGACCGCTTTGACATTGCTCGTTGGAGGCGTGGCTGACAGGACCCATTTTGCGTGAGCCCTTGCGTTCTTGACGAACTGCGCGACACAGAAGTTCTCGTATGAAAATTCGTCATAGATGATTCGGGAGAAACTGAAGACCTCAAGTGGATGGACAAACTGGTCAGCCATGAAATCTTCCTCCGTTAAAGGATTCGCCCTAGCTTCATTATTGTATTCCCTATCCACGGTGGTACCTTCCTCTTTGCCATTGACGAGTTCTCCTGTGGCGTCATTTCTGGTAGTCTGACACCCAAGACGAGTTGAGGCATCATAGTAGTCAGCCACAACATCTCTCCACGTATCTTGTAGGTTTCGATGGCGTTGTTCAATCATCTCAAGTCGATCCCTGTTGAAAATGCTGGGATTGAACCCCGAGAGATGCCTTCGGGCATACATTGTTGCGTCTTCGTACCAGTCTTGGAAAGCACCAAGGACATTGGGATTTGCAGTGTCCTTCATGGCACTAGTCCTGGGAATGGCTTTGGGGTGGGCCAAAGAGCCTGCATATTTCCCAAGCCACGTATAATACAAGTCATCGAACACTGCCGTGCTTACAATGATAAGCCTAGCCGCATGAAGTTTGTCAAAAATCGTGGTCGATGTTCTCGCCGTCCTAGCTTTCTTCGCCTGAGGTGGAGCTGTCATGGCATCGGGTTCGGCTTTCTTGAGGACATCTCGCAATTTACGAGAGGATTTGATGACTAGGACATCAGGCTCCCTCCAGCCGAGGAATTTGGCGGCCTCTGCTGCCCATTGGTCAACCAAGTGCTTGGGAGCGAGCACAAGGGACGCAGCTAAAGCCGATGTGTCTCTGCTATTCTCCTGTCGCTCTAATAGGTATCTTTCCCGGTCGAAATCTTGTTGAACCTGCATGAGGGCGAGACTGATAACCGTTTTCCCGTAGCCGACATCATCAGCTAGAATACCACCAGGACGTGAGATATCGCGCTCTGCAACAGCAAGTACACGTAGGCTGAGAGCATCGAACCTGCATTCTTCGATCTCCCGTTCCGTAAAAATTGGAGGATTAAGCTCTTTCCTTAGCATCCATTCCAAAGAGATATTTTGCTGTTCAGTGAGATTGTACCCATCAATGAAGACTGCGTGAGATTTCACGATCCCGTTTCCTGATAAACGCTGCAGTGAGTTTTTGAAAGATGTAAATCTTAGATTTGGGATGTTCAAAGACCCCCTCTTGACAGTGACGGTGGTTTTAACTTCAAGAGCTTCATCTGGGCAGTTGAGGCGCAGCAAGTGATCGGCTGCTCGATGTCGAAGGAGATCAACGTTCACCTCGTAGTTCGCTGATACATCTTTCCAGCCATTCTTATCATTACTGTCCTTGATGTTTATGGCGATTCGAAGAGGTTCTCCGGATCCTCGAAGTTCTTTCTCATAAGCATGTATGTCGCTAGAAATGGAATAAGGTTCACGAACGCTTCGAGCAGTGGTTTTTGTCTCGGCGCCTGCCCTCTCCATCCAGTGAATTTTAGGTAAAACTGGGCAACATCTTCTACAACGCTCTATGGTCATCTGGTGAACTGAAAACTCAATACCACTCAGATTGATGTTGATTGGGGCTAAAAGGTCAAAAAGAGCAGAGTAGTCTGATCGCGAGACAATAGCCCAACTATCAGGGTCCATTCCCTCGTACTTCGACAAGGTCATATATGTCTCGTCAACCATGTTTGAATGAATACAAACACTTGCCAAAGTTCGTATTTTGTGGTGTGCATCATTGAGCTGCAACTCTGAGCCGCTAGGGACAGCTCGTGAACCGACCTCTTTCATAAAACGTACGAGGGGGGTTTCAAAGATGGCTTCGACTTGTGTAGGAGTTGTGACCACCCCTTCCCAGTATCCGTCTATCAGTAGTTTTGTCCGAGAAAAGTTTGTCTGTGGAGTCCAATTGGGCAGAAATCTTAGACGAAAGTCGCGAAATTCGTGTTTTTCCAGGAGCCTGCACTGGTCAGATATGATATAGCAGTCCTCCTCGGGTGCACCTGTTTTCGTGGGGTCTTTGAAAAGATAAAGCCTTGGACGCTGGCGACCGACATGCAAACTATTTTCAGCTGCATCGCAGTCAGGGTAATGGTCATAGATACCTATGATAGACTGGACGTCGTCACGGATCGCAGCAGGGAGATTTGCACAGGACACATTTGCAATATGGATGGAGCCATTGTTGTTTGTCAGCTCAACGTCTAAGGAGACCTCGCCAAAAACCCAAAACTCCCATGCATTCTGTGCTGGGATAAATTCTTTCGCCGATGGGCAGACTCGTACGCGACCGAAAGGGCGTAACATGTGTGCTGGCGGCATTCCAAGCGCCTTGCAAACCAGCTGGCCACAAGTTGACCAGGGGTCCAAGAAAAGATACCAAGTGATTGCTGTGTCTGAAATAACAGCCCGGAGATCAAAATTGCACTCCCCATCTTTAGCGGAGTAGCAGATCGTCACGGTTTCCGATATAAGAGCCCGCGTGTAATAAAAAATGGCTGATCGTAGGGAATCGAGAAACCGGCTCTGTAATTCAGGTACCTCAGAATACGGACGGGAAGGAATGCGAACGATCGTGTCACTAATGATACTGGTCAAAGCCGTCGGGAAATGCTGCATAAACTCTGGGGGTGCAGTGTCGTTCATGATTGGGGCCTCCATGGACCATGGAGGGCCAAACTGGTGTTTAGGATTGCCCGCGCAGCTTGTACAGCGAATGAAATCACAGATCTTACACCGTACCAACTCATTGGTACTGTACTTGGCGCCCCCGTTACAGTAACAGTAGCGGCGGCAACGTCTGAATATGTTAAGGATCGTTTGCACCGAACAGAACGAGCCCGGCGCACTGTCCCAGCCTGGTTCAGATGCAACGAATGAAGGGCGGTATAGGGGTTGGTATGGTGAAATGGATTGGTTTACAGTGGTGATGATCTTCAGTGGAGGTGGTTCGATGTCACTACAATGGCGGTGAATAGCGAGGAGTAACGAAAAGAGTGCAGCTCCAACAACTGTCGTGGACATAGCATTGCCGGCTAGATCACGAAGCTCGTCCTGAGACTCTCTAGTTAGGTCTAAGTCTCGTAGGGGCAAGCCTTGTAAATTGAGAGCCTCGAACCCGGACAATATCCTGCCTTGGTCTGTAATGAGATTTATTCCACGCGGTGTCAAGCAACCGGTGATGCCAAAATTCCGGCCGATTTGGCCGCGATCAACATTCTGGCTGAGGTCGAATATCTGAGACTTGAACCTGATATCCCACTGGGTTGCCACATTCTGCCCAAGCAGATTGTGGTAGGAAGGGATTCTTGCATCATTGGCACTAATGTCAAACTTGCCATGTAGACATTGCAAATAGTAAATGTCGACGCAGTCTAATGCGCGACTGTTTTGGCTTTTGATGAACAGCTTATCAAGCCTGTCATATGGGCTTTCACATCCAGCTAGACCCCATGCAGTCATGGGGCGACCTTTACCCAACCCAAGCAGACGACGAACACGACGATGTCGCTTCTTGCTCCGACCCCAGTCGCTTTCTTGCCTGGGCCTCAGACTATTGGCGATTGTTTTCTCTGACTCATCTTGTCGTGCCCTCAGAGTTAGGGGGTCATTGGGTGAGAGTAGCCAATGTTGCAATGGTGTCGATGACGCTCGTTTCAACCCGACTAATTGAGTTTCCCATTCCTTGATTATGTGATTTGCAGAGTCACCAAAGACTTGACGGTCCACAGCGACAACATAACCACGATTCCTGGTCTGAGGAATATAGTAGTCCTTAGTATCCACACTAACGTGTGTTGCCGCGTAGCCGACACCGGGGAGATAGAGACCACAGACTGCGTCCCAGGGCGCATTGCATACATTCTCCAAGATGATGAGTTTAGGACGGTGGTTTTTAATGTAGCACAAAGTGGATAGAAAGGTAAGACTGGATTCTCCGCATTTCGCTGCCTGTATCTGTGTTGGCGTGATACCATCGAGCCAGTCACGAAACTCATCGAAAAAGTCCTCTCGAAGAGGTGGGGCGGACTTGGCTTTCTTGTTTGCTTCGTTTTGGTCGGAAGCTTTCCACTCCTTGAACAAAGTTGTACCTCTGCTCATAAGCTTCACATTATTTGTCTTTTGACTATTGAGACTAGAAAAGTCGACACAAGATGTACCAGCAACGAGAAGATCAATGTCCCGAGGGATATCACAATGATCCCCGAGAATGGTAGGGCTATAGGTACGTCAGCATGAACGAACCAGTTCTTCATGATATAAGTGACAATAAGGTCGGTGGAGAATAGTGTACAGGGAGGAGAAACTCACGCAGCAGTAGCATCCCTATCAGCAAAATCAACTACGTCACGAAAGACGATGCTTCCTGGAGCATTGCGAGAAATGTAAGCTTGTTTGAAAGGCTCATTCTCGACACTAAATAGGTGACTGAATTCAATGAAGTCGCAGCCATGGTTGAGCAACTTGGAAATGTCCTTGATAAGTTTGAGTGCGAAGATCGGAGCTTCCGTGCCTGAACATATCGTGCCAACTCGCAGCTCAAACCCACCGCTGTTAGCTACAGCTTCTATCGTAGATTTCTGTTTAGAAAGCATGTCTTTGAAGGCGTGATGCACGTCTGAGATAGGCGGTAAGTCGAGCCTTAGACGAAGATTTAACGCCTGTTTAGCAGCGTCTGTGTCGTTCGGAGACTGGGATAGCGACTGAGTGGGCTGGGTTGGTGATTCTGTATCACCAGCGGCTGGCCGCTGCTTTCCAGAGGATCGCTGCGGCGCCATGGTGTCATGTAGACGTCAATAGCAGTGGCAGGTAGGAATAAGTGGCGTTTGCTAGATGGAAATGGCGAACGTGGGAGGGAAAGTTAAGATGCGAGGGTGTGGTGGTGATTGTTGCGGTGTCGGTATTGGCCTAAGAGTACCCTAGTTAGAAGAACGCACCAGAATGAGAAAATTGTTAAATAAATACCTAGAGTGATCTAGAAGCACCTCAAAGCTTAGATGAAGATTACTCCAACTTGCTGCTGTATGATGATTGGAGAGGGCAAAGCTCAGGGCTGGAGGATGATGGAAACTGATGCGTGTGTTTCAAAGTGGAGGAAACCAGACAGAGGATGTATTTTGGGAAGGCAACAGGTTTTCTCCATGCATTAGAATTTTCAAGTTGTGGCTAGGGCATAAGTGACGCCGTAGTAACCATATCTCTCCATCTAATCCCAAGGATAAACATCAACAACCATGTCGTCGTTAACAGGAGTGTGCTGATTGGCCCGAACAATACCGCGTAACGTTATGCAGGGAGCAAGTACCACTTTGGATCCCAAAGGCAAGACTAGCCTGAAGTACTAGATGAAAGGGAAGTGAATGCTCGAAAAAGAAACCTAGGCAGGTATTTGATTCAGTTGCCTCCATGAACCTGTATATTCTCTAAAGTGAAGCCTGTTCGAACGGTGGTATATTAACGAATCAGCCTGGCCTTGTTTCACAGGAAGACCCATATGTGCATCAGCATCCTAGTGGAATGGTTCATCCCACAAGCATTGAATATATCCTCAACCTGGTTGAAACCCAATGTGTGACTGATATGCATCCCAGCTAGCAAGTAGAGGCAGCAGCCATTTAGTAGATGTCCCTGTGACTAGTTATTCACTGTGGAAATTCACACCAGATAATTAGGCTCCTACTGCTTAACAAAGGGACACCCCCATTGCTCACAGCTTCGTCAAAGTTTCGCAGCCCTCGCCCAAGAGTACTGAGACGGGTTGACACCATGATCAAATTCCTTTGAGTAAAGAGCACACAGTGGTTTGTGTATGGTATTGGCATGTTCCTGGCACGCTGGGAAGGGTTGTAGGCCTTGTCAGTCATGACAACAAGTGCAGAGTCCATCAAAGTAGATCGAGGTAGGTTACTTTGGTCACGTGCTAGATGTTGGACGGACATTTCACAAGGAGACATGGTGCCAGAACCAGACATCCAGTTATTCAAATTGCCGTCAAGCTTCAGCGCCCAGGGTCCAGTATGGCATCTCAATACTCCAATATCAATGGAAATGAAGTTGAAGTTGCACCTGGGCAGATAGACAGCGGGTTTTAGGCTTTCTAGTGCCATCGTGTGTTCTGTAGGCACACATCAGCTCCCACGTTCAATAAGGCGCAACGTCACAGTTTTCATCAGTCCCTACTTTTCACTCAGAGAGATTGCATGGCGTCTTGCCCACAATAGATAGGGACTCAAAAGGATATCCCATGTCGCCCAACCTGTGACTGCAGGTGGCTTTCAGAGGTTGGGAATGTGGTGGCATGGAAGAATCTACAATGAACTAAACTACCTAGGTACGAGGTTAGGCGACAAGCTAAGGCGCTCATCGGCCGGCAGCAATGCCGAGAAATAGCCGTGGCTAACCTGAGGTTACCTGGCGACACAGTTTCTCGCGCATCACCTCTTAATACTCGCGCGCCACGCTAAACCTACCATAGTAATTGCTGGGGCAGTACGTACTGATACCCCCACAACGGTCCTTAGTACACCCAATCTAGCCCTTTTCGAAGTATAACCCTTATATCTCCCAGCAGGACCCATGATGACCATTAGAAAAAAAACACGTACCTAACGGGCGTTATCTTTGACTTCGAAGGTCAGTCAAATAAGTGGTGGAAGGGGTAATTTCGTATCAAAGTCACGGCTCCTAGCCTTGGGCTAGCCGTACGGGTATTCTATTCAGTATTCAATATTCAATAGCTTAGTCAGTAGCCCTACCGGACCTCCGGAAGCCTATTCAGCCTACCATAGCGTATATAGTCTAGTTGACGAAGGCCATGACCTGGCAAGTTATCCTTTACTTCGTCACCATACAATTAATAGTATGTTTCCAGTATTTACCGATAACATTGTACATTGCGCCCGTCATGACAATTAAGATTAACAAGCAAGTCACTTTTTTAAAGCAGGTTGAAAAATATATCATAGGGCACTTCTAAAAGGGAACATTTTTACTAGCAAATATAGTACCTAGTAAGCTGTTCGTTACAAAAGTTCTGAACTTAAAAGATTAAAGGGTGTACTTATTGAGTGATGATATGAAAAACGATTGTTTTCATAATCCCTGTTAAGGGTATGTCTGTAACTAACCCAATTTGTATAGGAAACCAGGGGGGTTGCAGACAGAGACCCGACAATTGCTATGGTAGGTTTAGCGTGGCGCGCGAGTATTAAAAGATGATGCGCGAGAAACTGTGTCGGTTACCTGGGGTACGTGAGACTAGCAGGATTGACCCATGATGATGCCTAGATTCCTTACAATTATATCTCCAGCGCTATCTCGCAATATGTAAGTACCTAGGTACCGTACTGTACATAGGTTACTAGGTTAGGTACTTATGTGAGTAGGGTAGGTACGCTAATTACCAATTTTGGCAAGGGGTAGGTCCAGCCGCAGTGGAACCAGCAGGTAACTGCGCTGAGCCCCCAAATTGGGCCTCACGTACAACTTCCAGATGATTATATAAGGTAGGGCGGTAGGTAGTCTGCAAATTATTGTTACTACGTGCCTCAACCACCTCAACCGCCTCAATCGCGCCGCCCTACCTGGTGTCGTAAACAGTGGACGTTGCACAATGGGCTCCATTCTTGAATCAACCGATGTGAAAAACAAGTTGGAAGATTTGTCCGGCGTCGCAGTCAAGCCAGGAGAGAATCCATACAATGCTCTGATTGAAGTCTGCCATGGCGATCCAGTTGAGTCCCCCCTTATTCTCATCAGTCCCGTCTCTGAATTTTACACTGGGATTGCACATGAATACATCGTTTATCTGGAACAAGAGAGAAAATCTTCAAGAGGCCTGCCGCTAGGCCGAGATGCGCAAGAGTCATTCGAATGAAAAGCTTCATAAACCGATGACTATTCTCATGGTTGTCACACAGCATGACTGCTAACCGAGTTTAGACCGAGATTCAGGCCCTATATGCAGCCCATCGTCTTCGACGCAATGCGCAGCAGAAACAGAAATTCTTGGACGCCAGCTTTCAAGAATTGATCATCGATCCTTACCTGCTGCGGCTTGAAAATCCTCACATAGAACCAGGCTTCAAGGATACGAGGAACTGTATGACCTTCTGGGGTCGCCCGCCAATTCACGTCCTCGAACTTGCGGGTCTGATTCAGGAAAAGCTCAAAGCTGTTGCGCCAGGTAAACTACATTTCCGATTGAATCTTAGGCTCGAGAATAAAACGCGAATGCAACTGCGGCCGAGCCATGATAAGCCTCCTTATTGCCACAACTGATAGTTTTCACGACCGATGAAGTCTCGTGGCCGATAGAAGGAGACAGCCAGCTAACAAGGATTCAGATATATGGCTAATGCCACAGCATCGTAGTAAGTAGAAGAAACCCCGTTTCTCATTTCAATCAGCACAGGAAGCAACCTTTTCTTCCTTTTGCCCCTCATCTCGGGCCTGAGCTGTACCACTGAATGTTGAACCTCCAGCCTGCTTGCATCAATGGGAAATGACTAACGCTGACTATCTAAGTGCACATAACAACCCTGGAGTTAGCATTCTGTCGCACGCCTCAGGAGATTGAGGAAATCAAAGAAACATTAAAGCCAATGATCCCCACCATAGCTAACTACACCTATCAACATCGCGCGCGTCTAGTGAAACCCATGATTTCGTACGATCTTTCGGCCTTTGCTGTCTCTTTTCTTCCAGCTTCCGGTGAGCCGGAAGTATCCCCGGCACCTCAACTGCCCGATAACGCCGTTGTGCTTGACAAAGGAGACAGCTACTCATACCACCACCTCCGACGGGATATGTGGGACCAGGCAAAGGCGGCAGGTGTTACTATCGATTCGCGGTATATCGTACCTAGTGCTCACATCACCCTGGGGCGATACCTTTCCCACAAAGACCACGCGACGCCGGAACAGCGGAAGAAATGGGTTGAGGCGATTGACGAAATCAACGAATGGTTAGAGAGGGAAGTGTGGGAGAAGTCTGACTCCGAGGTTATAGGGGAATGGGTTATCGGGCAAGAGAGGGGGCTCGATGTGCGAGTAGGAACTCTTTGGGTGAGTAGATCCCAGCGTTCTTGTCCAGGGTAATCGTATAAGGACCGACGCTTCTTCGCATGCCAAGTACCAGTCCCGGAAGCTTCCTACGCTACTGCGACACGCATGAAGCCCGCTCAAGATAGCCAATTGCTGACTTTGATTGCTACAGTACGGCGGAGGTAGAACTGTTCTCCTTGGCGAAGGATTTTAGGTAGTCCGATTGCATTCCATGGCTGCAGACCATCTCGTTGGTTCAAGGTAGTACTTTGACTGGAAGATCGACAGAGCGCCTAGACCTTCTTATCTTCTCGTCTCTTAACGAGCACCTTACGCTATATCAACTGAATTGATTTCGAGAGGCTTATCAGAATAATCACCAAGATAGACAATTGGACACGAAAATTCGAAGTCTTGCCAGCATATCCAAAAACCTCAATAGATATAGATACTTAGCTAAGATGGCCATAACCAGATTACTAGCGAAATACAAACATGGTCGCACAGCCAAGTATAGTAGGGTTCATACTTCTGGTGGGGATTATATCATCTACCAAATATCTACCAAAGCATTCAAGAAACGAGACCATAAAGGAGCGGTGTAGCAGGGCCCGACAACATTATGGCATAAGAGATCTATAGAGTAACCACCATGGCAGTCCTAACGGATATCAGTGCAGGAGGATGACCGCCATTTCACAGTTCCGACAGTAGAATTCCTCATCACCAAAGTACAACTCATATCTCCCGATCGTCGATGACCGTCACCGGAGGAGAGGTGAGTCGCAAAGTGCCGATGCCGCCTCAGTTCCTAGAGCCGACCCGTCGGAAATAAGCATCGGCTAGTGACTACTTATCATCACTATATCCGGATGAAGAAACTGATACAATGGATCGGGAAGAATCCGGCTACGGGTTTCTTTTGCCGGACCGAGTTCCATGTTCATGGTGCCTCTCCTCCTGTCTTGGCTTCGGCAAAGATGAAGCTAGCCAACGTACGTGACTAAGGAACTTGATAGATGGTCGTCGGCTGCATGCAATGAGAATCTATTGTCCGGTCCTGCCAAATTAAACTCTGGATACTCTGCTTGAAAAGGGGCATTATGCTAAAATAGAGAGATCGGTTAATGAGAGCCGATAAAGCAAAAAGAATTAGAAGCCGATCGCGAAACGGTCGGGACGTTCACCCCCGCAATGTGAGTACCTACTAGGTAGTTAATCCGCGTAGCGCGCAGTAGTGTAGACTACCATCAGAGTTAAGAACATCTCAAGAAAGGGACCCCAACGTCGTAAACAGGAAGAGAACAAATCCCGAGAAAGATAAAGAATATGCAAGTGATCTATCATGCAAACCTTCCATTGTCACTGCCTATGTCGGCGCCTCATCTCAACAGTCAGACGGACACAACAGCTTCCTGTCGCAGCAGCGGGATACCTAGCACCAGAATTCGGACAACGTCCGAAGCGCCCTCGAACCAACACCCCCCGATCCTCGGCGTCCGATTACGAGATAGCGATTCCTTCCACGGTAATCCCACGTTCAACGGACTCAGTCCGCTTTTCCTGTCTAATCCACCTTTTTGCCCCATCGCGCACACACATAACGCTCCAATATGGTCTCGTCATAAGTCGCCCATATTCGATCAGCCCTGGCTTCTTATTGGTGCTGGTGGATAATCTAGTCTATTTGGTAGATCCGGAAGAAAGAGAACACAGAGGAAAAAAAAAATGTCACAGCGATGCTTATTCCCGGCTAGTGGTCATGACACCATGCAATTTTTGGGGAGCAGAATTGAGCGGCGGTCATGTAGGTGCGAAAAGAAGTTTGCCATGCTTGCCGTATAAAGACCACAGCCGTCGCTATCCTCCATTTTTTTTCGGTAGTCCGTCTTGAGATCGTGTATATAAGTTCATACTTTACGCTAGAGTGTGCATTAGCAGAATAGTGACCTGTTACTATCGCCATCAGAATCATATCTCTTTGAACGTTGCAGGCATACGTCCAGTCAGACCAGCTGTTCATGTTTCGAGGTCTCTGTGTATATTCAAGCTCCAGGATAATAAGAACCTGATTTTCTTCATTGGCCTACCTTCGCTTGACCCGATTCTTTTTCTATCATCTTCCAGATTAGGATAATCAAGTCGGTTACTGGGATCTTGCATATGATGATATGCGAACCGCCGACACTCCCATCCCAATACTCGCCTTGTTTAACCCAATAAGAGGTTTCAGTTCATGTCAATCAGCGCAATGCCTGAATATAATACCACCATCCAAAGCTCGCAAGAGGATCAGTTAGGGCACGAGAAAGTGAAGCCGACAAGTCCAGAGAGCAGCAGTCATGACGAGAGCAGACGTGGCAGCAAATTGTCTCAGTCCATTCACTCCTCAGGTGACAGTGAGGACATAGACGATGTAGACCAACAGGATAGACTAGAAAGATGCTCAACCAAACATTCGGCAATGGGCGATGCGTCTATCCAGCCTATTGAGTCCGTCGTTCAGGTGCCGGAAGAATTCTACGACAAATTACCGAAACATCGAAAGAGTCAGTACATCAACAAACCCACCGAAGAAACAGAGTAGTGTTTTTCAGGGAGAAAGGGGCTAATGTAGGGCCACAGCCATCATCTTGTTTCTCATATCCTTCAGCTCATTCCTCTCGCCGATTTCGAGTACGTCGGTACTAGCCGCGACGCCCGAGGTTGCCGCAGAGTATCACACGACCGGTTCTATCGTGAATCTTGTGAACGCCTTATACCTCTTGTTCATGGGCTTGTCTCCTATCGTATGGGGACCTCTGAGTCAAGTCTAGTAAGCATCAGTCTTGCCCACATTCCTATTTCTCTTACAGAGCACTCTCAAAGTTGTAAGCACTGACCTTCGAATCGCAGCGGTCGCAGAATAGTGAGTGTCTGGTTCTCAATGACTAGTTGAGCCATTTCAGACTCGTAGTCGAATATCCATCCTTGAAGAAATAAAGAAAGTGCAACATACTGATCTAGCGACCACTTAGGTTTGCTTGGTCACAGGCACTGGTTTTGTCTTGGCTAGTATCGGTACAGCGCTGTCGCCGAACTTGGGAGCTTTCTTCTTCTTCCGATTGTTCACAGCCTTCCTCGGAACGTCGTTCCTATTGAATGGGGCAGCAGTTATCAGGTAAGCAACAACGCGATCTCGTTTCCTGCACTGAATTGACACATCTCTTCACGGTAGTGATATATATAAGCCTACGGAACGTGGAACGGCAACTGGCTGGTTTATGTCGGGCACACTAATCGGCCCTGCGTTCGGCCCTTTTTTAGGAGGACTTATTGTGACGTATACATCATGGCGCGTGATATTCTGGCTACAGACGGGCCTCGCTGGGATAGGAACCATCGGAATATTCTTCTTCATGCCAGAAACAATCTTTCATAAGAAGATCGACGATCTTCAGGGCTATAGCGGACGCGAGAAGGGGCGCGCCTTGCTTTCCATGCTCAACCCTTGGGGTATACTCAAGCTTTTCAGATATCCAAGTACGTACAATCCGCTCAACAGTGACATTGTCTCCGAAACCGGGTGATGGTAAAACCAAATGTGAAATGGATCTCGGGCGTAGGACACCAATGGCTAACGTCACCATCTCCAGATTTCATCTTAGCGGGCTTTGCCAGTTCGTCGCTTGTATGGAATAGTAAGTAGGCAGTTGACGCTTCATGAAAATTTCTTTCGTCCTGTGAGGAGGGAGGGAAGCAAGGATGGTTATTCTAGTTCGGTGTCTAAGACGCCTAGGCTGACCCTGAGTGTTGTGCAGTGTATAGTATTTTGACGCCGATTCGATATGTTCTAAACCCGCGGTATCACTTAACAACCCCATTGCAAGGCGGACTTTTCTACCTAGCACCGGGATTTGGGTATCTCACGGGCACCTTCGTCGGCGGGCGATATGCAGATTATATTGTAAAGGTGTACATTCGCAAGCGTGGCGTTCGGATCCCCGAAGACCGCATGTACTCGGCACTGCCATTTCTGGGCTTTGTGTTACCTGGCAGCGTCATTATCTACGGATGGTGCGTGGAGAAGGATGCTGGAGGCATCCCTCTCACAGTAATTGTCCTCTTCCTGCAAGGTCTAGCACAGCTTTTCTGCTTCCCATCTTTGAACACCTACTGCCTAGACGTTATGAGCGGGCGTGGCGCTGAGGTCATCGCTGGTAACTACGCAATACGATACCTTTTCGGATGTGTAGCGACGGCTGTTGTGCTCCCGGCGATCCAAAGCATCGGTGTGGGGTGGTTTTCAACCATCAGCACTCTATTCCTCCTCGCAGGTGCGGTGTGCACCTATCTAACAGTTCGTTACGGAGAGCAGTGGAGGAATGATATCGACGCGAAGCATAAGATGAATAAATTAAAGCGGCGTAAGGACACGAATAATGGCGCTTCGCACATGTCCACCGAGAAACCAGCAAATTCTTCGGAGGTGTAGGGAACAGCAGCAGTCAGGATGCAATTTGTCGCCAGTGGTGTTGCCATATTCCTGAGGCAGAGCAAAACGGCGATGACGACGCTGTTTTAGAAAGGGTCGTGTGATGGCAGAATATATGGTAATCTAAGCGCCTTACGAAAATATACCAAGATGATCCTTGCGATATCAGGGTTGAAGTTTTGAGCATGCACGTTGCCATCAGGCATGCCGCGTACTTTCTCGGTGATATCGAACAATGCTGCAAAATAGCACGTTAGGCACTACACACGCTAGGCTTTGGAGGGTCATTGATCTAGATCGCTCCCTGATCCGTGGACACGACTAGGGAGATGCACTTATGAATCTCGATGATACCACCAATGTGAATTCACAATGAGAAATGAGAGCGACAATTTTCGTAAAATGTACCATGCATCGCGGCATATGTCCTACTGCAGCATCAAGCGAGGACCCGGTAGGCTCAAGAGGCGTCAGTTAATATGCATAATTGAGGTTTAGAAGACGTCTCAGCGTCTGTCTGATGAGAATAACCCATATCATCTGCGCAGCGGATGCTGGCATTTTGGTCGCATATACCCAAGGAAGCCTGCCCATGGCCCTGGTAAATTGCGTCGGCGACGTGTCAGCAGCTGTGATAACTGAAGGGCTTCGGTATTCTAGAGGGCTTACCATAGCCAGAGTGCGGTCGCTTCATCAACTGCTGACGAGGCTCTCTAGTGAGGTGCTATACTCTTAAATGCGCTCGATACAACAGGCGCACAATAGGTTTCCGTATTCCTTATGAGATCACCATCACATTACGCAAGCTCAGTGCCTTTTTCTTTCGATGGGGACAAATGATTGAGACGTTTTCCGTGCGGTCAAGGTCAATCTTGAATATTAAGTCCAAGCACGTGTTGTAGGTCAGGAGCGTGAATACCCCGCAGGAAACATTCCAGACACAGCTACCAATTTGAGTCGTGATCGAGTAGGTACACCCAATCTGAGAGAGGTTGACAGAGCCATCTAGTGCTGCTGGTTTGATCTTATTCATGAGACATGGCGCTACCACTTTGGCACATCGCCACAGCCGTTATACATGTTTTCTGGGGGGGGGATGGGGAAGTTTGATACGCGGTAATAGAAATTTTTGTGTAATGACTTGTTTCATGTAGACGGCCCGGATCTGCACTTACCACCGTGGAACGAGATTCCGCGCGTTCCCTATCGAGCTATGTGGAAGATCGCAACACAGCCCTTCATGCGGTACTTGGATACTTCCTGGAGGTACCTAATCCCAGTCTGGGCGACCCTTCTAGCAAGGCCAACTCTGTTTATCTGGAAGTTTTCAAGCTCAAGCTATCTAGAGCTCGGTGTACGACCTCTCTTCTATATATGAATGTATATCTCCTTCACCCCTAGTGCATCCGGGGCTGTCTATCGTGAAATTTACAGTTATATACACTAAACATCGCTGAGACTAAATTATCGCGCAGTTGTACATTTTGATTCGGTCTTTTTCTGATTGTTATCGGCATGTAGTGGATATCGAACAGGATGACGGAATCGACAGGCGACCCTGGTTGGTACGCAGTCTTGATCTTCATTACCTAATGGGCTTGTCTCTTGCCGAGGAGACAGACGACGTTACTGATGGTTCTACTTACTTAGTCAGTACTTAGTATTCTGTTGAACCCTGATCCCCTAGATGACGATGAGCATGCGTGTAGGGCATCCCTGCCAACCAATAGCTTGGCTGTTCCTGGATGGCGACAAGAACTATGAATACCTAGGCAGTACCTAGGTACGTTACTAAGCTTACCTACATACCTGATGATTGATGCTCGGGTTCTACCGAGGCTTTGTGTGCAGGCACGCAAGCAAGCCACTTGTGTAAGTGGCTTGCGTTTTCTGCCCTAGCATGAGAATTCTTATATATATATACAGAGGGACATGTCTTGTTCTGATGCAACATACTCAGATAGCTGCGATTTCTACGTAGTATGGTAGTCGGGTGGTGGGCTTGCAACATGGGGATATGGATGATTGAGTAAGTGCCGAGACAGATGGAAATCCAACCGAACGATGGCCCCATAGTATTCATTCAACAAACCCCTCGCCCACTTCAATGCCCGCTTTTTGCCCGCCTTAATACCGTGAGAATGGATGAGGTGCAAACATGAGTAGCAGCATGAACACATTGAAATGTTTCGGTACAGAGGTACCTACATATGTTTAGGGCTCATCAGGTGGTATACCGGTACCCAGCATGTAACACCCGATATTCTGTCCCGATAGACGTCGGTGAGCGACTATAGTGAGACTACACCCCTTCACATCTAAACGCGTTTTATGCAAACCACGCTGGTCTCAGCCGTAGTCTGGCTGTGGATAAGATATTAGATAAGATAGTATACACACGAGGACAGATAGACAAATACCGCGTGGGACAACGGGGGCTTCCCGGGACATACATATATTACATGATGATGTAGTTTTCCGCCGTATACCTGGTAGTCACGAGATTACCTAAAACTAGCCCGTATTTGTTCATTAATGAAGAACCCCCAGAGGCGTTTGCGCTTAACAAGCCTCGGCCGAATTTAAATGACGACCTATAATAAGTAGCGGTTAAGCTTCTACAGAGCCCTACAGCGGAAGTTGTATGCATGGTTGCAGCAGGATACCTACAACAGTATTATCCAAGCATTGTCCGGACACTGTAAATACCTAGGTACGCTGTTTGCTGCTCTCTTCGCTACCTTAGGAGCTGGATGTGACCCGCCTATGGCATCACTTCATACTTACCGCTACCAGACTTACATCTAATGAATACCTAGCGGTAAAGTCGCTGGGCGCCTAAACAGACCCTATGTAGGTAGCTACCTAGCTATCTCGAGGCACCAGTAAATATGTGGTCCTCATACTACCTAGTACCCAGAAGTACCTTAGCTGACCACCTAAGGGTGCCTATGTGTTATGTACCTAGAAGGTAGCTTCCTCTGCAGCTACCTTAGGTATGTAGACAGACAGAGCAACACTTTACATAGTAGCGAGTACCAAATGTAAGAATTGATCCACAATGAATTAAAGCAATGACGTAGGTGTCAACTTGGTTTATCGAGGTTGTGTGGCTGCCGTGTCTGGGAGAAATCTGAAACGGGGTCCCAGGTAAGATTACCTTGTCTGAAATCGGCAGAAGCAGCACCCCCCACCCCCGGCAGCTGTACATGTACGGTACGTGGGTACATGTTTCTACTTGCACGTGTGTGAACAGTTTGTACAAGCCAGCTCGAATCCAGTGACAAGATGATGTACAAATTACTGTACAACAACCTCATATATCTCTTTTATTATATATATATATATGTCACAGGAAACTAATTAAAACATATGATTAGACATGATTGAAACTTTGAGGTTGCCTAGATTGATAAGTAGGTAGGGTCACAGCCTGTCTTTAAGCTACGATGTAATCGTAGGTAGTATGTATGTGTATGTATCGGCCAAACTTATAGAGATAGTTAGTGGAAGGTTGGCATGCTGATAGCTGTCTACAGTACTTGCAGCTACCTCGGTATGCGAGTTTACGTAGGTACTAAATGTATGTGCTAGGCAGCCTGTTAACCAACTACGCGTGGGACGAGCAGTCAACACCACATTTACAAGTTCTTACTACCAACATAAGCACGTCCCGGAGAGGTGCCAGATATTTAACCATATCCATTCGATGCGAATGATGCTAGGTACTTTTGCAAAATATCCATTACATAGAGCATTCGTTTGGTCACCTACCTTGCTAGATACATACTTCCTTTCCTACCTACCGCCTAAGTACCTATCTAAGGTACTTACCTAGGTAGATAGACCGCGGGGGTTAGACTATTCTACCAATTGCGACATAAAGAGGTACAGTCAAGTACTGAGTCTGGGCATGCCGCATCCTGTCCAATACTATCAGAGCATTGCCACTAGACCGTCCCCTTTGGGTACTTTTGATAGCTCTAGAAGGCAGGGATACTTGCTATACATCTTCGAGTCCGGCACACACCGAATCTAACATTCTGAACACTCAATCTTCATTTCCTGCCATGCCATTCAGAGAGCAGAGAGAGGTACATCCCTTTACCCACAGTCTGCCTACAGTAAGTAGGTGTGTGAGTACCGGCCGGAACGCGTACACTTGCACCAAATCCCAGCATACCGGAGCAATCAGGCGATCGTCATGCAGCTGTGTCTGCGTCGCGCCAAAGTGCATGACAGGGACACGACAGTACAGTACCTAGACGGGCACAGGAGACATTGAAGATAGCATAGTAGGCACGGTAGGCTGCATAGCACAACACAATTCTGCAAGTACCTATTTAGACAGATAACTACCTATGTAGGTAGGTATGTAGGTAGGTAGGGCGGGCTTGAAGGGGGTGGGTGGCCATTTACATCTTCTGAGAGATGGGATGGAAGATCCCCGATGTGCCGACAGAGTTCCAACACAATGGGGGTTCCAGGATGGCATTGCGCGTCCATGGTCCATCGCACATAAGCGCACAAACGACGATCGCTTGGATCTCTTCCCAAGTAGATAAGTGGCGGTACGGTGAAAGGTGGGAATGTGTGTTTGAGGAGCGACAATCCAAACTTATTTTCTATTAGAGATCGGCAGCAGCCGCTTGCTCCTATTTTTTCTATCTGTCCCATCCCGTACTGTTCAGTTCAGTTCGTTCTTCAGTCTCGTCGTCGCCTTTCGGCTTGAGGAGCGCAAAGGAGTGATAGATTATCGCATAGGTACCGTACGGTGGATTTGGAAGACATAGCATAGCCTACGTACTCTTATCCTCTCTTTGAAGTTCTACCATCCATTGTACCACAGCATTCTGTCCAGGTGCACCGGCACAGTTCAATTAGCAGAGCGCTCGTCGTCCCATCTTTCATCTGACGAACCTGGAACTGCCAATCTGAACCCGCAACACCAACATCCAACATCGGCTCACAATCACAGCCCAGTACCTGCCAATCACTGTCGACTGTAAAACGTGAGCAACGGCTACCTATTTCAGAAAACGGAAACACGCTGTACCCGCCTCCCTACCTGGGTACCGACGATCTACGGCCCACCAGCGCGGATTGGTGAAGTCACTCCAATCCAACTATCTCTCCCTCCATTCCACTTGCAGCCTTGTCACCTACTACATAGGTATGCTCATTATCTCTCTTCGAGTGCTTCCGACCTTCTATCTTGTCTCTTATTCTTCTCCAGCCAATCCTGGCATCATATACGAGGACTACCTTCTTTGACTTTCTTCTCATTTTCCCGATACTTTTCAATACTTTCGTTCCCTTCGAGGCCGCCCAAGAAATAATTATTCGCTGCTTTGTTGGCCAGGAGCCTCTTCTGATCCTCATTAGTAAAGCGACAAACGCTGCAAGACCATACCACAGCCAACGCTACGTTCATTGTTCTAGCCTCTGCAGATAATTACATCTCGATACGGTGATTTCCAGGTCCTGGGCCGAAACAGCCCAAAGTTTGCTTCGTACTCTGCGTGCGTTTGCGTCCAACCTACTAACCAGTCCGTCCGAGTCTTCGGTCATCATATCGAGCCATATTTTTTTTTGTCACACGTCATCGCCTTCGGGATTTCTGTGATTTACCCGATTTTGTTTTGTGTCACAATCTATTTCCCGTCGAGTATAGTCGACGCGTGACTCGGCTGGCAGTGAAAGGCTGTTATAGCTGAAACAGTCTATTACGATCCGACCAACCTTCTCCGAGCTCTAGCATTGACGGGAATTTTTTCCTTATTAGTATTATCATTAATTTCCCATGTTTCTGGTGCGTTGAGGCTCTTGTGCGGCCAAATCCTTTGCCTCAGCAACGCGCAAATTCACTTCTCGGTACGCGACCGCCATTATGGACAAGTTTTCTGACTATATGCGGAAATCTGGCTCCTTCTCGAGTACGATGGGCCGCAGAGGCGACGTCTCTTTGCCGATGCATACCGATACGAAGCCAAGGACACCATTTCAGTTAAGAGCATTGCTAGGTCACTGCCTCTACCGCCGGGTAGTTATATGGATTGTCTTGATTGTGGTACTCCTAACATCACTTATTTTCAAACCGCGCTGGACAACACAATCACGCAATGTCTTGGATATCGTTCACGGGAGCAAGGTCCTTGTAAAAGAACCCATCGTTACCGCTGAAACCGTCGTGCTACAGAGCCAAGATAGCACGGTCATAGATTTTCCAGTCCAGGAAACGATATATGACGTCCAACTTGAGGAAGTTGAAGTCGAGATGGTCAATGTTGAGACGGCGGATGTCGATAAAAACACCCCAAACGATGCTCCAGACAAAGAAATCAACGACATACCCAACGATAATGCTGAGACCATCATTAACAGCCCTATTGACAGCGCCCACAAACCTATTTCGGAGAGCATGCCGGAGGATAAATCTGAGGATATAGTTCAGAACGTCCTTGAGAACTCCTCTGAGGATATTCCTGACGGTATTGTCAATGAGGAGCCTCCTATCAACCTCGAAAACGAGGAGGACGATACCAGGGAGGAAGAGGAAAATGCAGACTGGCCTAAGTGGCTCAAGTATAAGCAGTAAGTAGTATATCCGAATCTGAGAGGGAAGATGAAAATTTAACTATATGCAACAGCCTCGATGGTTATTATAGAGGATTGAGGGCGCTAGTGCAGCCTTCGGAGTATACCCCCGAATATCCCAAACCATTAATACCAAATCCCTCAGAGCCAGCTTCAACGCCCCATCATATCGAGGTCCCCAAACCGACCGTATTCCGACCCCACCCGGACTACGACTCTGACGCATGGCGAAAGACATATGTTCCTGTCAACCCCTGCTATGTCGACGCGAACAAGGAAGTACCAGCTCCCGATCTCTACGCTTACCCTGGTCTCGTTCAGGGGCAACCTAAACCAGCTATAGGGTCCCATGAAGCACTTGGATTGCAGAGCGATGTTTGCTTTGACAGGTTTGGTCGTTATGGCCCTTACGGTTTAGGGTATAGCTTGGACCGCGGAGGAGTTAGCGAATATCTAGACACAGAGAATGAGGGGAGTGAAGCCGTTTGGGAGACATCAGGTCAAATCAACTGGAACGATGTGAACTGGGCCCAAGCACAGGCCCAATGTTTTGAATCCAACCGCGATCGCTTCTTCACTGGCAACGAGACACGAGATGCAGAGCTGGCGTTGACAGGGCGCAAAAAGTTGAACCGCACGGCTATCGTTGTGCGAACATACGTTGGTTTCCAATGGACTGCCCACGCAATTTTGAACTTTCGCGCCATGATCTCGGAGCTGAACCTCAAGTCAGGCGGCGAGTATGACGTACATTTTCTCTTACACGTCCGCGATAATGACGCTCCCATTTGGGCCGATATAGAAACAGCTCGAGAAATCATCGAGACCAACGTCCCAACAGAATTCCATGGGCTATGTACTTTATGGTCAGAAGCGCAGATGAAGCTATTTTATCCCGGCGACTTTGGTGACACCTACGAAAACCCATCCAATGGAGATATCCATGGCGTCTATCGGTCCGCTCACATGCCGCTACAGCATTTTGCAGTAATCCATCCAGAGTATGAGCATTTTTGGAATTGGGAAATGGATATGCGGTGGACCGGCTCCTACTATGAGCTGTTCGATCGTCTGGGTAAATGGGGTGCCAACCAGACTAGAGTCGGTGCATGGGAGCGGTCAGCCAAATACTACATCCCTGGACTACACGGCACATGGGAAAATTTCTCGCAGCTTGTCAACACCGAAATCCAGGCGTCGAACAAGAAGCCATTACTGGGGCCTGTTACCTACACGGGGAAGATTGCTCTCAACCAGGGCCCAAATTTCATGCCAGCTAGCTGCGCAAGCGGGTCAGATATGTCTCAATGCGGTGTCGGAGAGGAGGCTGATCTCATTACCTTGAATCCCCTCTTTGACGTTGAGGAATCCGGCTGGGTGTTCGCCTCTGACGTTACCGGCTATGAGACTGCACTACCCAAACCTCCACGAAGGTGTTCCATCGTCACAGCCTCTCGTCTTTCCCGACGTCTCCTCTCGGTCATGCACGAAGAAACATGGCGCCTGCATCATAGCATGTTCAGCGAGATGTTCCCGCCTACCATGGCTTTCCACCATGGTTTGAAGGCTGTTTTTGCCCCCCACCCCATGTTTCTAGACCGGGATTGGCCTTTGGCGGAGATTGATGTGGCTTTCAATGGTGGTGAAGGCCATAATTCTGGTGGGCGTGGCTCTCCATTTGATCTCAACAATGAACATAACCACAAAGGCACAAGTTGGTATTACAACAGCGAGTTTGCGGGTTTGCTGTGGAGGCGCTGGCTCGGCTACGCCCAGATGGACGGGCGAGGCGATAATGGTGGCCGAGCAGGTGAGGGCACCATGCGCGGCGGGCGAGAGCAAGAGCAGGACCCCGCCAGTACTGGACGATTATGTCTTCGAAGCATGCTTGTGCACCCGATTAAGTGGGAAGACCCGGCTGAGAGAGAGGATTAAGCATACCTAGGACTTCTGTGCACCACAAAACGTATAGAAGGCATGAATTCATATAGGAGGTTCGAATTGGCAACGGTTATAGAATCGGGATAAAGGTAGACGAACTTCAGGTTCACACGCAACACAACACCACCCCATCATCATCATCATCATCGACATGGTCCCTATCATTTCCGAATCAGATACCGCAGGCCTAGCACATAAGGCTGCATTCATCCGAAGGCGTTCGGCTTTTGTCATTTGTTTCGCGTTTTGGTTTTTCCCATTTCACATTTGGGTTTTAACTGGTCTGGTGTACGGGACTCTTCTGCTTTGTATTTTTTTGCATCCTGCCACGGGATGGTGGGCTTGGTTGGTTTTGCAAAGCGCGGCCAAAAAAACATTATATCCTAATCGCAAATGGGGTACTCGAGCAATTGGCCTAGGTTAGGTATACAGCCAATTCTCGGCACGATTGAGGAGGACGGGACACTTAATTGCCAAAACGGTATAGGCAAGGACGGACAGCCATGTGTGGATCGTAATTGTCTAATCACTTACTTGAAATACTATTGTACAGAGAGAATGAAAGCAGCCAAAGCATGCATGCAGCAGATAGAAACGAAGATTAGGAGAAGAATAGGAATAAAAGTTTCGCGAAGCAAATTGTTGTTTTTCTGGTCTTATTCGTTGTTGTCCGTAAATATCTAGACTGTGCCTTGAAGTTTGGATTAAAATTGTCTCCGCTAAATTAGTAGTCGCGTTGTCTACTCACTTTCGATATAGCCACATCAGCAATGTATCTACTGACTTCGGCCCAACAGATAACTTGAGCCTTATGACCTCAAAGGGTGTTGCGCCAAAGACATGCTCTGTCAGAATATGTTTTTTCGTAGATGTGAGAATATTCGAGGTTCCGAGAGGCTGGCTGCGTAAGATGACCTTGTGTAAGTATAAGCACGGGTAATAAGCACCTTTGCTTGACTGGGAGAGGGTCTCTTCGCTCATATATCATGATGAAAAAGGGAAATTGCAAACAGTATATTGCAGCTTCGTTATCAAACCTATTCGACTAAACAAACCGACCAGTCACCCGCTTGCCAAACCCAACCGAACCATTCCATTCACCCAGCCACACGCCCAACATCGTCCTTGTTGAACAAAGTACCCATCGACCGACCCCTTCCTCTCTCCACCCCCAGATAGAAAGCATAAGTGAAGCATAACCCATTCGTTTTTCCCAATCGTAACCGCCAGGATAACTTCCTTTAAACTGAGTTACTATAGACAAGGTCAACCCAGCAAGAGCTCTTTGAACAAGAAGTATGTAAACAGCCCTCCGAAACTCTGCTGATAGCATATATAAAATTGAAGCAAACTCTCAAACCGTCATGACCCTCATCCGCCCACGAAAGAGGATTGACGGGAAACTAAAGCACGACATAATGTATGAAAGGGTGGGAAAGAAGATGGGGTGCCAGAGGGCAGGTATCAGGCGAAGTGAGAAGAGCGAGAAAGCCACCAAAACGCCAGAATAACGCCGTGAACGCCGTCTTCAGAACAGTGTATCGATAAACAAGACCGGTGAGATCCAGTAGCGGGTTGCAAGGCCATCATAATTCATGAACCAGCACGGAGCCTGCTCATGGTAGATGGAGTGGACTTTGGCCACCGTTGAAAGCGGACATCAACATCAGCGCGATGTGCAAGCTTCTTTGTAATAATAGTTTTTCTTATTTCAAGCTTGTGGGGAGCTGTGCGAAACACCCTTGCTTCTACTTTTTCAGCACCGCGTCATAGATACTGAATAGTCCACTGATGGCGGCGCCGGCTAGGACACCTTGATAGCCACCATAAATTGCAGAGTTGATACGTGCAATAGAAACCTCGCTGACCCAGCCACCAAATGTGACTCCTTGGCCGTATATCACGAAAGAGATGAGGGCCTTGACGACACTGAAGGTCAGGGGATCGACAACGGCATCGGGCACTGGAGCACTGCGACGCGTAACGCGCCCTTGATGCGCCCCGGTGGTCATGTTTACAAAGTACCCCGCAATGCTGGGGAGAATGAAGCTCGTGAAAGACCAGAGCAACGCGGGTGACCAAAAGGATGCAGTGAGCAGCAAAAACATGTCAGGGACGAATACTGGGTAGTCACTGGTCCCAAGGAATGAGATGGCAGGAATTGTGAATGCATATCGATCCGCTAGAATCTCCGGGCGCAAGAAGTAGGCCTCGAAGGCAGAGATGGCGAAAAGCACAGCATTCACGGTTGAGAGGGCCTCGCGCGTCGCGTGCGTGACCTCTGTTATGCCCGATTCCTTGTAAACAGTCGCGACGTGGCTCCTCAGAGCCACCGTAGAGCGATCGACGGCATTGGCGACATCAGCAGGCGTCGCAGGAAGAGGGATGCGGCTCGCCAGCGACAATGCGCGAGCAGGCGTGTGCGCAATGGCTGTCGAAGTACTGCTAGGTTCTTCTTCAGAAGTCCTACGGAGACATGGTTAGCATTGTCTGCAACGCGCGCAAGGACAGGCACTGAGGGCGCCGCGAAGACAACAAGACCTACTCAGCCGGCGGGATGATTTCTTCGGCAACCTTAGTCACGCGACGCTTAGCGACCTTGAGCTTCTCGGCTGCGCCATCTACATCTTTCTTGATGGGTGAGCCGATGGTGCGAGCACGGCTCGCGTAGTAGTTGACCAATTTGGGATCCGACTGGAAAGTGGCGGTGTTCTCCGCGAGGAACTCGTCGAGAGCAAGCTCTAGCTCGGCCTTCTTCAATGCATCGTAGCTGTTTCAGAGGGAGGAATGGTTAGCCATGTGGACGCATCGTGTCTTAGACGGAGATGATGCAATGACGCGTGGGGTTTCAGGGCGACCGAACTCTCGGAGACCTCAACAGCACATCAAAATTGCAACGCCGTGGCACGCGCATTGCATGCACATACATATAGATGGGAGCGAAAGCAGAACAAAACAAAATAACGCGCGACGAGCATAGATTGGGCGTGAAAACGACGAATTGGAACATGAATTGCTAGTGTGCGAGGGGTTCTAAGACGTACTTCTTCAGACCGGTGTACTGCGCCAATTCGGCGAGGTCGGTCTTGCGCTGTCTCTGCAGCCAACTGTTCGCGCCAGACATGTTTATCTGGAGGGGTCCGGGGGAAGCTCGCTGAAATGAATTGTAGCAAGGTTTGGAGGCAAATGCTGTTCGAGGTATCACGCTGGTCGCGCAACGTTTGCGATCAGGATGATGTCAATGTTGAGAGAATAGTAAGTGGTGTTCTGTAACAGACTGGGGGGGGGAGGGGGGGGGTGTAGGCAATGCGACGATGAGATAGGAATGTATCTATTCAGAACGGATGACGGGCGGTGGCGCGCGCGTGTCAGTGTGTATGTGTATGCGTGTGTGTGTGTGTGTGTGTTGCGAAAAGGTGGTGGATGATTGTGGATGATGGGAAATGCCGGGGGTGGGTTGGTTTGGTTGGTTTGGTTGGTTTGGTTGGGGGTGGTGTGTGTGCGAGTGAGCGAGTGAGTGAGTGAGCTGTGATTGTTTATGTTTTCCTGTTGGAGCTTGGAGCGAGCTTGGAGCTTGCTCGGCCGGAGAGCTCTCTTTTTTGACAGGATGGGGGATTGGTGATGTGGATGGGGATGGGGATGGGACCGTGGAGGGGGTCGCGTACCTACTGTACACTCCCTCTTAACCACCATTGAACTATTGAACTATTGAACCATTGAACCATTGAACCATTGAACCATTGAACCATTGAGTACACCTACCTTCTTGGCTCCCGACCTACTACCACAACCTACAGGTAGCGTATCCATGTGAATGCGATTGTGCTCGATTGGGATGGGGCCCTTGGACGTTTGGGGAAAGTCCCAGGAAACTTGCCTGATGCACGTCGTCGTCTCGTCTCTGGTCTGAAGTAGTCTTTGGCGGGACTGCGGGAGCATCCTCTGTCGATGAGGTCACCTGTTCCTTCAGATTTTTATCCAAGGTTAGGGGAAAGGTCTGTCAATTCAAAATTCCTACAACCACACCCTCGAGTCATATGTCAAAGTTCCATCTATGGGTTGATGTACGATTATTTGCATGTTTATAATGGACATAACTACTGTTAGGAAACATGTTTTTATTTTCATTTGTTTAGCGTTATGTAATGCACATAGCCATCAATGGATGGCATACTTTGAGGTAGAGATAGGTCGTCTCCCGTGCTCTTAACGTGGCTACAATGAGATATGACGCAGATTTAGATAGCCAAGTCGTCAATCTAACTTACCTAGTTGTCTATATGTACATGCGTGTTGTACGTGCCTACATATATACATACATACATATGTAGGATGCTGAACAGGTCATGTTGTACGGCAGGTGCGCGTGACAAAACTGCTTCCGAAAGTCACCAATATAATATAATATGAAAGATGGGTGGGTGAGATGAAATAGGTGGCACGAGCCCCGCTGAAGGTGCCTGGTGAAGTTGCCTGGAGCACACGCTCAGTTCCTCGCCCTCTAAACACCATCCATGGAGCAAATGACCGCCTCACCACCGCCACCTCGCCGTGATTTCTGTGCTCACTCTATTCGGAACACGGGAAACATGCCATGGCCTTCTTCTCAAACATCAAACGCTTCCACCGCAACAATGTCGCCACGATTCGCAGCTCGCCGCTGGCTGAGGTCTCCGGCGCGCTCGGCGATCTCGGCACCCTCCTACCACTCATGATCACCCTGGCCGTAAACGGGTCCATTTCTCTCTCGACGACGCTCGTTTTATCGGGCTTCTTTAACGTCGTGACCGGAGTCGTGGTACGTATGAAAACCTACCGTGCCGGTTCTGAGACCTGGACTTGGTAGAATGACCTACCTATTGTCTTCCACCGCTAACGGTTGCCGCAGTACGTGAACTTTTGACTCTGAAACATGATCACTGTTACCTGCGTAATTCTAGAAAGTATGTAATAAGGAACTGAGTTAACATGTTTTGATATGGCAGGTTTGGGATCCCTTTACCTGTGCAGCCCATGAAGGTATTTTACGCCATCCAATTATTTACTGCGCGACGCGGCGCGCAGTTGTAAGCCGCCCGGAAAAAGGAGCGGCGAGTTGATGCATGCGGATCTTGGACTAACACCGGTCTTAGGCTATTGCAGCAGCAGCGATCGCCTCGCACACGTCTCAACGCGAGACTATGGCTGCTGGGAGTGTGACGGCTGGGCTCGTGCTACTGCTCAGTATAACTGGTCTCATCCGTCTTGTCACCAGAGTTATCCCCATTCCCGTAATCAAGGGCATTCAGTTTGGAGCCGGGCTATCGCTCGTGATTTCCGCAGGTTCATCTCTTCTGCAGAAGCTGAATCCTGTCTGGCAACAACCCCTCGATAATCATGTCTGGGCGTTAGCTGCCTTCCTATTCCTAATACTGACTCAACGGCGCACTCGTTTCCCCTTTGCACTGATCATGTTCGTGATCGGCCTTGCCATTGCCTTAGTCCGCGTCGCTGTGAGTCGAGAGATGAACATGCCACGAGTACACATCTGGAATCCATATTTTATTCTGCCGAACTGGAGTTCTGATGCCATTGGCATGGGCATCGCGCAACTCCCTTTGACGACCCTGAACTCTGTTATTGCTGTCAGTGCTCTTGCTTCGGACTTGCTTCCTAATCTACCGTCCCCGAGTGTAACGGCCGTCGGCATCAGCGTGGCAGCGATGAACTTGTCCGGCTGCTGGTTCGGCGCTATGCCTGTATGTCACGGGTCAGGGGGCCTCGCAGCGCAATACCGTTTCGGCGCACGTAGCGGAGCCAGTGTGATTCTCCTGGGCGCCTTCAAGGTTGTTCTCGGTGTTGTTTTTGGGGAATCACTACTCGACCTGTTGCAAACGTTCCCACGAAGTTTGCTAGGAATTATGGTTCTTGCTTCTGGCCTAGAGCTTGCCAGAGTAGGACAGAGTCTAAATCATGGTGCTTCCGATTTGTGGGAGGCATCGTTAGAGGAAGATGGTAGCGGAAGGGTTGGAAAGCGCCATCGTACCGTTAGTGACGAGGAGCGCGCACGGCGATGGAATGTAATGCTTATTACTACAGCCGGTATTCTGGCTTTCAAGAATGATGCCGTTGGATTCATCGCTGGAACGTTGTGCCATTACGCCTACCAGTTCACCGACTGGGCGGAGGCTAAATTGCATGCGCATAGATATGGCTCGTCTGAGAGAACACCATTGCTACAGCCCTAGGCACGTACTAGGGTTTCTGCTAAAGAGATCAACGACGTAAGATATACATACAATGAGTGTATATATGTAACTCGTGTAAGGATGGGGGTATCATACAGGGTCATGGCTAGTATTTACCTTAGGTTCGGGAGGCGTTTTAGAACAACAGTGATCATACTTTAACCTGGAATGAGGTGTATTTAAATACCTAGGCTTTAAACCCCAATCTCTTCCAGTAGGAGATAACATTCATCTGATACTCCTAGCCGGAATAAAGAGATGGTTCTATTTACAACATCTAGAAAGACCCCGGAAGTCGACGGCTAATACGCCGGCGAATAGCAAGCGGTAGTTTATTCATCTTTGGCCAAGTTCTACCTAGGTAGATATATATATTTGTTGACACGAAACATTGGCTAGGCCTGGGCTGTCGGCTTGACGCGCTAAGGCGAAGTGTTATGCTTGACTGCGCTCATGCTGCAAATCAACTTACAGAATACAGCGCTGGCGATTGGAGGCTGCAAAGCTATGTACCTACCTACCTGGTAGCACTATGTACATGTACCTAGAGCTAGGTATTGGTCTCCTCTCCGCCCTCCTCCAGTGTAGGTAGTCAGTCGTAGCTAGTTGGAGTTGGCTAACTAGGTATGTACCTACATAGATAGTTACTGTTCGTGGCCAGTTTTCCCCACGTTTGGACACAATAGAAAACAAGGCGCATCTATAAGTAATCCTGCTATCTATCTATGTTTCAAGCTTCATTCAAAACTCTGTTGCCTCTTCCTCATTGCATAGAAGTAGTTATCAGTATGGACATGGGGGGTCTGGAAAAGTCACAGGCGGGAAAGCTTGAGCAAACTTGAGGCTATAGCGGCCAATCAGAGTTGTCTACGGGCATCTAAAAACCCCAAAGAGGCGCGCCAAAAGAGGGGAGTAGCTCTAGCGCTAAAACCTAGCGGGACTAAGTTAGAGAGCCTAACCTTATATGACTAGCGCGAGGTGAAAAGATGGCTGCGGCGGCTGTTCCCACCTGCTGGAATTTTTCTTATCATGGGCCGATCGAAGCAGTGATCAAAGCAGCGCGGGCAGGCGGTGACAATTCTATCCTCGCTCCGCCGCCGACCGACGTGCCAATTGCCGGCCTCTGCCTGCCTCTGCTATCTAATCGCATCGCGCGCATTGAAAGTCCCCTGCCACCCGGCCATGTCTTGTCTGCACCTACACCTGCTCTCCTCCCTGCCAGCGACAACAGCCCCAACGCTACCACGACGAACGAGCTGTCTCCCTCCGACCAGCGATGACTTCGTCCAATGCTGCCCCGGCCGATGAAGGCCGTGCAGCTGCCACGGCTACCGCCACGGCAACGGCTACCATCGCCAACACCACCGCTGCCGCCGCCGACGTCGCCAGCTCCTCCACCACCACCACCACCACTACGACGACGGCCGCGCCCGCGACGACGACCACAACCACCGCAACCACCATACAATCTCCACCGCCCGCTACAGCCGTCTCTACGAGTTCACGGCCGCCTTCGCGTAAAGACGAAGGTGACGACCCCCCTGGTCATAATGCTCCGGCCTCTAGCGCGCCGGATGCAAAATTAACATTAACATTGGGTGCGCATACACCCATAAAACCTTCAGACACAACTTTCGATACGGCCAGTGCTGAGCATCGATGCTCTCCTGCACATATTCCCAGTCAACCGCCGCCCGACTACGATCAACCTATCGACGAGATGGACATTGACCCTCCTCCTATACCTTCTCCCCCTACCGTTTCACCTTTGTCGACTCCGGCAGCTACTCATATCAACGTGGATGACCTTCCCGATGATGACGCTGCAGTAGCTCAAAGTACTGCGGACCACCAACCACCTCTCTCCATGATCCGAGACGCCTCGATATTCCGCAGTGGCCAAGGAGCCTTTGGCCCCCCACTAATTGCGAGTCAACGAATGTCGTCTGCGCCAGAGGAGATGCAGCTGGACGAACCCTTCATGCCAGACCACATGAGCTACCGCCGACAAGCTCAGGTCCAGGCAATCGCGACAACTGACCCCGATCCACATGGTGCCGACTATTCGCATAGCATACTTTCTGGTATGCGTCTGTCTCAGGGGAGCATAGACCCGAGTGCTTACATCATGAATCTTGCGGCCCAGGCCACTCTTTTTCAAGACCATGGCCCTTCTGTCATAGCGCCCTCTGCAGTCTCGTTGCATTCTTTGACTCAAGAAAGCGATGCACTTACGGGGAGTGCAGAACCCGCATCTACAAATGGAAGCCAACAGTTGGAATCTTTTGCTAAGATAGAATTTGCTGATAGTACTTTTCAAATGACAACATACGCTGTTATTATCGGTCGCGACAAGCAAGCAATGGAACAGGCAAGAGCCAACGAGAGGAGGGAAGCAGCTTACAGACGCAAATGCGAGGAAAATGAGAGGAACGGGCTGCCTCCGCCTACGCCCATCATGCATGACAGAGGCAAGTTTAGTAAATCCTATGTTAGCGAAGAGGGTGGTATGCTTGGGCCAGAACACTCAGACGGAGAGGATGTGAAGCCTGTGAAAAAACGTCGTCCTAGTTCCGCCGCTCAATCTGCTGCTGGTGAAGATGATGCTTCTGGTAACCACGTTCAATCTAATCGACAGTACGTGTCGCATACTACGGGAGCCGCTGCGGTGGATTTGGGTACTTTGCAGCCGTCTCCAGAGCATATCCCATTTATCGGTATACATTCGCCAGGACCAGATATTGCCAGTAAAACGCGTGGTATTTCTAGACAACATCTCAAAATTCAGTTCAATAAGAAGAGGGGTGTCTTTGAAGGAATCGCGTTACACAAAAACGGCTTTTTCTGCGAAGACGTTCTTTACGGATTAAATCAGCCTGCAACGTTGAGAAGTGGCGACCGACTACAGATCAAAGATGTCGAGTTTTTATTCATCATCAACGGTGTTCAGCTTGGAATGTCCGGTGGAGAGGATGAAGATGCTGCATCAAGCAAGCGGATGTCGGTGGGTGGCAAAGAAATGAGTCTCGACTTCGAGCATTCCGATCATGAAAACTTCAGGGATACTAGCGAAGAATTGTCCGACGTAGAGAATGTTCCCACTCCCATCATTGAGTCTGAGCATGGTGATGAGGAACTAGAGCCTGCGCCAACCCCAATCACAGCGTCATTATTAACACTGGCGGCAAATTCAGAACCGGTACCAGAACCAGAGGCTGCGGGTGCTCAACCTATTGCTAGAGATGAACATCTAGATGAAACCATCAAACCTGAGTTCGATATGCTAGGCGATCTTCCGCCTGATTTCGCGATGCCCGATATTCCCAAACGCCGAGGACCAGGGCGACCTCCGAAGGATGGAATCATGTCAAAGAGGGAGCGCAGACTATTGAAGAAACAGATGCAAGAAACCTCGAAAAAGACTTTGCCCCAAGATCCACAGGAAGAAAAAATCAAACGCCCCGTTGGCCGTCCCCGGAAGAATCCCCTCCCTGAGGATGGTGAACGGGCTGAGAAGCGCAAGTATAACAAGAAGAAAAGAGAAGATGGCGAGGAGGGATCTGATGTTGAGAAACGCATCAAGGAGAAGAAAGACAAGAAAGTCCGACCCAAATCGCCACCTCTGGAACTTCGAATTGAGGATTACACTGCGGAACAACTGCAGAAACCAACCAAGAATTATGGCGTCTTAATTGACGAAGCTCTTACGAATGGTCCCCCGGATGGTTTAACCCTCAAGCAAATATATAAGAGAATTACGGCAAGATATCCCTGGTTCTATTTTAGGTCCGAGACGAAAGGGTGGGAGAGCAGTGTTCGACATAACCTGATTGGTAACGAAGCTTTCAAGAAGGATGAAGAGACTGGCCTCTGGTCTCGAGTACCAGGAGTAGAACTAGATGCTGGCAAAAAGCGCAAAGCCAGCTCACCAGATCGTCACCTCGGATCCGCACATCTTCATTCGCACTTATCACACCCACCGTACTATCATGGCAGCCCCTACGCTAATGCTAGCAACCTTTCATATGCACATGGGCTTCCAAATTATCACACTGAGCAAAAGCCCTCTCAACCCGCATATACCTCGACAGGACAAAGCACACAGCTTCACACAACTCCATCGCAGCCCGTTGCCCAGCCAGTATATACGGCTCATGTGCCGGCACCAGCTCAATTACCTCCTGGCTACGGAAGTCTAACTCAACCAAGACCGTCAAACGTGCCCCAACAAAGTACATACAGCTCTCCTTACGCACGCCCACCGCCGCCTCCTAATCCACCCGCCAAAGTCGAAACAGTTCAGTCAAGCGCCCAAACTACTCCCGCGTCATCAACTCCACGGCCTATGGCTTCTACACAGCAGCAACAGCCAAAACCTAGTGTTGCTAATGCTGGGCCAAGTGAGCAGCTGTCACCGGAGATTGAAAAGGCAATAGTGCAGTTCAATGCCAACATGCTGAATGTGATTTCCAAACAGACACCGCATGCCAAACTTATCGTTGAAGCGGCTGCCAACCGAGTCCGGGGGCTACCAGTGCATAACAGAGTCCCAGGTTTCGATTCAGTTGAAACGACTCTTGTCAATGCGATGCTAGGAATGATCAGAGATATGAAGGCCAAGCACCCTTACACCGCGTCAGCTTCTCCAGCCCCGAGCGCGCCTGCGCAGCCAAGTTCTACGCCAAGCCCTGCACCACCCAACACCGCCGAGGCTGAGATACAACGACGACTAAGGAACTTTCGGGATAGCATGGTTACGGCGCTTAAGAAGAAGACTGACAAGGCTGAGATTATTGTAGACTCAGCCATCAACCGTGCTCGGGGATTGCCGGCTGCTAAGATTCCTGGCTGGGAGGAGGCGGACAAACTGATGGTTAAGTCTGTCACGCAAATCATTGCCGAAGCACGCAGTGCGCATAACCTTACACTGCAGAAAGCTTCACCATCTCCGGCAAATAACAGCCGAGCAGTTGTGCCACAACCAGCACAATCCATCCCCCGCGCAGAACCGTCCACTTCCCCCGCTCCGGCTCAGGCCCCTACCACATCTACTACACCACATGTGCCTCCCAACAATAGCATGTCAAGAGCCCCTTATGCTTCGAACACCCAACCGCCGCTGTCAGGACCTTCAAGTTTAAATGCCTCTTCAATGACACGGCCAGGTATGCCTCTCCAACGGCCCTCTCCGGTCTCCCTTACGCGCCCGTCAACGGCTCCAATGACTCGCCCAACAACTTTGCAAAAAGATTCGGGAACTGCACCAACCATGGGATCTACCATTGTCCCTACCGCTCCACGGCCCAACGTGTCGAGTCCTGCTCCCCCCAGTGCCGGTGTTCTTGACCAGATTACTGGCCACAAAAGGTTTGCGGACGATGCGTTTCACAAGAGCCACCACACCAATGGTGGTAACAACACGAATAGTCACAGTACTAGCCATACCGTTTCTTCTAGCAACACCATAAACAGCTCTGGCGTCAACACAGCTAACAGCTCGTCTGTTATCAAAGCCACGCCATCAATTACGTCAGCAAGTGGTGCTTCGAGCGGGGTGAGAAGTAGCATGGCGAACAACCTAGCAAACCAGGTGACGAGCAGCGCGATAAATAATATAGCAGGCAATTCAGTGAGTCATCCGACAAGTATATCTTCGACTAGTATAGCCAGCAATCAGGCAAGCAGCACACCACCGAATGTGGCAAAAGTCCAGACGAGCAGCATTCCAAACAATATGACAAGCTCTGCAGTGAATAGCAACGCTGCTGGCAATATGTCGACGAGTATTACGAGTAACAATACCAGCATTGCTTCAAGTGCTGGCAATGTTAATGCTATCAAGACTGGTTCTAGTAGCAGCCTGGGTGCCGGCACGCCGACAACTGCCACTGGTCAAATTACCAAAAATGCAACAGATGGCACTAAGACTAGTAATCCCCCTATAACTGCGATCGATGTCGCGAACCAGTCTGTCGCTGTTGCTACTAACAGCAATACTGGGAATGCACATGGTGGTAACACTGGTCTCAAGCCTATACAAGCTCAGAACGTCAATACAACCACTAACACAAGCATCCCCACAGCTGCTGGTGTTGATCCTGTTATTGGTACTCGTCCAGGTGGACATTCAGGTGCTCAAATCCCAATCAGTGCTAAGGAGAGTCCAAATGGTATAGCAGAAAGTGAGAAAAGTGCCCCCGCCAAGGTCACTACAACAGAGCATCATGAGCCAGCGACTTTCAGGGCGCCGGCACCCGTTCATAACATATCTAGCCCTGCACCACCAAGCGCCGGGGTTGTGGACCAGATTGCTGGTCACAAGCGGTCACTAGATGAAGGACCGGGCAGTGCAAATGCAGAGCAGCCCGAGCCTAAGAAAATCGATATCTCGTCCGCTTAGTATACGGTCATTAAACACGGTTTGTGATGAAGACGCCGGGTTATGGTCATGAATCAGGTGAGCAACGAATGATGGCTAAGAAATTATCATACGAATTACGAAATTGCATTGCATTCTGGACTTTCAGGGCTTTCACAAAAATTAAGACGGCCAATTTTATGCTTGGGACTGGTGTCCTATCCCTATTATAGGCGAATGGATTCGAGAAAGGCGTTTTAGGGTTGGCCAAACGAATACAGCGGATGGGTACACAACTCAAGAGTTCTGTTATAAGATACCATTTCTAAGTTATACGATAGCGTATATCTGAATTATCAGATTTGCCTATCTGCATGTTTGGCTTGTTATCGAGATTTGCGGGCAGAAGAGTCCCGGAATTGCTCGGCACGTACAAGATTCATCAGAGCGCATCTACCATAAGTAGTCCTCGACGTAATAAATGTATATATATTATACCAAACAATTGTATTCGAGGCATCTGGACTAAGGTACCCATGAAACCAACGTCGAGTCAGCGTTTTGGAATACGAGAACTGGATTTGAAAGCATTCATGAGACTAGGAAATTGATTTATCTTGGTTAACAGTTATGCCGACACTCACATCAATAGCTTTTAGATGAGCATATCTTAAAATCAACCGATGCGCGGCCTAGAAGCTGTATAATATGCATTTTGATCTATGGTGGCAATGACACGCTACGGACCTCTCGGTCAGTTTCTCGACTGCTGCTTCTGCGATAGGTGCTTGCTCATAAGTTATGCTTATCACAGACCATTGTGCGAAACAGGCACATAGCCGAACATGCTAAAGGGGCGAGACGATTGAAGCCCAACTCGTAGACAGCTAAACACTCTGCGGGAGCTAGGTCAAGGCAACAGAGTGGGTAATATCCAGTCTATGCTCCCTCGGCTCCGAGATTGGTGAAGCCATGGCGGCTTAGGTTCTTCGGGGAATATCCCTGGAGAACATAGATGCGAAGTTTTAACATTCAGATAAAATGGGCATCACTGTTGTGACTATTGGGCGGACTTAATCATGCTGGAATCACCTGCCTTAATCAATTCGCAGTTACATAACGCCAATGTCGCTTCGCCTGCGACAATTCCTAATTCCGTATCCAACAGATTCTATGCTTTGTTGTTCACCTAATAAATCTACATACCAAACGCTCGGACGCGAGTATTACACACTTAGCTTGGATTCTAGCCACTTAGCAAACCGCACCGAAGGGATGTCTACCGCACGCCAAAAGATATCAGCAGCCCAGACTACGAGAGGAATATTGATGATAGAAGCGAGAGCGAAACCAGCCTTGTATCCGGACCCCTCGGTTCCGGTGATCCCCCAGGCCCAGCGCTGGACAGGATATCCTAGAATGTGCGTCACTGGTCCATGCATCAGATAAATGGCATAGCTAAGATGGCCCAGATATTGAACCGGGGGCTGTTCGAAGAAGCGCTGCCAGCCACGCGACCGCGCCGCGCAGAACACGAACAGACACGCGCCTATAACTTGCCAGAAACGGTATTTCTCGCTGAACCAGGTCGGGATGAACGTGCCGAGGAACCTCCAGCCCGGCACGTCCCACGGGCCGGCATCGGGACAGGATAGGAGATATAGGGCTAAAATGGAAACGAGTGTCCAGAACGAATCCATACCAGACCTGTGATAAGCTGGTGACGGAGCCGGACTCGTCTTCTCTTCCAGCGGTAGTTGAAGCGTAGGCTGCGACGCCCCCGGGTTACGCCCCTCGTGAGCATTGCGTCTCAAGTCTAGGTCCGCGATGATCATACCCGCGAAGAAAAGCAGCATCTCCCATCTATCGTTCCGCAGGACGAACCACGAGAGCAAGCCCACTACCACCAGCCTGACGTTGTCCCGCAGTCGCGCCGTGCCAATGAGCACCAGGAAAAGCACCATCGAGCACCGGAACTCTAACGGGATCGTCCACAGGTGCACGTCGTACTGCGTAGAGCCAGCGTGGTTCTCCCAGCTCCAGATATGGATGAAGGCCCACATTTCGTGACCCCAATGCCGCAGCTGTGCAGGTAGCGAGTCGAGCTGCTTGGGGTGGTACTCGATGACGTTCCGGGTGAACGTGCGGTCCTGGATAAACTCTCTTGTTGACTCGTACGCGCCCCAGCGAAGCAAGAGCGCCACACCCAACGTGGAGACGATGGGTGGCAGATACAGCCTGAAGAAGCGGCGGAAGACGAGCGAGGAGGTCGTCCGTGCGAAGGCCTCCGAGTTTCGCTTGCGCGCGAGCTGCAGGGGTCGTAGCGAGAGCGCGTACCCGGATATCACGAAGAACACGCAGACACATGAGGGCCCGCTGTAAATCAGCCGCACGAAGGGCAGCCGCCAGAACGAGGTGTACGTGGACACAGTCGGTGGCGGCTCGTCGGAGTCAGGGGGCGGCCGGGGCAGCCAGCCGTATCCCTCGGCGATGAAGAAGACCGTGTAGAAATAGTGGCAGAAGAAGACGAAGAAAGCGGCCAACCCTCGCATCCCGTCGAGATAGGCCGTCGGGCTGAGCGTCTTCGCACCACTGCCGTTACTATGGGTCTCGTTGCGGCGGTCCCGCGCCGGCGAGAATCGATTATGTGTGAAGCTCGGGAGGAGGAAGACGGCCGTGCGTCTCAGCACGAGGTTCGTGTAGGTCGCCCATCGGATCTTGCCTACGCCATATTCCCCTCCTCCCCAGATGCCGTCGTTCTCCTGGTCCTCGGTCAGCAAGGCCCGCCGCTTCTCTTCTTCTATGAGCAACATTTTTTGGAAGGACTGCACGCCGAATGACTTTGAACGGGGTTCATGTGTCCCCCCCCCGTGATGGGCTCTTTCTCCCAAGCAAGGGAAGATTACGCTGGTTTTGATAACCCGGTTCGCTGTCTACCCCTTCATCGGTGTAACTGGATTCTGAAAGGGGCACACCGAAAGTCGTCCCGGTTCGAGTCAAGGTGTACAGGATCCGGGTCTCACCAAGGTCGAACGAGATGCGAGATCGCGATGGTGTCGCACGAGATGTAAGTAAGTATAGTTCGCCCGTTTACCTAGGGTCGTTATCCTAGCGACTACTAATGTGGAAATACAAGAATCCACACGGAAAAATAAAGAGAGTAAAGAAATATGAAAACAGTGAGTGAACGTAGTGTAGGTGGATTAGGAGGTTGGACTCTACCCAGTATTCAGGCATCGCGGGATGGGCTACACTACACTGTTTTCTGAGAAGACGGTCGGTGCCCCCTTTTGGGTTACTTAGTTGTATCATTTCAAGGACCTACAGTACATACATGAATTTACACATGCCCATACCGAATTGTCTGGATCGGCCAGGTTGAGAGCATACGTGTAGCGTACGTAAGTGTTGTAAGGAAGATGATATGGCACTGTAGGGCAAAACTTCCTGTCTGCCGTGTCCCCTGGATGTTGCAGATCATGCGAGCCTCCGTTTTTTTCAGATCCAGTTATATAAAGAATTGCCAGTCGGGGGACATCGAGAAGTCGAGATCGGCAAAAGGTAATCAACAGTCGAGGTCGCACCATGTCAATCGTCATAGTATAGTGTACGTATCAGATGTATCAGATGCGTATGTTATTGCCTATCTACATTTATCAAGAGGGGAGAGTCTCCATAATTACTTGTGTTGTTCGTCGTCTCTTGTTTCACGATTGATTTCGCGCTGGGCCCACGTCATTCTTTAGCATGGCTTGACTTGGTACAGATTGGCAACAGGGTCCAGACTGGACTGTGGCAGTGCTTCTGCTTTCCTTGGGTCTTGGGCCAGATGGCCCAGTACTGCCCAGGTCATACATTTTACATATAGGAGTAATTGGCATCAAATACCACTTTTGGAGGTGTTAGACTAAGAGGATCAATCAGTCGAGTCAGTGTCCACATTAAACCCTAGACTCCTCGAATGTTTTGTGACTTTCTGCTTTATTAGCGATTATTATTGGAGTACCACCCCTATATCTCGCTTATTCATCCAATGAGTTGATTCTCAAGTCCTATATATACCATGTAGAATAAGAAAGTGTAGGTGCATTCACTCGTCGTAGCGAATTTCTGGCGTAGTTAATTAATGTACATAGCGGCCGGCCGGTTGTGTTGAGACATAAGTACACACACTACTATACACTAATCTAGGTATGGTTGTAATATGCGGACGACCAAGTAACCGGTTTTGACCAATGCCGGTATTTGGTGCCTAGATCGCCAACTGCTAGTAGACTTATGCTGTGTGTAGTTGCATCGTAAACTAGGTAGTGTAAAACCGGAAGAGACGCTCGCGAAACGTTGCGGCGCGGTGAGAGGCTTACACTCGCTCATGCGATCGCTTTTATTCATGAGTGATCTGCAATATTACTATGTACTGTAAAGCGAATAGATATGTACGTGTAGGTAGTCTACTTCTGTGCCACCTTTGTCTAACGGGTACTGGTACTGTAGTAACGGAGCACAAGACAGGGACAGGGTTGCGCAACGCAGGTACCGTGCCATACTTTACTAAAATGACAAGGATAGGCACAATACTCTGCGAAGTGTGGGAAAATCATACTTACAAGGACTGAAAGGAAAACAGATAACAGACGATCTCCAATCCTAACTAATAACTCTTTTCCCGGCCGCATTGTCGCATGTCTTGGCGGCGACAGGACCCAAACGAAGTGGATTTAGCCCCAAGGGGATGGACAGAGATGGATGAAGATCTCTCTATCCAGCTTATGGGTCTGTTTTGCTGATCTTCGCTAGGTAGTTCGCTCGCGGATAGGTGCTTTCCTGTATTTCGTGTTGAAACAAGTAATGTATTGCGTGATGTCGCAGCTTGGCATTCATAATGGCAGATCAGTCACTACCTACTTACAACGCTTTGCCTAAGACGAAGTAGCGTACACAGAAGTTGGAGCATGTTGATGTGCTCATTCGTCTCTTACCATGTCCACGTCTAACGTTGCTTTCGACCAGCGTACCGTTATAAATTATCATCATGCCATTTCACTTCCAATATAAGACATGAGATTGTTCATATCTGATCATTCATATATTATTATTTCTACACAAAGATAGAAAAAAACTGTCTAGCAGAGCTACGTGTTGCAAAATCTACAACGGACATCCAAGCGCCTCCTCGCGCCTTCTAATACGGCGAGGAAGCCTTGCTGATACCACTGTAGTAGTTGATCCACTTGAAGATCTCTGTGTGCCAGACCAAGCTGTTCTCCTGTTTCAGAACCCAGTGGTTTTCATCTGGGAATGAGAGTAGACGTGATGGCACTCCCTTGGTCTGGAGAAGATTGAAGAGCAGTATCCCCTCGCTCACGGGGAGACGGTAGTCGAGCTCGTTGTGCACGACGAAGTGAGGCGTTGCCCACTCGTTGACGTAAAGGAGCGGGTTCCACTCATAGTACGGCGAGCCCTTCTCGAAACCCGTCTCGTTGAATGGGCCACTGAAGTCGTGGTTCATGAACCAGAGCTCTTCACTTCCATACTGGTTGAGCGTCGAGGTGCTGCCGTCGTGCGTCACGAGCGCCTTGAACCAGCGACCCATCTCGTGCCCTTGCATCCTATTGTGTGCGCGTTAGTCATCATATCATTAGATACCCGAGACTTTGTCTTGACTTCATTTGGAAATCATGTGATTTATGAGCTTTACTTACCAGTTTGTCATATAGCCTCCAAAGGAAGCACCAGCTTCAATACCCCGAGAAGTATCGACGTATTTGAGCGTGCTGTTGACGTACTTCCACGCGTGGACCAGGTCCCAGTAAGGGTACGAGCCCCATCGTCCCTGGACAGAGTCCGTAAGGTTCTGGCCCCAGCCGGAACTGGCCGTTGGGTTTGGGGCGATAACCACATAGCCTTGATCGGCCCAAGTTTTGAAGTTCCACCGCGTACTCCAAGAGTTGAAATGTGCACCTTGGGGCCCTCCATGCGAAATGAATGCCAGTGGGTATTTCTTTTCCTTTGAAAATCCTTCAGGGTAGATGATCCACGCTTGCAGATCGATCTCCGTAGTGTTGGTCGAGAAGTAGAACTCGGAAACGTCCTCAGGTCCAAGACCCTTGAGGCCTGGGTCGACTTTGTTGGCTTGGAAGTACGTCTTCACAACCTTGCCCTTGGGGGAGACAGTGTAGATATCGCGACTAGTCCAGATCTTGGAGTCAGAAACAAGAAGGTTGCCATTAGGCAAGGTGTAAAAACCGGCTGGCACACCCTCGTTTGTAATGTTCGTAGGCTTATAATCCTCACCAGCGGTTAGGGGGATGGGGAAGATACGTTCGCGTCCAAGATCAGGGGCCCCAACATGTATGGTTTTGGAATCTGGAGCCCAGGCAAGCGAGTCAGGAGCACGGTCCCAGTTACCCGCGAGACGTTTGACATTAAAATTCTTCGTGTTTACATTGGCAACGTAGAGACTGCTGCGATCTGACTCGTATGAAATACCATACATCTGGAGATACGCGATCCTCTTTCCATCGGGCGAGAAACGAGGAGTGGTGGTTGCTCCCTGAGCTTCTGGGTATTTGGTGCTGCCACGAGCCTGGATCGGCACAGCCTCTTTAGCAGAGCCATGGAAGGGCACGTAGTAGATGACGTCGGCAGTGTAGTTTGCAAGAGGTAGAGTCGTATCTTTAGTTAGAAAGACGACGCCACTACCATCAGGCGCAATATCATAGTCGCTCTGGTCACTCTGGTCGTAAGGTGATTCAGCACAAGTGACATTGCATATACCCGTGACGTAGTTGGTAAGTTCGCCAGAAAGCACGTAGGAACCCTTTCTACGCTTCAGCACACCACCAAAGACGGCGTTCTTCTCCGCCGTTAGCCAAGTATCCCAGTGTCGAACGTATATCGAGTTGTACAACCTAGCCGTGCTGGCAGGCGTCTCTGCGAAGTTTTCGTTGTATGCTGTGCCGTTGGGATACGCCTTTGTATATACGAGGAAGTTGATATCGCCTGATTTCGTCTGGGCAGCCTTGAGGCCGGAGTACGGAGCGGGCAGTGAAGCGATGAGCTTGGCGCTCTTGAGGTTGTTAGCATCAGCCGAGTACAGGCTAATACCGCCGTCCTCCTCCGCATTGGTCCCATTGATATAAAGAATGCTTGAATCTTTGGGTCCAACGAAGACGACTTCCGAAATGTCGGATCCGTCATACCACGTGGAAATCTTTCCCGTCTTCAGATCCAACTTATTCCACCAGGAGACGCGTTCCTTGGTCTCGAATGTATAATTGGACACCGTGAAAAGTGCGAAATCCTATATACCTGATTAGTTTTACAACAATCTCTACGGATGTATGAGTAGATGGGCTGTCACTAACACCTGACGGGTTCGGTTGCGCAGCGCCGTACCGATTAGCCGCAAGCATGAGTTCCGGCGTGATGGCCAGAGCTTTTGGCAAGGCAGCTAGAACGGCTGCGGCCAGCAATTGTGACTTCATCTTCAACAGGCGTCTTCAATTGACTGGCAAGTGAGCAATAAGACGTCGCGGAAAGCCTACCAGAAGAAAAAGGAACAGCAAGCTGCGGCGTCGGGAACGATGACGCCTTTTAAAGCTCTTTCGGCAAGCTACGATCAGCGCTGGAAGCTCCCAGATAGGCAGGACTCCGTAAGTTCATCTACACTTGGAGCTCTTGCGCGGTGTGGGGGAAACATTGCCCATGCTGATGATTACTTGCATACTTAGGACAGCCTACCTACACTGTCCATCTGTGTCTGCCTGGTCTCATAGGCTACTACTGTTCGAACGAGACGGGGAATCAGCTACCTATGATGTGATGTGACTGTGGACGAGTTAGGTAGCATGCACTAGGTATGTCGGATGGTAAGGCCTGCAGCAGGCTGCCGTGCCACGATGCTGGGAACGAGTAAGATAGCTTCTATGACTGCTTCGATTATCATAAGTAGAAGCGAGGTGACATGGTGACTAATGACCAGGGGGCCTGCTTGCCGTCATTTTCCTAGTACCCTGCTAGGACGACAGACCTCGATCAAAGAGGCAGGTGACTATATACATCTACTGATAAGTCGACATTGCTGTCGCAATAACGGCGTTATTACCTACTATCAGATAGGTAAGACATCGCTTTTAATTTGGAAAAATTCCTTCATGAATGATGCTCATTTCCTTAGAATTGCAGAATGTTTGGTAGGTATGAGGTGCTCGAGGTGAATCTTTGGATTGGCATGTCTTGAAAGAAGAACAATAAACCAAACGAGTGAGGTCGACTAGCGGTTAACCGGTTAACCAGAATGTGAAATCTCAAATTACTGTAGGCTGTCGACCTGCAGGCTACTAAACACCAGGGCAAGTTGAGGGAAACTCACGTCAGCGAGTCAATTGGGGCCAACATGGGTGGCGCTCTCGAAGCTTGGTAACGCTGACCGACCAACTGCTCGGAGACTTGGAGAGCTTCAAAGGTGCGATTCTGGTGCAAAGAGGCGTAATGATCCAGCCTCCCCGCCTGATAAACAAGGGTTTGCACTCATCTCGGGTTAGCGTCTTGCTGTTGGATGATCAAAATCAATCTGCATACTGAGTAGGGTTTCTAGAAGCTGACGTTGGATGAGGGGAAGAATACAAGCCCTGCGAGAGCTTCGTAAAAAGTCCCAGGATGGCCTTTTCTCGCTCACCACGAGGGATTTTATCATCCAATGTACAGAACCAACTTGTTCTCACGACAAGTCTAGTGACCAGACAGCGCATGGCAATTCTTTCGTCCTTGAGTTATTATCTTGCCTAACGGTAATTGAGGATACTAAGACAATTCCAGACTCGTCCAGACTTTAGGTCCGGAAGATCGGGAGGCCAAGCGGCATGCCACAGAGTACCACGACAAATACGACCCTTGGCTTGACGATACTTACCTAGGTACTGACTGCCAGTGACCGGCATACCTGCCTCACGCAGCTAGTGACTATAGTATACGAGATGTCTATCAATTGATTACCTGTAAATTTTTTTGGCTCAAGTTTCAGAGGATGGCCCTCCTATCTCGAATACTCCCAAGACCACCCGAAAAGGTTCATTCTCGTTGTGACTGCTTTTCAGCTACCTAGATACTCGGCATGGATATTAGCGTGGAACGTCCAGGACAACACCAAAAGTCAATCTCCTCCCGCTGTCTCTCCTTGCATGAGGCTTTCGAAATTCAGCAATTACGATAGGCTGAGGACCATGTCCTAGTTACATCCCCGCTTTCAGCTGGATCGTGTACCATACGTTGGGTCACACAATGCGTCCAAACTCTCGGTTCTGTCTCGGTCTAGAGTACAGTGGCTGAGCATACCGGAAGGTCCCGAGTTTTTTGTCATACCATACCATATGCATTCACTATGTAGCCAATACTGTAGGTCAGCAGTAACAATCATTTATCATGTACCTATGTTACTGATGTGGAAGAACCTGGTTGTCTCCCAGATACTGCCCTTACCATAATAAGCATAACATTCGTTAATCTTATTTAGCAACCAGGTTACGTAGCGCCAGGTTACCAACCTCTAACATCCTGCCAAGGCTACTTTTAGACCCCGCCATCCAGATAGGAAACGGGCAATAGTATCATTCAAAGTGGAAGGGCGAAAGAAAGTTGTAGGTATCCGAAGGGCAGCTATCGATCAACACGTGTCTTTACAAGTCGTGGGAAGCGGCTGTCTACACAATAATCTACTAAAAGATTTAATATGCGTGCTTGAGACTTCACAGGTATAATTCATTATAAGCAAGACAATACCTATTTGAGCGCTTCCGCTCAGCCAAAGCGGCGCTTCTTCTTTTATCCCGAAACAAACCGGTACCCTCAAACGCCTAAGCCTCCATCAAATGCGATGCTTCAAAAAATGAGAACGCCGAGCAAGCTTTCGCCATCAACAAATCGATTAGAACCAGGTCTATAGTCTGTTTTGTCGCTCCCGCTCAACTTCGTACATGAAGTCGAAGTAGCCCTTGTCAAAGTGGTGTACTCGCACGTAACCGTCCTCTCCGCCACTTGCATAGCCCTTGCCTGTAGGGTCTGCTGCTACAGTATTCTGAAAAATTTATTAGCTTTTTGGTCCTGTGTTGTACATGTCCGTAGTAAAACGGCCCATGCCAAAGCTGTATCGTAGTAAACTTACCAGGGGTCCAAAGTGACCTCTTACACGACCGATCTCATCCTCGAAGATTTTGTGGTAAAATCGGGCTTCGAATTTACCCTGACGCGCAGCAGTGGTTGTGACATCCATGGCGGCCTGACCACCACCCAAAATTACGTAGTCTTTTTTAGGAGTAATGCATGCGCTGTTTAAGGGTGTGTCGGCTGGGTATGTCTTGAGAAGTTCGAGATCACGAGCAGCCAACAACCTGGCAGTCTTGTCCTTTGACGCTGTGATGAAGCAAGTCCGGTCTGGGGACCATTGAAGATCCGTCACCTGCATGTTTAGTTCGTGGATAGGGATGTTATCGAGTAATTCGCCAGTCTGTAGAAACGAACAACGGCATTAGTATATACAGCGTAGGCTTGGTGACGGTATCGGGAGTGCACGGTACCTTCGCATCGTACTGGGAAACTGAGCCATCCTCGTGTCCAGCAATGATATACTTGGAAAGATAACTCCATCCAGCCACGGTGGCCTTGCTCTCATCGCAGACGATAGTCAAATCTCGTTCGTCGCTCTGTTCGGCCTCGACATCTAGAACAACGGGGAGAACCACGATCGTACCCAGGTGACCCATGCGCTTCTCGGTAACACCCAGTAGTTGACGACCGTCAGGGCTGAATTCAACACGTTTGACGGCAGTCGGAAAGTCCCATGTCTTAAGCAGGCGACCGGTCTTGATCTCCCACAACCGCATGGTGTTGTCGGCGCTACCGCTTGCAATCATGGTGGAGGTAGGATCAACATCGACTGTCCAGATAGCACCCTGGTGCCCCTTATAGGTCCCGAGACGTTCGCCATTGTGAGAAAACCAAACACAGATCTGTTGGTCCTTGGATACGGAGAAGAGAAGGTCGCCGTCGGGGTTGAATCTGCAGAATTTTCGTTAGAAAGACACAGTCGCGGGGTAAGGTGGCGTGAAGCTAACTTGATCTGCGTCAGGGCACGTTCCTGAAGACAAAGTATGTTAGCATCGCTCACTACGCGCAACAGTCTCTCCGGGCGCGTATAGCTGTAAGTACTTACATGGCCCGAAAGAAGGATAGGTCTCATTTTGGCGGTGTTGGGTTGTCGACGACTTCACGGGGGTAATCGTCACCAGCGATCGTGGGGTGGGTGGGCTTTTGAAAGGTTTGTGCGTGCACGTGATGATAAGTTTGAGAATGTAGCTTATGGAAGAACAGAGGGGCGGAGTGCTGAGGGAACGTGCTGCCAGGGGAAGTTGACTCACTAAACCTTGTAAATTTCTAGTGGGATTGCCATCCTAGCGAGGCGGCCCTAGCGTAATATTTCTACTAGGTAAATGTAGGTAGTTACTCTGCTTCTATTTCGATATTTGCCCCCAAATGCTCATTTTCATAATGATGCTTAACTAGGTTGTCATTCGCTGCATAAATATGGTCTCAAGATAATCTACAAGCTCTAGGGTCATCATAGCTAAGTACTACAGCTCAGGCCAGCTCAAGTTACCTCGAGTATATGCATGTATTCTTGGTACCTACAGGCAGTGATATTTATGCCTAAGTACTACCTACCTAGGCAGGTATGTATTGACCATGCGTTCACTTACAGGCAACCTAGAAACAGCCTAAATCTCAACTCAACCTCCAACACGTAAAATCAATTCCGAATGCCATGTGGCCGTAAGAATCGAAAGCCACTACATAAGGACTACATAAGGTTTGACTCATCCCTTCCCTCATTTTTATTATCATATCACGCTACCTTGAATATTGTAGATTTGCGCCACTTTTCATGCGCTAATCGTCGCCAAACAGTTAAACCTCTTGTATCCAGATGGGTGGTAAGAAGACAAACAAAGACACTAAACCTCTAACACACTAGATAGGTAGGGCAAACTCCAGCCTTGACTCATCTCAGTGGGTGTGTCATAATTAACTCTTCTGTGACTGGAGGCTGACAGTGACTCTCATCAACATCCTTTCGACGCCGTCTTGGTATCGACGGTTTCACTTTTTGTAAAGCCAGAGAAATACGTGGCTGGTGTCCGTCTGCTTATTTTTTTATTATTTTTATTTTTACTTTTGGAGCTCGTTGAGTCACTGATACACACCTATCCCATAATTGCGGGTTAGTGAGGCTAGGTGAGCCTTGTTGAGGCCAAGGCCGGTGCGAAGGAGTGAAATAGGATTGGGGCTGAGAACGGCATTGGATCGTGTGGCAGATGACTCTATCCAAAGCGCTTCTCCATGGCTCGAAGCCCGTGAGGAAGAATGTATCACATGCGCGTCTACGGCGGCAGCGGCTAGTTACGGCGGTCACAAACCTAGTAACGCACAGAGGCGCCGTTACTAGCGCAGAATTGACCGTCAGTGCTTCGAGAGGCCAACCCTCGGCTCCAGCACCCGAGCCAGCTCCGCTCTCCGGCATCTCAAAACCCTGCATATTTTTTAGTACTCGACCCTCCCTTCTCCCGACTCGGGCACAGGATTACTACACCATTGCCAGCACGTCGACAACCCCACGTAGGAGGGGACCCCAGGTTACTGCCCCGGCTTATGAGAGTGCCTACACTGCGAAATCCTCTTCTTATTATCGAGGGCACCCGCACTTACTTCAGGTTCGATCCTGGTCCTCTCAGCAACCTGGTTCCCTGCGGTCCTACTCGACGAGTCCCTCCGCCATGACGGCCATAAAGCTTGATGGCACGGCTATCGCCAAATCTATTCGCGAGAGACTCGCCACCGAGATCGTTGAGAAACATAAACTAAACCCTCAATATCAGCCTTCATTAAAGATCATTCAAGGTCCGTTCATAGCCAACCACTACTAGCCTCGTGGATTGATTGCCACTAGCTGAACTAACACGTATGTAGTCGGTGATCGTTCTGATTCCTGTACGTGAGCACTGCTATGATTCTAAGCAGCGTCTGAATTAACACCAATGAAGCTACATATGTTCGCATGAAACTGAAGGCAGCCGAAGAGGTTAGTAGTCTTTTCAAACCTTTAAGGCCCAAGTAAGAGCCTAATGGTTTCAACTTCCCTAGGCAAATATTAGCTGCGAGCTTGTTCACTATCCGGAATCGATCACGGAGGCAGAGCTCTTGGCAAAATTGCACGTTCTCAACCAAGATGCCAAGGTTACCGGTATTCTAGTCCAATTGCCTCTTCCCAAGCATATCAATGAGTATGCTGTCACTTCTGCTGTCGCTGATGAGAAGGATGTTGATGGCTTCGGTACTACTAACATTGGAGAACTTGCTAAGAAGGGTGGCCACCCGTACTTTATCCCATGCACGCCCAAGGGTGTAATGGTGTTGCTAGAGAATGCTGGTGTCGACCTCAAGGGGAAAGATGCTGTAGTCCTCGGCCGAAGCGATATAGTTGGCAGTCCCGTCAGCTATCTACTCAAGAATGCTGACGCCACAGTTACTGTATGCCACTCCAAGACAAAAGACCTAGAGGAAAAGTTGAAGAAGGCCGACATCGTTGTTGCTGCTATAGGGAAACCTAACTTTGTGAAAGGCGAGTGGTTAAAGCCAGGAGCTGTCGTAATTGACGTCGGAACCAACTACATTCCCGATGCTTCTAGAAAATCAGGGCAGCGTCTTGTCGGTGATGTTGACTATGAGTCGGCGTCTCAGGTTGCCTCTCACATTACTCCTGTACCAGGCGGTGTAGGCCCAATGACGGTTGCCATGCTGTTGCAGAATGTGGTCGACGCCACGACAATATACTTTGAGCGCCAGAAGCAGAGGCATATTGTCCCACTCCCTCTGAAACTCCAAACTCCAGTGCCCTCGGATATCGAAGTTTCCAGGGCTCAAGCGCCAAAACTGATCACCCGAGTTGCAGAGGAGGTCGGTATTGCGCCGGACGAGCTAGAACCTTATGGTGCAACAAAAGCCAAGGTGGATTTGACTCTGTTGAAGCGACTTGATCACCGTAAAAATGGCCGGTATGTTGTTGTCACTGGTATCACACCTACTCCTCTAGGCGAAGGCAAATCTACCACGACGATGGGCTTAGCCCAAGCCTTGGGTGCTCATCTTGGTCGACTGACCTTCGCAAATGTACGCCAACCTAGCCAAGGTCCTACTTTTGGTATTAAGGGAGGTGCTGCAGGTGGCGGTTACAGTCAGGTCATCCCTATGGATGAGTTCAATATGCATCTGACAGGTGATATCCATGCCGTTACTGCGGCGAACAATCTTCTAGCTGCTGCTATTGAAACTCGCATATTTCATGAGAACACCCAGAAGGATGGACCTTTGTACAGAAGATTGGTGCCTCCAAAGAACGGAAAGAGGGTTTTCGCACCAGTCATGTTCCGCCGACTCAAGAAATTGGGAATCGACAAGACGAACCCGGACGAGCTCACGGAAGACGAAATCCGCCGGTTTGCTCGTCTAGATATTGATCCTGACACTATCACCTGGAGACGTGTCTTAGATGTGAATGATCGTCATCTACGAGGAATCACCGTTGGTCAGGCTCCAACCGAAAAGGGCCAGACAAGAGAAACTGGGTTCGACATCTCGGTTGCAAGTGAGGTTATGGCCATTCTTGCCATGAGCACCAGCTTGGCTGATATGCGAGAACGACTTGGCAGGATGGTTGTGGCTACCTCACGATCTGGGGAGCCCGTTACATGTGATGACCTCGGAGCTGGTGGTGCTCTGACCGCTCTTATGAAGGATGCCATTAAGCCTAACTTGATGCAGAGTTTAGAGGGGACGCCCGTGTTCGTGCATGCCGGGCCTTTCGCCAATATCAGCATTGGAAACAGCTCTATCCTTGCGGATAAGATGGCTCTAAAACTTGCTGGCACTGAACTAGATGAGGACTACAGTACCAAGGCCGGTTTCGTCGTCACCGAGGCTGGTTTCGATTTTACAATGGGCGGCGAGAGATTCTTCAACATTAAGTGCCGTGCGTCAGGTCTTGCGCCCGATGTTGTAGTTATTGTTGCCACAGTCCGTGCTCTCAAGGTCCACGGTGGTGGTCCTCCAATTGCCCCTGGTGCTGCTTTAGACCCCGTTTACAAGACGGAAAACGTTGAGATCCTACGCAATGGGTGCGTAAACCTCAAGAAGCACATTCAAAACGCAAGGGCTTATGGATGTCCCGTTGTTGTGGCGGTCAATAAGTTTTCCACGGACACTGACGCCGAAATCGCTGTCATTCGGGAAGAAGCCGTCGCTGCTGGTGCGGAGGACGCCATATTGGCGAACCACTGGGCCGAAGGTGGTAAGGGTGCCGTTGATCTTGCAAAGGGTGTCATTGCTGCTTCTGAGAAGCCTAAGGACTTCAAGCTCCTATATGAAGTTGAAGGTGGGTCTGTTCAAGAACGCATGGAGGCTATCTGCAAGAAGATGTACGGCGCTGCAGCAGTTGAATTCAGTGAACTCGCACAACGAAAAGTCGACACCTACACGAAACAGGGCTTCAGTAATCTACCTATCTGCATTGCTAAGACGCAATACTCCTTGTCACATGACCCAGATTTGAAGGGTGCCCCCACGGGCTTCACTGTCCCCATCCGTGATGTTAGGATGGCGGCCGGTGCAGGATATCTGTAAGGCCTACTCTACTTATCCCGCGGGATGCATTCTAAATATCAATTTTTACTGACTTTTCAACAGGTATGCTCTCGCTGCTGACATCCAGACCATTCCTGGACTGCCCACTGCTCCGGGATACTTGAACGTCGATGTTGATACCGAAACTGGCGAGATTCAAGGCCTTTTTTAAACAATAATTCATCAACCGTATGATCAATGCATTTCACATTTTGGTTGCTGCCAAATACATATATGTATATCCACAAGGCGCTCGGGGGTGTTCGGGCTGGGTGGAGATTTAGACTCAACTTCATAGCATCAAGGGGGAAGGAAACAATGCATAGCTTCTCTGATTCAACTATAGAGGAGCAGGGAGTACAAAATCGGTAAAGGATCATCTTCAACCATCTTCTACGATATGTTTCACAAATAAGGTAGATGGGCATTGTTTTTTTTTTCAACATGATACCTTCAACAGCAACGCGGTATAATAGAAAGCTATATAGGATATATATCAATGATTTAATATACTATATCGTATTAACCGGTATTTTACGATCCTTTTTGAGCCTTTGGCCCAGCAATGATTTAACAAACTAAGATATTTCAATTTCATGTTGTCGTATATTGTAAAAGCAAACTTCTTGTAGTGTCCAACTAACTTCCTAGTTTCAATCGTGCCTTTGTCCTAATTGCTAATTAGCTCCCCTTCAACCCTGACCGCCCTTCTTCATAACCTTCAATAAACCGTTCAAGAACCTGATACTACCAGGCAGGCGCTAAGAAGGTTCACGGTAATCAAGCACGGTTTCTTTACGACGCCGATACTTGATGTGTCTACTATGCAGGCACAAGCAACGTTCCTACATGATATATAAGCATCTACTAAGCGATGGTTGCATTACGTTTCGATATGGTCTGGCCATACAGCTAACCACCTTGTGGTCTGCATTACGTTTCTGCAGGTACAATGCCATTCGCAAAGTTTACGGTTTAGAGCTCGCAGTAGCTTCTGTAAGCATTGATCAAACTCTGACGTAAACCGACTCGTCGGTTGTCGTTGTTATAAAGCCAGCAAGGTGTATTCACATGACCTAGAAGTAAACAACGAGAGTAAATTTGATAGAGAACGGGTGTTGATATTGGCAGGGAAGCTATGTACATTTGCTGTGACTTGTTGTGGGTTTGTGGGAATCTACACACCTTCAATAGAGGTAGATGATGATGATGATGACGGTCATCAGATTACACAAAGTTATTCAGCAATAGAATGCTCCATTCTCCTTCAACGACCCGAGTTCTCCACTGTACGCATTAACAGAAGATGGTAAAAACAAGCTAAAGCAAACAGTCGCTGAGGGTAAAGTAGCTAGGTAGCTGTGACTGATCCTTTCTGAACGCCTTGAATGCTAGTGCGACCGCCCGTGTCGTGTCGATGCTCCATGTCCCAAAAGATATCTACCACCAGCCCGTGTATCTCATGCGCCTCGTGTCGTATAACGTGTGCCAGAAGAGAAGCAAGTCTCTATAGATTTAATCGATGCGCCGGGATGCCAGGGCATTCGCCTTTCTCGAATGTTCCTTTCATGCGTGCCTTGACCTCTTTCCTTCCCTACCGGACATGTCTTTTCCAAAATTCAGACCGCCCACGTCGAACAATTCTGCAAAGTTGATTGATCGCTTCTGGCCAGCCCCTCTCCCTAGATGAGCTGTCGTTGGGTTACGTGGCCGTTGATACCGCTTGTCCTTCCGTAAGCGTGTCGAATGAGACATGGATGTGGGACAAGGAACTTGATTCGTGTTGTCAAGCGAATGCCTCGAGTCCGATAAATCGAGGTTCGCAATATTCAGGTAAGATTCTTGGGGGTAGGGATGCGATGACTGGAAATTAAAGGTTTCTTGTGTTGGAACAGTGATCATCTGAGGCCGTTCGACAACGGGCTCAAGTACGATAGGCGGCTGAGAAACTGGAGGTGCCGAGTTGGTCGGCGAAGGGTGCGAGGAAACATTTGACCGTTGAATCTCGGTTGAAGAGCTCATCTCGGCCTTGTCGGTTTCCTCTTCATCATCGGAGGTTTGGGGGTCTTTGCCATCCAAACGGTCGGTGGCCCATTTGCGGATTTGCCAGCCCTCTCCGTCGCCTAGACCGATGTTTCGTTTATCGAGGAAGGCAAGCAGGTCATCGAGACAGTCTTGGTACCCATCGGAACGGGATTTGGCTTGGGCAGCGGCCGAGGTCTTGTACAGCTTGGTGACGGACAACGCAGCAGCCTTGAAAGCGTCGAGGAGCTGCTCAGGTGAGTCAGCGCTCAGGGCGGCTTTGGCGGGCGAAGAGCCTCTCATGGGATCCATCGTCGTCGCACCAGGGATTGTCAAAGGAGTGAGAAGTCAACAACGGCAGTGATGTGAAGTTGGCTAACAATACAAGCAAGATGACAATGAGAATTAAACTCTAGGCTTATTTCTCGCACTTTCGTTGTCGTTATTTGGTCTTTGGTCTAGTGGGGGGGGGACTGGGGGTAATGCGGGCTGGTGGGCCGGACTCGATGGCCTTGTAGCGAACGGCTCTAGTACAGCCTCAGGGTATCGTCAGCGGAGCAATGGTTTGATTGATAACGAACGACGAAGGAGAGGAGCGGAGGCGCTAATTAAGAAGCTGGCTATTGAGCTGAGAATCAAAGGTGGTGCAAGAGGGGTGGGAGAGACGGTTGTCGTATGTTGCGGCTGGATGATATGAGGATGATGATGCTGATGATGATGCTGCTGGATGATACTGATGATGGTCATAATCCGGGTCACTTGGACCTGTGCAGGCTGCATTGGCCGCCAGTGCAGCCAACAGGGACAGAACAGGGACTAGGTACCCAGGCCTGGAAAGGCCTGGAAAGGCAAGGTCAAGTGTGCGGCGTTTCTTGGCGGAAGCACACCTGCAGCATCCCAATTGGCTGGCGACGTCTTTTGGCTGGCTCGGGGTATCGCCGTGTGCCGCCACCTGGCAAACGAAGACATGCTCTGTCTGATCTGACAGTTTACAGTACCTACCTCCTCGCGATAAGCTAACATTGTTACGTCTTGTTGATTACTACAATGTAATGTATGTATATCTATTACTGGTATTACTGGTCAATAATAAACTCCAGGCCTCCTTTGCTTCTGCCTGTTGGGGTGTTCAGAAACCATCATCAATACATACCCGCCCATGTGTGCACTGTGTCCTTGAAGTATAGTATTCAATCCCGTACGAATACCTAGTAGCACAGCCTTAGATCGGCAACTTCTAACAACGTGTAACCTTAAATTGACACAAGGATATTGCTCTTGATGCTTTACAGTGGCATTTAACAAGCTCTAGGAATGGTTATACAGGATTTAGTGTAACCGGTAACGTGTTTACCTTCCCATGGAAAGACTCTGATAGAAGCGAACCTATTTGTTGTATAGTAAAGGTTGGGTGATGAATATGTTATACATATATATACATAGGGGTTTGGGAGTATTTGAGAAACCATGATAATCTTCTTTAACCTCCCAGCTGCTTAACTTTAATCAAAGTTTTCTTATCGTAGAACATGGTCAGCATTACTTTAGATCTCACATGGGAGGCAGGCTTTTATAACAGGGTATGCACAAAGCCTTTCGTCTAAGTCTGCCATAGCACTCAGTTGTAGTTGAGCAGATGAACTCAACACTTAATTGATTTTCATGAGCGAGTTATCTAAACAAAATATCACAAGTGTGATTATGAAGCCTAGGCTCGGTTCTCATGACTATGTTTGGGATTACAATCTTGCCGGGATCGCGTAATCAGGAACAGCCTAGTCTAATGATCAACAATATTGGACATTCCCCATACATAAGGTACTGAGTATATTTACATACCGGTATCTATTTTCAGCACTGACGAATAGAACCCTGAACCTGAAGAGATTGAATTATTGAATAACCAGAAGTTGATCATCCCATGTTAGGAGTTAGGGGTTGAGGATAAAAGAAACGGGGTGTATACAGTCCTTTCGGACTTTACGCAACAACAAGAGTCTTTCTATATACACCTCGTGTGCCTTGTTCACCACATATAACCAGGTAAAGACGATGGACACACTACAAGGTGAATCCAGTCCAGAAAATGAATCATCTTAATATGCGATTTTTAAGCCATTTGACGTTTGATAGGTTAACGATCAAGTGTGTACACGATGACGCTAGGCCTCTTTCAGGCAGAGGCGGGTAGCGGTAACGGCGCCGATAAGCCTCAGGCAGCCTGTGCTGTAGTGTACTATTACCAGATAAAGTCTGGGCTGGGTCTGGACTGGGTTTAGACCGGGTCTGCCGGTACCTGATGTCTGCCAAGCTCGTCGTTTCAATACCTAGGTATGTACTCCAAGCTCGACACCTGGTCGCCAATCTTTTTGACCAGCTCCTCCACCTTTAATTCTCACAAGTCACAACCACATTCCGACGCGCTTGCTTCGTGCCGCACCTGGTCCTCTTTTGAACATCCCTCCTCCATCCTCCTTCGCCGCCAAAACCACCCCAAACCACCCTCGCTGCCAGTCTCCGTCGCCGTATTATTGAAGCAAAGGGCCCTATTAAGTGCTGGCCCTTGCATTGCGCGTCTGAGTCGCGTAAAGTGCTTGCAGTACAACCAAGGAACATGGCCCCCTCACGCTCCAAGCCCAAGGTTGTCGACGCCGACGCGTCCATGTCAGATGCGCCGGAGCCTTCGGCGAACAGACCTGACGAGATGGTGTGTCCTAGCCACCTTCCCATCCATAGCGCGCCACCCTACCCTCGCCATGTTACCATGCTAACCCAAGCACGACAGGAAGTTGACGATACCCCAGACTTCACCGACTCCGACACAAATCCCAACACAACTGCTAGCAGCATCGCCGGCGATTATCCCGTAGATGGCCGCAGGAAGCGCGCCGAAGCAAACCAATTAAGAAGGAGTATCTTTGGCAAGAAGCATGATGCTCTGGGGGAGTCCAAGGTAAGTGTAACAAGACAAGGACCCTAAGCGCTTAAAGGCGCGCTCATAACGCTAATATTCCGTGCTTTCATAGGAAGATGACAGCATACGGAGATTTCGCTATCTTCTGGGCTTGACCGACTTATTCCGTCATTTTATCGAGACAAATCCCAATCCCAAGGTCAGGGAGATCATGCACGAAATAGACCGCCAAAACGAAGAGGAAGAGGCAAGGAAAAAGAAGAAGGGTGTCCGTCAGGGCGGCGCTGCCACTGGCCGCGCACGGCGGACCGAGGCTGAGGAGGATGCCGAGTTGCTCAAGGACGAAAGGCACGGTGGCTCTGCCGAAACGGTCTTTAGGGAATCACCGGGCTTTGTCCACGGAACCATGAGAGATTACCAGATTGCCGGCTTAAATTGGCTAATCTCATTACATGAGAACGGTATTTCGGGCATCCTCGCAGATGAAATGGGCTTAGGCAAAACATTGCAGACCATCTCGTTTCTCGGGTATCTGCGACACATCATGGGCATCAATGGGCCCCACCTCGTACTTGTTCCCAAATCTACGCTTGACAACTGGAGGCGAGAGTTTGAAAGATGGACGCCAGACGTTAACGTGCTGGTTCTTCAGGGCGCCAAGGACGAGCGACATGCTCTGATCAACGAGCGGCTGGTGGACGATGGGTTCGATGTTTGCATCACAAGTTATGAGATGGTTCTGAGGGAAAAGAGCCACCTGAAAAAGTTTGCTTGGGAATATATCATCATTGACGAGGCGCATCGCATCAAGAACGAGGAGTCTTCCTTAGCACAGGTTATCAGACTTTTCAATTCCCGAAACCGCCTGCTGATCACGGGAACACCACTGCAAAATAATCTACACGAGCTATGGGCTCTGTTGAACTTTTTGTTACCAGACGTGTTCGGTGATGCTGAGGCGTTTGACCAATGGTTCTCAGGCCAAGGTCAAGATCAAGAGAAAGTTGTTGAGCAACTTCACAAGGTACTTCGACCCTTTCTTCTACGCCGTGTGAAGGCCGACGTTGAAAAGAGTCTGTTGCCCAAAAAGGAAGTCAATTTGTATATTGGCATGTCAGACATGCAAGTCAAATGGTACCAGAAAATTCTTGAGAAGGATATCGATGCCGTCAACGGTGCTGGTGGGAAGCGGGAATCGAAGACTCGCCTCCTCAACATTGTCATGCAACTACGGAAATGCTGCAACCACCCATACCTTTTCGAGGGCGCCGAGCCTGGACCGCCGTATACAACGGATGAGCATCTCGTATTTAACTCTGGAAAGATGGCACTGCTTGATAGGCTCCTTAAAAAGATGCAGAAGCAGGGCAGCCGTGTCCTGATTTTCTCGCAAATGAGTCGCCTGCTCGACATTCTCGAAGACTATTGTGTGTTCCGTGAGTACAAGTATTGCCGTATCGATGGGGGCACTGCGCACGAAGACAGAATCGCGGCCATTGATGACTACAACAAAGAGGGGTCAGATAAATTTATTTTCCTGCTAACAACTCGAGCTGGTGGCCTGGGTATCAATCTAACGACCGCTGACATCGTTGTCCTGTATGACAGCGATTGGAATCCCCAAGCAGATCTTCAAGCTATGGACCGTGCCCATCGAATTGGGCAGACAAAGCAAGTGGTTGTGTATCGATTTGTCACAGAGAACGCTATTGAAGAGAAGGTTCTTGAACGAGCGGCTCAAAAGCTGCGTCTTGATCAGCTAGTCATTCAGCAGGGCCGAGCTCACCCTGGCGCCAAGGGACCAGCTGGCAAAGATGAACTTCTCAGTATGATTCAACATGGAGCTGAGAACGTGTTCCAGAACAAGGGTGCAACTGGTCTTGCGGCGAAAGGTACTGAATTGAACGATGATGACATCGAAGAGATTCTATCAAAGGGCGAAACTCGAACGAAAGAGCTCAATGCAAAGTATGAGAAACTGGGAATTGATGATCTACAAAAGTTCACTTCAGAGTCTGCTTACGAGTGGAACGGTGAGAATTTTAGCGGCAAAAAGAAAGAGATTGGACTAAACTGGATTAACCCGGCAAAGCGTGAGCGTAAAGAGCAGTCTTATTCGGTTGACAAGTTCTACCGGCAAGCGATTTATGGAACAACCAAGGCAGAACCTAAGCCGAAAGCACCTCGCGCGCCAAAACAGATACCTGTTCACGACTATCAGTTCTACCCTCCTCGCTTGCGAGAATTACAAGATCGCGAGACGGCGTATTACCGTAAAGAGATAGGCTACAAAGTACCGCTGCCTGATGGCGATGATGACAATCTGTCCGAACGCGAGGCGGAGCGTGCTTTAGATCAACAAGAGATCGATACTGCCGTCCCCTTGACAGAGGAGGAACAGGAAGAAAAGCAGAAGCTCTCACTTCAAGGCTTTAGCGATTGGAACCGACGAGATTATCAACAATTCATCAACGGCTCTGCACGATACGGTCGTCATGACTATGATAGAATCGCGGAAGAAATTGATAGCAAGACGCCGGCTGAAATCAAAGCATACTCAAAAGTGTTCTGGCAACGCTACACCGAAGTTGCTGACTATACCAAATCTCTGGGGGTTATCGAGGCTGGAGAAGAAAGACTGCGCAAGACTGAGCATCAGCGCAAAATGCTACGGAAGAAGTTGCAGCAATATCGCGTACCTCTGCAACAGATGAAGATCAACTACTCTGTCTCAACAACGAATAAAAAGGTATACACTGAGGAAGAGGATAGATTCTTGCTAGTACTTCTTGATAAGTATAGCATTGACTCAGATGGAATTTTTGAACGCATTCGTGACGAGATTCGAGATAGTCCTCTGTTTCGATTTGATTGGTTTTTCTTAAGCCGGACGCCCGTCGAGATTAGCCGTCGCTGTACTACCCTTCTCACTACTATTGTGAAGGAATTTGAGGATGTACATCCGACGAAATCGAACGGTGTCAATGGTAAAGGGAAGAGAGAGCCTGAGGATGAGGAGAACGACGAAGACAGTATTCTTGGCATGGCACCAGCTAAGAAGAAGTCGAAGAGCAGTGTGAAGGTAAACAATAGCACCACCCCGCTCACAATTCAATATGTACTAACAATGGAAATAGAACAAAGCCCTAGACAATGTCAAGGGTACCAGTAAGACCAAGTCTGCGGCTCCCTCTTCGCGGGCTTCCAGCGTCACCTCTACGGCGTCAGCATCAGCGCCTAAATCCAAATCAAAGGGAAAGAAGAAATAGTTTGCTCACATAGAGAGCTACACAAGTTTATTCATCTGTACAACGGGTGGCTCGAAGGAAAACGTTTTGCCTAAGTCCGCCTTCTGCAAAAGAGCAAAAAGGAGGGAAAGAATAAAAGATGGAAAGAGATAGGGCCCTAGGTTAGGGATAAGGCGGCACGCTCTTGATGGTCGTAGAGGCGTTTCCGGCGTTTCCTTCTGGACTGATTCAGTGGGAATCTTTGATGACGTGTATAAAAGAAATTGTTTGCTTGGAAGACAGATCATTTCTCTGGCGAACCACTTCATGGAATTAAAGATAAAAACAACAGACTATTCTTAGATAGTAGGCGACCGTTTGTAATTGCAATCGCTCGAACGAGTCAGCAAGTGTTGTACTGAGCAAGTCATCAGACGGACGATTTGGCATGAGGTAGAGAGAAACGTCCATAGTACCCTATCAATACCAGCTAGTTAGCTTCTACGTTGATCACTTATGAAGTTCTCAGATCTGTTTAACGTATGTGACCTAGCATACTAGCATATAATCTACATCCATGCGTGATGAAGACACAATTTGGTTAAGACAAAATATATTTTATTCTTCATTATTCCGGTTTTTGTTTTGAGCCAATCCGCTTGCCATGCAATGATTTCATGCCAATACATCCCAAATGCTAGTAGTTCATTTCATGACATCGCCTTACGATATACCGCTTCCTAATTTCTTTAACGCCCGCAGATCATAATGAACAGCTTTCCCTAACGCCGTCTAACAATTCAGTTACTCTATAATAAAATACTCATGGACAGTTAATACGTAAAATGGTGGATTTAGTTGTCAAGCCAGTCTAGGAAGTCAGGGGTGAAGTAGCTGACGACGATGTTGGCCCCGGCGCGCAGGATGCCCTCGGTTACCTCGAATGCCATAGTCTTGAGGTCGAAAACACCAGCCTTGGCACCGGCGTGTACCATGGCGTATTCGCCGCTGACGTGGTAGGCTGCGATGGGGAGATCGCGGCCGAGTTCCTTGGCGTCGCTGATGATGTCGAGGTACTGGGCTGCGGGCTTAACCATGATGATGTCGGCGCCTTCACCGATATCTCTCGTGATGGCACGGCGGGCAAGACCGCGGCCTCCGGGCGGTAGCTGGTAGCACTTGCGGTCACCGAATGAGGGGGAAGACATGGCGGCGTCGCGGAAGGGCCCATAGAGGCAGCCTGAGAATTTGGCGGCATACGACATCAGGAGCGTCTTGTGTGCGATGCCCTCCTCGATCAGCTTCAACTTGATGGCGCGAATGCGGCCGTCGTTCATGTCGGATGGCGCAACGCAATGGGCACCGGCCTGGGCGTACGCTATGGCAACGTCACTGATGCGGTCCACGGAGAGTTGATTGTTGAGCGAGCCGTCGTCACGCAAGATGCCGCAGTGGCCGTGTGAGGTATACTCGCACAGACACACGTCGACGGAGATGAAGAGTTGGGGGAATCGCTGGCGCAAAAGTCCGATTGCTTGCATAACGGGGCCTTTTGGGTCGTCGGCGGATGTGCCGAGGGCGTCCTTGGTGCCCGGCTGTAGGGGAACACCGAACAACATCACCGATTTGAGACCCTTGCGCACGAGGGGTTCGAGGAATGGGACGAGCTTGTTGAGACCACGACGGCACTGTCCGGGGAGGGAAGGTATGAGGGTCTCATCGTCTTCGATGTCAGAAATGAAGAGGGGGTAAATGAGCATAGACTGTTGTTATGTCTGGTCAACATTCCATTATGGGTCTTCTGAAAACAAGAGGGACGAGGGGCGTTATCAAGCCCGAGTCGTCGCACGTAGAAGGGTCACGAACCTTGGTCAATTGGCGGTCAGCCTGCCAGGACCGAGCAAGGGGATGGTGGTAGCCACCGTGAAGCTGGCTCGAGATGTCGCCAGCGATGCTGACGCTTGTGGCTGCTGTGCTAGCGTAGGACATGGCGCGAGAGATGTGCGAAGCACGGTCGTCGACTGTCGAAACTGAGGGGGCACCGGCGCCAGGAGCTCGGCGGCGGGGGTTGTTGGTGTCGCGGATGGACAGGTCTTGAACGAGACTGGAGAACGACATGATGGGTTGTTGTTGTGCGGTGGGAGATGGTGTGGCGAGGCTGATGCGGACGAAGCGTAGGAGAAGGATATGTTTCAGACGACAGGCGAAAGAGGCTCGTGAGCAGCAAAATCAAGGATGATTTAACAAATAGCAACCCTCTTCGAAGCCCAATTGACGACGACGACGACGTGGTATGGTATAGCTAGTCTAGTCGTTGAGATGACGCCGATGGTCGCTAGATATAAGGAAACGTATCTTAGTAAAATAATGGGTGGGGATGGCCGAGCTGGTGGCTTGAGCCGAAGTCTTTTTTTTTAGTCTGATATTACCATTTACCCGCCTCCCATTGGGTGTATGGTCGATGGCGTCGGTCTATTTCTTCGGCTCGTTGTTCGGGATGCGGAATGCGGAATGCGGCCTCCCCACCGAGCTTCGCTTTCGCTTCTGGAAGGCGCCGGAGACAGTTTCAGTGGACAATCAGCGTAGTGACTGCCATAAGCATGCGGGTCATACGAAGAGAAGGTGCATAGGCGAGATAGCTACTTACTTTGTAGGATGTCTACCAGAGTCTACTTACAGTACCTGGTACCTAGGTAGTCTACCTAGGGTGCGGTCGCTTCTTGGCCTCGGCTTGTCCATTTCTTATCATTAGCCAGCACTTCAGAATGAATACTATTGACAGTCTAATGAAGTTCTTATATATGTCTACTGCGGCTCCTATATCCCCTCCTCCTTTTATATTCTATGTATAGCCTGTCTACCTTTTGATTGGTTACATAACCTTTCTAGGTCTTTCTTTACCTTTCATCCCATCACGTCCTACCACCCATCATCTTCGAGCACTTGTCTTGCCATGATCGTTACATGAGACCAAGCCGTTTCCAGATGAAGCTTGCACCACCAAGCAGAGCCGTCACTCCTGTAAACAAAATCACGCTGCTATAGCTACTACTATAGCCATTTGTCGCTGTCTCTCCTGCCCACAATGAGCTGCGGATGAGCGTCTCGCTCAGAGACCCGGCCACCACGTTGCCAACCCCTCGTCCCGCGCAAAGGAACCCAAACACCATATTCGGATCTACTTGTCCCTTGTCGCTGTGTTGTGCCTTCTGTGCGATGTCTTTCATTATCCCGGGCCAGGCAGACGAGAATGATCCTGCAAAGAGACCATAGGCGATGCAGAAGAAATACAGCAGTCCTAAAGATGACGATAGGCCCCAGATGGCCAGCACGCTGATGGTAGCCCCGATTGTGGATAGGAGGATACCGGTTGTGACATGAAATCTGTCGATGCACCATCCCATCGCCACACATCCGAACACAGACGCTACGTTAACAAGCAGGATCGTCGTGGCGGCCGACAGGGATGGTACACCGAGGACGATCCTGCTGAACGTCGGCAAATAGATGCCAGGCAGAAAGTATCCCATGGACTCGACGATATTGGCTGTTTGGTACACCAAAAATGCCGGGGTCACCAAAAACCACAAGTTGAATGGTTTAGCGTGGCTTGTCGCGGAGGGTGGCAGACGGGGCTTAATTAAGAAGGCCGCCGGCGCTGCTAACACGAACAACAAGGCTGCCCATACTCGAAGTGTGTTGCGGAACCCGAGAGAGCCGAGGAGTGACTGCAAGAGAAGAGGCAGAATAACACCTGCTAAACCCGTCCCTGACCACATCATTCCATACGCTAGCCCCTTCTTGTTGACGAACCACTCCCCTAAATACTACCCCCCACATACGTTAGCCATATCTTCACACGCATCATGTGCAGCAAAAAAAACATTCTCGTCCGATTCAGTACGACGAAACCTACCATGATACAGGGACAATAGCAAAAACTCCCACCCAAGCCATATAGGACGCCCTGAGATACGATCAGATGCGTTGTTGTTGAGGCGAACGAGCTTAGTGCCAACGCTAGGGACATGACAAGGAGTCCTAGAATAGGACCCCAACGTGCCCATCTTCCAAATGTCTGACAAAAGCCCATGATGATCGGTGAGGCTAGGTACATGACACCCATCGCACTTGTGCCGATCACGGCTATGTTAGGCTGTCCAATGAACGGCTCGTGTGTAAGATAGTAGTCTTGGAACACGCCAAAGGCAAAAGGGAAACCTGGAGAGGAAAGGGTTAGTATCTTGCCATGACATCTCGCTAACATTGCAAAGGTGAAAAATTAAACCATAAAATGAAAGTTAGCAATGTACATACCCCAAATGAGAGCATCCACGACGAATACAGCCGACAAGAAGAGCCATGCGTCTTTTCCGCCATCAACAGGGGGAAGGGAAAACTCGTGCCTGTCTCTGAAGTCTTCTTCGTCTGGTAACCGGGAGTTGGTGAAGAAAACGCCATCGCTATTGTCCTTGGCATTGGAGGTATCATCCGGCGTTTGGCTCACGGGCGTAGCCATGAACTCTATGTCGTTTCGGACCATGGTGGTAGTCAATACTACACTGTCCTTCTCCGACATAGACATCGTGACAGGTGGAGAAGATGAAGAATCGGCAGAAAACTTGTTGCTTCAACTTTATACTCTTAGATCAATGGGATGATCTGCAGAAGCCTATTCTTCTCAACAGCCCGGGGAAAAGAGCAGATATACTCTGGCCCGACCTGCCGATGACGGGCTTGGGTAATGCACGATAGAACTCTCACGTAAAATTTTCCAAGCTTCATTCTCCGTGCTGTCACGGCACGAGACCGGAGACCGATCTAACAATCGTCCAGAATCGCAACTTTGGAGGATAATCGCAACATTTCCCACTCCTTTATCGGCCCAAGAGCCATCTGCGTTGGGACTGTCACGACACATATCTCGGTGACGATGAGGTGGGACTCGGTCATGAGACCCCAACTGCCCCGGCTCACAATGCTCTCTGATATGAACGTTCGGGAAAACAGCATGCTGGATTCGGTCACTTATTCGTCGGGTAAGGCTGGGACTACGTTAAAGCGGCGCGCATCAGGTATTTATGCTTAGTGATAGGGTTGCATGTGTCAAGAGATGGGACGAAAGTCTAGATCCGGTCCCGACCTCTGCTAGATTCGAAAGGCCAGGCCGGGGGGTGAAGGCCCTATCATCCCGCGCACTACAGCCAACAAACACAGAACAATGACACACTCTGCACAAGGGAGGTTGATCGACAGTTAATTGAGAAATCTGTACGACCATGTTGACGATAGTTGTCTAAAACATTCAGGTAGCACAGAGTAGCATCACACTGCTTTTTGATTGATATCTCATGTTCTGTCTTATCTTATACCCAGTTTTTTTTTTTTTTCGGTCTTGGGTTCCTCTGGCACGGAATTCACAAACTGGAGAAAGCCGACACGGGTATGCGTTTCCCGACCAGATCCGACCAACTGACCGCCGGATGATCTTCCGCTGTTTATCTGAACCACAACAGGCGGACGTCTGGGTGGACTGGGCTGCCGAGATGGCACATGTAGCTTGGTTAGATCCTAATTGGGCCCAGCGTTAAGCTTTGTCTCTAATCGAGCGCTTAGCACACGTGGTTTTGTTTGGGCATATTGGTTTGCTTCTGCCGATGATTCGACGCCGCTCTTATAGATATATATCGTTTTCTTGTCACGTCGATCATTGGTGATGGATAATCAGATATCAATGCTTAATTTATTATACAATTTGCAATAGTGACCGTTTAGCTATCCATCAGGCCGTCTCTGCCGCGGGGTATCTTGGAATCGTAGTACAGTATAATACAGTGGAATGTTGGTGTAATGTTTGTTATATCATCCACCATCGTCATTGTTGTCGTCATTCATTTGTGATCATCATCAGACAGGATAGCAATGGCTTGTCGCCTGCTGTTTTTGCTCACACTTCCGCTCATTGCCTGACTAGTTGCGACATCGGGCTCGGCACCGGAGCCGGGCATGATCAGAAGTGTTATTGTCTTGTTGTCTTTTGTTTAGTAACGGTACTTGCGATGTGACGAGAGCCTGGAACGACGGCTTCCTCGACCGTCTGTGCCGTGCATTCGGCGGGTGCCAGCAGCCTGGTTTTCCTGGTCAGTACAGTTCATAGAGCGATAGGCATCATGTTGCGTGCGGAAACCGGAGCTGTTTCACCGGGCTTTGATCACATGAAAGTGACCCGATACGGCGTAGTGTCTGGAAATGTAAGATGGATGAATAGGTAGATATCGTACCTTTTGCCCCGGCCTGTGCGTGATAGTGCCCTTGAGCTTTAACAATGCGCCGCTGACTTTGTCACCAAGCGTCGCATGGCGCTTCTGGTGGTGTACAGGCTTCTGGTGATGCACTGGCTGCGCGCGGCCAAACAAGCCGCCGTGGTGGCGGCGGGTGGTAGTTGTTCTAGTGGTAGTGTGACGATGAGGCATCTTGGGTGCTTAAGTACAGATATAGAATTATTTGTGATAATTTGTGATAGGGAAGTTTCAGTAGGTAGGATTGGTTTGTTTCTCGAGACTGACTCTGGGATAACGTAAGAGCTTATGGGTTTGGAAAGAACTGGTTTTATATATACCTAAGTCCCTACCCTTGTTAACACAACCTTCTCGTCAATAACTTCTGTTGATACGGAAGATCGGCATGGAAGAAACTTGGTAATAGGCCAATCAGGCGATGACTAGGAAGCTTTGTTTGAAGGATTGTACAATTCAGCTTCTAAGCCAGCCTATCGGGATGGTGATTGCCACCCCTTCCCAGCACCCATGACAGCCCATGACAGCCCATGATGTCAGGCTTCACGTCTCTGTAGCGATCTGTGCTGTACTAAGGCTAGATGGCTGTTACCTTATCAGATGCTCGGAACGTGTTCCTGGAAGCCCTGCGCCACACAAGACCCCTATGACGTATGTGGTTGTAGTGTCTCTGGTAAGTGCGGGGCAGGTCCTGTCTGGCTGGACTTCAATGATATGACGATGGTGACGATGATGAACGTTTCACAAAGCATAGCCTTTATTTCCTTTGTAGGCTATGATGCGTAATGCTTGGACCGGTATTGTCTTGCTTAATAAATGTTTAAGTTAGATAGTCGACCCATTTCGCAAGTGAGGAGGGGTGTTGCGCTAGGCACTGCTCTGCAATTAGACAATTTCAGGGAGCCCGAAGAATCGGCTAGGAGTTATAAAAGTATGGTTTTGACCAACCAAACCAGCAACTAGTAGATTATTAATCCTAATTCAGTGTATGGTTGAAGAAATGTCACGCAGTAGTTAGCATTATTTAATGAATAGTTATGAGTATTGCGCCCAAAGAAGTATGACATGCGCAGTGTACCCCCCCGGCACATAAAATGTTGTGCGGATAATGCTAGGCTACAGTTCAGCTCCTCAGCCGGAATCACTATCTACAATGGAGGTTAAAAAAAAAGGGCAAAACATACAACATTGAGGATTCGCTGGTCGTCACCGACCCAACTACTAATTCAACGCTCATTAGCTTATCAAAGGGGGAGCAGACGGGACCCCGAGTTTTCCAATGGCTATGGTCGTATGTGATGGTTTAGTGGACTGTAAAGATTTATATTCTTCCTAGCTTTGCTCAAACGCACCAGTCAATCAGTTGGCACAAGGCATCATACTTGGTGTCTCATATATGGTAACTCTATCTACAAACCATCTAAGTTTCCTCGTTGGCCGCAGTGATATTGTTCCGACTACATGTCTCTTAACCTAAGCACTCGTCAAATTCTTCTTGATCTTTGCTAGATCGTCCTGCGAAAAGCCCAGCTTGTCCATGACGAAGTTTTCGAATCCGCCATATTTCTTCTCTACACCCTTGACAAACGCCTGCCAGCAAGATTTTCTCAGACTAACTAGGTTGTAAAACCCAGGCTGGTCGTCACTCGAGGCATTCGTGCCCTTTTTAGCGAATTCGAGAAGCATGGCGCGCACTGGCTCGGTGCCGATACGCGTCAGTTGCCAGTCGGTCACAATGGCATCCTCTGATGCGCCGGCAAGCGCGAGGAGCAGACCACTGAAAATACCTGTCCTGTCTCTCCCAGCTGAAGAAACAATAGTTAGTTTTCATCTTATTCAGAGGCCATTTACTCATCAACTTGTCGCGTATGCCGTGATGTGCATATTATATAGATGGCAGGGGAGGAGAATGAGCCACCACTCACCTGTGCAGTGGACAAGAAAGGGGTCATCAGGCCGATCCCGGACATGTTCCAGGATAGCCTTCCAGCTCTCAGAATAAATTTCGATGACCTCGAGGTACATGTTCTCATAGCCAGCCTCACCCTCTCCTGCGATGAAGGTATCCAGGTCAGGCTTAGAGTCAGGGCTGCTGCTCTGGATCCAGGTATTTTCAACACCGTCAATGACGGGATCAGGCATGCGGCTGCGTTCCTCGGGCGAGCGCAGATCGAAAATCCGTTTCACGCCCAGCTTTCCTGTCAGCACGGCCTTCCCGTTGTCCGTCAGGTTAGATACGGCGCCGGACCGGAAGGCGTAGTTTGCACGCATGGGACTTTCGGGGACGAGGCCCAGATCTCGCGTATTGAATGTGCCATCTACGAAGACAAAGGGCGGCGAGGATACCACCGGCCCATATTGCTCTGGCTGTAAGGCGCTTTTCACGTCTGTCTCGGCGAGTTTGACGAGGTCGGCTTTTGAGGTGGCCATTGCTAGTGAGTGTCGAGTTGCTGTAATCGTACTATGGCGGGGTAATTTCCAAGTAAGTGCTTGAGTTGAGTACCGTAAGCTTTGTTGCTTGGTAATATAAACTCAATATTTGAGATAGTCGGAATGATCGACTACTTTATATGTTTGAAACGCTAGGTATCGGCACAGTTGCAGGTTAAATATACGAGAGGTACGGACAGAATGAGTAAGTTTATTACAATATTGTCGTCGGTAACTATTTCAGAACGTGCTCCGTCTACTTATGTCCCCAGACCGATCAATAGCCCCACCACTTCGCATGGTTCTTGTGAGTGTATGCTACCTAAGTACCCAGATAGTGAGACGGTGAGATCAACCAGAACCTTAGATTAGGTATGCCGGAAACCGATGGCCGCCGTACGGGATTTTCGTATTGCTGAGTTTCAATAAGACTGTCCAAATGCAGTACAAGTGTCTGCACCCAGAATACTCGTGGGCATTCGGTGTTTATTTGGGAATAGCCTTAAACTAGAAGTTGTCCGCGCCACGTCGCGAGAATGCGAGATACGGGAGCTAGGGCTAGGTACTCAGGTTACTAAGTTAGGACACCGAAGTTTATATATTATTTATGAATTCTATGCTAATATTACCTACCCTACGTAGAAATCTGATTAAAATGATATCTGTTCAATACCCGCTGGCCTCGTCAGACATGTATGATTCTAAAGCCACCTCAAGAGGTTGAATTGGCCTGTAACATAATAATAGATCGATCCTTGGGGCTGCGATTATATGTATGTATTTTAGCTCATGCAGGTACGAGTATGCTACCTGATCAGGAAAGATACACAGCATCGAATTGACATTTGACCGGGGTTTTTGTCTTATCTATTAACATCGGCAGCGAATCATGATGCCGTCTGAATGGCCGGACAGACACAACACCCGTAGTGAAACACAACGCGACATCGGCGGGAGCAAACAACTTTGAATGGGGAGGTGATCTTAGATATTCTGTAGATTAATATGGGCTATCGAATATACATGTAGTACAAGGTCCGGTTTCAGCTTTCACTGGACCGACTGACGGTCTATAATCTATCTAACCCCACACAACTAAACATCAAGGCTCTATTGACACAGATATGACTACCTTGGATTAGGGTAGTTCGACCTTACTGTTAGTTCTTCGAGCTAAACCTTAGTTATTGTTGTACCTAGATGCTCAATTAGATAACTACTCTAAGTTGGGCTCTGGTGTTCAAACGTAGTTAACAATCCGGTGGTCTTCCACCAGTCATCAAGACAAGACGAGACATGGCCTGGCTAATCTCTGCAGCCACTATCGCTGGGCTCGGTAGTCTCTTCACGCTAGGCCAGTATGCCGCCGACGCTCTCTTCGCAGAGACACACTGCTACCAAGGCGTCCGGACGAACGGTGCCGCCGACCAAGATGTGAATTGCTTCTCCGTATCGTCAACGGGAAAATTTTACAAGGTCTTTAGCGCGAGCAGCGACTCTAAGTGGGCGGCGAATGCACACCCAGGATATGCCATGCCCGGCCTCTGGGACGGCCATGGGCATTTATTTCAGTATGGCGAGTTCCTAAACTCAGTCAACCTCTTTGGTTCGACGACCATGGACGAGATCCGCGGCCGCGTCGGCAAATACGTAGACGAACATCCCGAGGCAGGCACTACGCAGGAATGGATTAGAGGTGTTGGGTGGGATCAGATGGCTCTTGGGGCTATGCCGACCGCTGTAAGTTGGTCTCTGCCATACCTATAGATTGCTGTGTGCTTCGTTTCTTGGGTCTGCTAGATTGACATGCTCAAAGGATGAGTTTGCAGCGGATGAGCGCCTCAAGGACTTGTACATTATGCTCGATCGCGTAGACGTGCATTGTATCTGGGTATCTCAGGCCGTTCTGGATCTTCTACCACAAGATATACCTGATATTCCTGGAGGGGAAATTGTGAGAAACCCGGGAATGGGTGTTTTCTGTGACAACGCTATGGCTCCCGTCATGGCTCTGTGGCCAAAACCGGACAATAAGAAGAAATCAGCCTTCTTGAAAAGTGCAATGAAACAACTCAACCAATACGGTTTGGTGGGAATGCACGATGCCGGCGTTAGTGCGGGTAATCTCAATCTCTTCAAAGAGTTGGTAGGGAGCGAGGATTGGACTGTTAGAGTCTATGCGATGGCAGAGTATTACGATCGCAATGCAGTCTGTCCTGATCCAGTTGAGCGATACAATGACTCAGATGGGGTTTTGAACATCCAGAGCGTCAAACTATTCGCAGGTGAGTGTCCTGAGAGCCCTGAACTTCCCAACACGTTCTATTTCTGACGCTTCACATAGACGGTGCTCTCGGAAGCTGGGGCAGTGCAATGATCGATGATTATTCTGACCGGCCAGGGGTCTCAGGTTCTCTGCTTGTAAATGCCTCCGAACTGACATACAGGGCTGTGTCTTGGGCCACGAAGGGATTCCAGGTGAACATTCACGCAATCGGTGACCTCGCCAACCGCTACGCTGTCGATGCTCAGACTGCCGCTCTGAGGCTCCTCTGCCCCTGCGAGTCTCTCGCAGACTGCCAAGCGCGCCACCGATTTCGTATCGAACATTCGCAGATTATTCACGAAGACGACCAAGCGCGCATGCACGCTATTGGTATTATACCATCTATCCAGCCGACTCACGCCACTTCTGACATGGCGTACGCTGAACAAAGACTCGGCAAGGACCGCACGCAGAAGGAAGCGTACCGGATGCGCTCACTCCTAGATATCGGACCAATACTTGGCAGTGACTTCCCCGTCGAACCAGCCGATCCATTCCAAGGTATCTACGCTGCGGTGACACGAAAAAGCCCGCATACCGGCCTCGGCGTGAACGGTGCTGTCGATGGTTGGCATACGGAGGAGGCGTTGACGCTTGACCAGGCGATCCGTGGTTTCACGGAAGGGCCTGCTTACGGCGGTTTCATGGAAGGGAAGGCGGGAGTGATACAGGTTGGCGCGTATGCTGACTGGATCGTTTTGGACAAACGTCTAGAGGATTTGGATATTGAGGAACTTCGCTCTCTACACGTCAAGGAGACGTGGGTTGCTGGTAAAAGGGTCTATAACCGCGATTAAGCGGCGCGGATATGCATTCACATTTTCAGGCGGTATAGCGTGGCGTACGAGAGCTTTAGGAGAGGAACTATCCGACGCCAGGGGTTTACACACATAGTACATATGGCACTTGAGGCGCATATGATACTTGAAGCCTATATATGGTGCCTACACATGATGATCGGGAATATCATTGGTTGGTAGGCGAGAGCAGAAACTTGTGTCATGCTGTATATGTAGGTATGTAGTATAATAATGTAGGCAAGCTTGGAGCACCACTTAGACAGAGACTTAGACGCAATTGCTTAGCTTCTGCTGCTATTCAAAAGACATTCCAAGACTTTGAGGACCTGACAAGGATAAAGCACACGGATGCACAAGATCAAACCTACAAAAGCCGACGGCATATCTACATGTAGGTTTTATTCCAAGGCTAATATTTGGAGTCAATGGGTAATCTTGAGGAACCTTCACTTTCGCTTGGTATGAACCTAGCATCCTAAGCAATCAACCGCAAAGTACCAGGTATAGTTTTTCATACCACTATTCCATATATTACTATGCGCTTTATTTCTTCGAGACCTCCAATATGTCACGAATGCCTATATCAATTCGTATAGACATCGCGCTGGAGAGCTGGCCATACCTATTCCAAAGTCTATCATGGTGCAATTGGATTTAGAACTCTTCATTCGAGCTGCAGGAAGACATAATCGAAAGCTAGAGCGCGTTAGTGTGACGGAGCTCTGAGCAGATACACGAATATTTTGAATATAGATGAATTTATTTGATTGGAAATTTGGTACAAAATGCAAGAAGCGCAAATCCTCAACCCAATTACCTACCTAAGTAGGCGTATGATGACGCTGTGGCAGGTGTGGAGCGCTAGTAACAGCTGTAGCATGCTCCCAACGGGCCGTTGGAGGTAAAATGCTTAATCGCCATACCTACCGACTTAGCACCGGTATCAGTCTATCACGAATGACGGGCGCCCCGGGAGCTTGGATCCATCTTTGTTGGAGCTTCATTATACGACAAGCTGGAACTGGACTTGGTTCGGCCTCGCAGACAACCTCAGCCATGTGCAGGTGAGTATACGGAGCAGCTCACATCTGGGAACCAACGTCAATTGAACGCTAATTCAACCCTTAGAAACCGCCATACATAGTCTGTGTCTCTAATTATGCGGTCGCAGGTGACTCGCCATGTCTTGCGACGCCCGCCGCCTGCGACTCGGGGCATGGCCACGTCGAGTCTCAGTTCACCAGCTCCCCGACCCAGCTTTCGCACATACCCTGTCGGCTGTCGAGTTGCCAGAACAGTACAGCGAAGATCCTTCCTCAAGCTATTCCAAAAACCCCCTCGCATCCTGAAGGATATTGAGGCCGAGCCGGGCTACGAAACCCTACTCACGTACCGAGCTGCTCAAAACGAGAATCTTCGACTACCCCCAATCCCCGACCTGGTCAAAGCATGGCGAGATTTTTTTGGCTATAAAGCGAGGTACTACCGTGTAGTAAACTCTACGCAAGCCTTGTGCGCACATCAAGTGCTCGAGTATTTCATCCAGCGCAGTGCCGCTGAGGATGTCCCGCTCTCCCTAGACGATATCCACATGGCAATGCAATGTCTGGAGAGACCCCCAAGAGATGACCCACAAGCTCATCTCGAGCTCTCGAGGGCCTTGTTTAGGGAGGCAAGGCGAAGAGAATTGAACATAGAATCCGGACGTTTCCACAATGTGACCTTGGACTTCCGCCTCAAGGACCAGCTTGGCCAGTCAAAATTCCTGCACTCTCTCCTAGTTGCACTGTCGCAGTATGGGAGAGCAGTCGAGGCCAAGGATATTTTTCTGGGCAGTCTTTCAAATGCGAAGCAACCAAGGCACAGCTTGCTTCCCCTCTTACATGGCCTCGCAAAAGAAGGACAAGAGCAGGCGCTCCGGGAGGTTGTTAGAGAAGTGGTGAAAGCTGGAGTTCTATATGACGTTAGCATGCAGGGTGTTATGACAAGCTTTTTTGCGCAGCGCGACAATTTTGAGGAAACTAAATTCTGGTGGGCAAGACCCATTCGTAGAGGATCACACCCGGCACCTCAAACGTATTACGAGATTCTCCAGTTTGCTCTTCGCAATGACCAGCGAGATTGGGCTATGGAAATATATGAAGATCTTATCGCTCAACTTGAAACTGGTTCCTTAGGCGAGTACAAAAGTTGCTGGGATGTTTCGTTCCAGTTTGCTTTCCTCCTGTTAGGCAAGGGAATTGACCAAATCGAGCACATGTTTAACGTCGCTTTGGACCATACAAAGGATAAGCCAAAAGTTCAGCCAAATATAGGGTCCATTAATGCCCTCATTAGGTGCGCCATTGACCAGGATGACCCATATATGGCCGAACGATTTATCTCGCTATCTAAGAAAATGGGATTTCAACCAGATATGTCGACCTACATGTTGCAACTGGAGTACCGACTTCGCGCCAAAGACCATCAGGGCGCATATACGACTTTCCAAGCACTGCGCGGCCTTGAAACAACTTCTAACGAGAGAGAGCTGCCTATTCTTAATAAGTTAATACGTGGCTTATGTTCATCTTCAAGACCCAATTATGAAAATATACTTGACGTGACGAGCTATTTAGAGCAACGGCACGTAACCTTGGATCCAGAGACGGTGGTTTCAATATGCATGGCTTTCATGAAGAACGACGAGACATACGAAGTCATTGATACTCTCTCGCTCCATACGGCACATTACAGCATAGCCGAGAGGGAGATGGTACGTAAGTCCTTTGTTGAATACTGTTTGGATAAGAAAAACAGCACAGCAAGGGTATGGGACGCCTACGCTCTCCTTCGCCAATTCTTCCCTGAGGTCGAGACTGAGAATCGAGAATCCATCATGGACGCTTTTTTTGATAGGCGACGTCCAGATATGGCCTGCCACGTTTTTGGCCATATGCGTTCACATGACAGTATACGGCATAGGCCAACATTAGACACTTACGTCCGTTGCTTGGAAGGACTTGGGCGGTGCCCAGACGGGGAAAGCTTGAAGATGATCCACAATATGGCGAAAATGGATACCACTATACAGCTCAACACACGACTTTACAACGCGCTGATGATAGGCTACATTGCGTGCGATATTTCACACAGGGCACTTGACTTTTGGAAGGAGATTACCACATCACCTGAAGGACCATCCTACGCAACTCTTGAAATTGTCTTCCGCGCCTATGAAGCACAACCCTATGGCGACGTACCTGCCAGGGATCTTTGGGCCAAACTTAATAGGATGGAGGTCGACATACCAGAACACGTCTATGCAGCATACTTGACAACATTAGCTGCCCATAATCATTTGCCGGACGTGAAGGTGCTTTTAGACGATTACGACAACATCATAGGGAAACGGCCAGATTTTCTAACGTAAGTGTTATCTAGGGGGTTTCCGAAAATAACTTTTATGTTAACAAGATATGCAGCTTTGCCTACGTGTATAATGCCTTGCCATCCCAGGACGTGAAGGAGGATTTTGAGTCCTGGGCGGAACACGAATACCCACCACTTTGGAGGTCCCTTATCAAAACGCATCATCGGAAGAAAGACGAAGACGGACTGCTGCATTTTAAGGTCTCGCAGCCGTGGAAGGCATGAATCTGTACAATACAATTTTATACATCATGGATATTTGCTATCTGTACATAATAAAAGCGGCAAGATGTTGTATATCCGATGTTGTCCTAAACTCTCAAGGCCTTATTCTGGGTAGCTATGTGTTGTGCAAGCATTTTGTCTGGCCCTTTCAGTAACAGTTCGGGATGTCGGTGTACGCTGGGGTGTAAACCCAGACCAATCGCCCTCCTAATCGCCTTGGCCATCTTGCGCTGGTTGACTGGGCTCAGGCCGGTCTCTACAGAGCGCATTATACGGCCGTGTGGAGTTATGAATTCGGAAATAACGGAGAAGTTCTGAGGACCCTCGACGTTAGCAGAATTCTTCTCTTGGATTTACAAGATCATTGGAAGTGCTCACCCTATACATATCTAGGGGCCGGAGTCCCAACAGATCCACGAGGTCCTGCTTGCGCGCCGTGGTCTTGCGCCACTTGTCGACCTCGGAGATACTCATGTCGTGGGGGGAATAGACGTCGCCGGTGCGCCACCGACGCGGCAGCTGGCGCATGTAGTCAGCGTTGCGAGATCTTGTACTCAGGTCTTCTGTGACCCGCTGGCGCCCAGCGAGCGTGTTGCGCCCCATGCTTCGTATGCTCCTGTATACATCGCTGGCCAAGTTGGTCTCGTTGCCCGAGTTTGTGCTGTCGATGCTGAGCATCGAGGCTGTGGAGTTCTTGATGTCTCGAACTAGGGATTTGGGAAACAAAAAACGTCAGCGACCTCTGTGTGAGACCTCAAGCACGCGGGAAACAAGATAGAGCGGCGTGGCAAGCATCTGGATGTGCTAAGGGCTGAGCTTACGGGCTTGCGGGGCGGCTGTTGTCGAGAGCGGTGCTGTGGGCGTCTTGGGGACGGACATGCCCTGCCGCAAGGCGGAAAGAATTGGTATCCGGGGCGGCATCGTAGGTTGGTGAGAGACCACTGCAGCAGCTTCTCTCTTGACGATATGGCTGATTGGCGTTGCTTGGAGCGTGCCAACTCGAGTTTGAGCCTCGTCCAGCAGAAAAGTGACTTGTAGAAATAAAGTGGACCCGTAACGTATCGGTAGGTACCTTGATGAGTACCGAAGACCCACTCATCCGCGAGTATATACCTAGGTAGTACTTCCCTAACCTCCGTAAATACCTAAGCGTATAAAACGTACTTACCTAGGTATTTAGCAAACAGCCGAACCTATTTTCCTTCGCAATCCAGCTCCAGCAAAGAAGCCATATCTCGGCCCAACCCGTAATCTACACATGAGTAGAAGCAGTACCTGCCGCCAACAACTCACCGTACCTGTGGAAGCACGTCATGCTACTAGACTTGAGCACGGACTGGAAAGACCACACAGACGGCATGTCACCTGCCAAAGAGGACTGACATTGAAAGAAGAACTGCAATTGCAGCAAGGCAACTCCCTATCTTTCGGAATGTGTAACAACTCACTCACTCTGGCTGTTACGCCCGGCTGTGACTATGTCCTGAACTTTGGATAGCTGGGCTAGCAGCATCTTTACGATGGGCAGATCTAAACGCCGGTAATTTCAGAGCCGGGTCGTATTCTTCACTCTTCCTCCTTGTATACACATTTACTTCCACATTCAGTTTCGTAATCTCTTTATTGAATTTGGTATTATCATCATGTCAACCATCATCAACTCAGAAGAATCGGGTCCTGTGGACACCACTCAAGCAGGCACGGCATCACACACGAGGGCTCTTTATGATACTGGCGCCAAATTGTTTACAAAATATACTATGGCATGGGTCGCCAATGAACTCAGGCTCTGTGAGGAAGATATGTCGAGTGGTCTTGAGCGACGTATTGCCACATTACCGCGTATCGATGGAAGCTTTAAGGAACTAGACATTTCTCTGGTTCCTCCGACACCATCCCATGACAAAGAAAGACCTGGTGACTCACACTGGTAATTATGCTAGATCTTCACTCTCTAGCAGTGATGCTAACCGAGCCCATAGTGTGATTGACTACGTCGGGATCGAACGCCTCGCATATGACGGTGACAACGAGGATCTCCAGTGTACGGATCCGTATTTTCCCATGACTATTGAGGTTACCACCAGAACCAACCCTGATGGTGGTGCTAATGAACATGATAACGATCATGATAAGAATAAGCACGTGTCCTCTGTGGATGGACTATGCGGAGTGTTCTCAGGCATACGGCGAGTGTGGATAAGGAGGGAGTTTTGCAATGAGCTTCGAGCAGTACTCAATGCAGTGAAGCCTCCTGCCGTCTTAAACAAGATTTTTGGTGTTGCATTAGGGTCCCTTTGCGCGGGAACGAAGCTTCAACACCGGGCAATCTATCAACATGCGCTGATACCCACCATTCAGTCAATTCTACTCCAGCGCCGCGTAGTGTCGGTATCGTGTAAGCGTTATGTACAAGACCCAGCATATACTCAACGAGATAAAGACGTTTTATCCCATCAGGGGCTGGAGGTCCTTGACGATCCTCACGCTTTCTTGGCGTTGGATGGTTCTAGCGTTCTAGTCTCAATTTGCCCTACAATCTCGGTGAAACAGATCGTGGCAGATATCTGCCGCCCAGGTATTATCATATGGGCGAGATTTCCATAGTGAGTATCCCATGAAGTATGGTACTTCCTAATACTACTCAACTAACACACCGCAGTCAACTGATGGATGATGATCGAACTTTTTTCCTCGCAGACGAAGAACCGTCAAGGGTAACAGAAATGCTTGAGAACGATTACTGCGAGTTCGACTTTCCATATCATGAGTACATTGAGGCTCCATTCGGTATAGCCATATATGTCCGAAAGGGCGCTTGACGTGGACAGGAGCATTTCTACTAGTTGTGGGGAATTCGGTATAGCATTGTTGTACACAGCGATTCATGTTGGGTTTCGGCGTTTGCATTATCTGGAACTGTCGATGGGGTAGAGTGAGGGCGACATTGAGAGGAGGAGTGAACAGGATCAAGAATTGACGTTTCCCCCTGACGGAACCGTTTCTGTAAAATACTTAGTCACTTAGCTTAATGGGTAGCGATCCGTATTAATTGCTTTTGGGTCTACCGTTATGCAAATGGTTTTTGGGGCAATGTGGAGAACACCCCAGATCACACACTACATACTTACAGTACTAGGTATGTACCCTCGATACCTAAGGTAGGTACTTAGCAGTACTTAGTAGTACCCGGTCATTGCAGAGTGTCTACTAGTGGATATCAGATTGATTGATTGATTGGCCAATCGCCCGCAGCTAGCGGTGCCTAGCGTCTTAGGATCATCCTCTGAACTGTTTTCATTATCGCCGCATTTTTAGGGTGAGAGAGGACTCGTTCAAGAAGTTTGTTATAAAGGTATCAATGCACCTCAGCCCACCCCATCAACCGACTACTAATATTCTTGTCACCTACTTTTGATAACTTTCCTTTGCAAGAATCCAACTGTTTTCATCGACTCTACCTAGACCGCTGACGAGTAAGAGATCGTCAAAATGGTTCGCAAGCTCAAACATCATGAATCCAAACTGGTAAGGGTTTTATAGAGCCTCCCGGCCGTCGCACCAGAGAAGCGCATTGCTAACGAACAATCCAGTATGGTCACTTCCGCCTTGTTAGCTTTCATGTGACGTGTGGTGGCTGCCAGAACTCCATCATCCATTACACTAAGACCATCGCTCGTTAGGATGTCATTCTAACACCCGGCAGGCTAAAGAAGACGGATTTTGTTACCTGGAAGCAAGATCACGACCACCACGATGCAGCAGTGATACGGAGATGTAGGTACTTCCGGGAATTCATCGTGCTGTGTGAATACCCTCAAGTGAAAACGACTACTAATTCTCGGTCTCAGATATGATCCAGGATAGAGGAGACTATCAGAAGTATGCCCAACTAGCAACGCCTCACTTAAGACACCACATGCTGACGCTCGTTGGACAGGTACAACAAGCTTTGTGGCGTGAGTATCTAAGCTCTTACCAAATCGTGATCGCTTGTCTCTAACCCATGGATTAGTCGTTACGACAGCTCGCCCATAGGCTCTCCCTTCTACCTCCAGAGAGTGCGACACGCCAAAAGGTACGACCACTTCTGCCTTCAACCCTCTCCTTCATCACGTGCGAACAACGACTGATCGTTGAGAACACAGCACGAGAAGCTTCTATTAGAGAAACTCTACGACATGGGTATTCTCTCATCGACTTCTAAGCTCTCTAATGTCGAGCACGGCGTAACTGTTTCTGCCATGGTACGTGAATTTGCTCACAGTTGATTCTACATGCTAATAATTTCCCTATAGGCTAGACGGAGACTTCCAGTCGTAATGACCCGATTACGGATGGCCGAGACAGTCCAGGCGTGCGTAGACATTTAATAACTCCTCATATATGCCAAAGTTATAGCTTGCTGACCTACGTCTTGCAGTGCGACGACCATGATAGAACAGGGCCATGTACGCGTGGGAGTAGAGGTAAGCTTCATTCTACTAGGAGTCTTGTACGAGACAACTCCACACAACAGTCACTAACTTGGTGAGTTGTAGTGTATCACAGACCCTGCCTTCTTTGTTACAAGAAACCAAGAAGACCTAGTCACATGGACAGCAAACAGCAAAATCAAGCGGAACATAATGGCCTATCGTCAAAAACTCGATGACTTCGAGCTACTATAGTACTGAAAATAGATTGGTGGGCGTACAAATGATTTCAAGGCACATGCAAAGTATAGGGCGTATAGGAGTCAAGGTTGAGTCTGAAATGGTCTTTCATTGCTCCAGGGGAATTGTCAGTGAGCTAAAATGGAAGTTTGGGGTTCACTTCTGGTACTGCCTGGCACTACCACCCGATTTGTGGAAGATCATAATTGCAGCAGTCGGATCTTAGCCTGTAGTTTGGCCAATACAGCCCTTTCCAAACGCATCTGTGCCCTTCCCGTTTTACAGGAAGCTATCATCTTAGGGGATGGTTGATTAACGTTATCGAATTTTAATTGACCTGGTTTTGGTATATCGATACCTTTTAACCCTTCCACTACACTCTTCGCATCGCTCATAAGAAGCTCGAAATTGACACCTCGTGGCGTCCAATATCTTGTAATCCGAAGTTGATCATTCAACCAGCTGGGAATAGTGATGCATGCAGATGACCACCGTAGCTCCAAGAGGGCGATGTCGTCCATCACTTCGATAATTGAAACATCGTCGACCCATTCCGGCCACTTGAAGTATGTGGACGGCAATGACCTGAGTACTGTTTGCGTGCTGAAGTTAGTAATCGCCGAAAATAGTAAGAGTTCAGCACATGTCTTGGGAGCATGTAGGAGCAATGCAGCCCTAAATCTGCTTAAGGATAGAATAAATGGCTCGAGGGATCTAACCAGCCCGAAATAGACTTGTATCAGACCCGTCGCATCTCTTTATAATGAATTGCGTGTCATCGATAAGTCTAGTGAGAATTGAAACAATAGAATAGAGAGTATTCTTTCTCCGCCTATTCATTTCGACTACTGTAGGCGTCAGGTCGTTCTCTGAAGGACATTGTCAGGTAGCTTACATATGATATCTCCGTCTATCGGAAGCTGAACGGGCATTGCTGGGCTATTCCAGTGCAGCATTAACTCGCGCGTCGCTTCTCGGTATTTGTGAGAGTCTTTAAACACCCCAGCGGCATATATCCAATGTGTCGCTTCGTGGCTCCAGAACGGCGTAGAAGACTCCTCAGCCCACAGCTTATCCATCCATCGTTGCGGTAAATCACCCATTCCCTTGTGGCAATCCATCTCACTCACGATGGCGGCGACTTTCGCTAAGATGTCCAGGCTCACGGCGTCGGGGACTTGTTCAGTTCGGCTTAGAACCTGGGCCGTTACGATGGCAAATGCCTTGAGGTCGAGATCATCGCAGCCTAATGGTGCATCAATAATTCCACTATATTGATACAGCCAATTGTTAAGCCAGTCGGTTGCCATCAACAATGTCGGTGAGATGCTGTCTTCCATCCTATCTAAACGCTCCTTTACCCGTCGTCGAAGATACTTTGATAACAAGTCCATATTAAGTCTTTCCTTGTGAAGAAACAGAGTCGCATAGCTAAGTGCGACAACGGTAACGTCAACTTCGAACTCGCTGAAGGAAGAGTTATAGGAAGATATCTGATAGAATGCGGTGGTAGAAGACCAAATGGATAGGTGTATCTGTGAGACCAAAGAAGCTTAGCCGAGTTAGACTGCGTATTAATGTGAACCTTCTTCACGAAGAGGTGCTATGCCCTTAGAAATTTCTTGAAACAGACTGTAGAAGATATTTAGTCTACAACTTGGCACTCTAGGAGCTATCATATCGGGTTGAGCTAGATCTTTCTTTATACTGCTACACAAGTCTTCCCGGCGAACATGGCCGTGTAGCCTAATGCTGTCCAGAAACCTTCTTTTGGGCAGCTGACCAGAATAGGGTGAAACCTTGAGACTTAAACGGGAAATTTTAAGCAAGATAACCCTTCACGCAGATCGCCAATCTGCTTTAGCGCTGGTCATTTTCTGGGTATGTGAGTTTTGTCGTACAGCTTCTGGAACTCCTCTTCGAGGGTCTGGCCATATGCATTGCACAGTCTCGACGTCGGAGAAATAAACGAAACCCTGGTTGATCACTACCAACACGTGTAGCGGGTCAAAAGTACCCAGTTCATTGAGGTTATAGGGAGGGGAATTCTACTGCTAAGCAAGATCCTTCTTATAGTCTGTATGAGTAGTGCCTTCAAGTTCCGTACATATCGTACCTTCGCAATTGCTCAGCCCTTCCCGCATAAGTAGGTAGGTCCTTTAGGTACTATAGGTATGTGTTGTGTAGAGCACGAATTGCTACCTTATCTAGGTAGGTATGTAGATAATAGTCGAAGTTATATAATTCCTACTTATACACTTAGGTACTCAATACTACTCATGGATAGTAATATTGTGAGGTAGGTGCGAAGAACTCTACGTCGTCATTCGTGGCTGTCACGTGATGCAAGGCAGATGCACGTCTTCTCGCGTCGCCCCACTTTACATGGAAGCTCTCTTTGTTGACCTCGCGATGTGCATTTGGCAACACTGGAAGCTATCGTTCTTCATCACATTTACAAGACCAGCCTTTCATGCGGTCATGTTTTCTGCCTTCAGTATGAGTGCGATGCGTGACAAACACGAAAATGGTGCGGCCATCAGATCCCATCGTCATTCCAGATGACGACAGCACAGCTTCCGAGGCATCTGCGGGCAATGAAGTCAACAAGTCACGCCTGACAAAGCGTAAGCTGTCTACCAAACCAACCAATTACGATGACTGGAGCGACGAATCTGATGGGAATCATGCAACCTTCAAAAAGCGGAAGGCTACCTCTAAGAAACCTAGCACTGTCAAAGGTAAAGAAAAAGCTGTTCCGAGGGGTAGGTCGTCACGAAAACCTGCCGACCGCAAGGCCAAACCGAATTTAAACGGTAGTACTGCCTCAGAAGATGAATCTGCTCTGTCCACATCGTTGCCTACCTACTTCCAGAAACGTCGTAAGGCCTTCGATGAGAATTGCCAAGCTTTTCACGAAGCAGGTCTACGACTGCCGCCAGATTATTCAGATGTGTACTTTTCCGATGACGAGCGGCTTGCAGATCTCGAAGAAAAGCCACAGTTTGGATCCACTAGTGGCATCAATCCTTGCCACCCATACAAGGACATCAAGATCGCTGGCGGGCTTATACCGGCTTCTCTCGCACAATATCTGCGAGACTATCAGATCCAGGGAGTGCAGTTTTTGTACGACCTTTTCATACATCAGCGCGGCGGTATTCTTGGGGATGATATGGGTTTGGGGAAAACTGTTCAAGTTGCTGCTTTCTTGACTGTCGCCTTCGGGAAAACTGGCGACAGCCGTGACGCAAAACGGAGGTATGTATCAAAATCTACCGTGCCAGTTCTGAGACCTAGACTTGGTAGAATGACCTGTTGTCTTCTAGCGCTAACTGTTGCCGCAGTACGTGAACTTCTGATCCTGAAACATGGCCACCATCATCTGCGTAATTCTAGAAAGTATGTAATAAGGAACTGGACTAATACGTTTTTATATGACAGTGAGAAAGTATAGGCGCACCAAGGATGATTGGTATCCCCGGGTTCTGATCGTATGCCCAGGGTCTTTGATCAAGAACTGGACAAATGAACTAGAGAGATGGGGATGGTGGGTCGTCGATGTTTTCCATGGTTCCAAGCGTGACGATGTTCTTGGTACCGCCCAGGCTGGGAGACTTGAGGTTATGGTAACGACATATACGACATACAAGAACAGCGCAAATGAAGTCAACATTGTGCCTTGGGATATCGTCATCGCTGACGAATGCCATTGCATAAAGGATCCAGCGGCTGGCATCACGCAGTCCATGAATTTGGTCAACTCATTATGTCGAATCGGATTGACCGGAACAGCTATTCAGAACAACTATGAGGAGCTATGGGCGCTGCTAAACTGGACTAATCCAGATTGTTTTGGCACACTTGGAGAATGGCAGCGCATGGTCGCCCAGCCCCTCGCTCTTGGCCAGAGTCACGACGCTACCCTCCACCAGTTGAGCACGGCGCGTACGACGGCGAAGAAGTTGCGAGACAACCTTCTTCCCAAGTTCTTCCTACGTCGCCTCAAGAGTTTGATCGCCGACCAGTTACCCAAAAAGAGCGATAAAGTAGTATTTTGTCCTTTATCGGATCTGCAGCGAGAGGCATATGAGAACATTCTCTCTAGTCCAATCGCACAATTTGTTCTAGAATCGTTTGACCAGTGCCCATGCGGCTCAGGCAATACGAAAGGGCACTGCTGCTTCGAGATGAATGCTGATGGAGAAAAATGGCAAGCTCTCACCTTCCCTCTCATTATATCGCTGCAGAAGCTGGCCAATCACTTCAATCTTCTCATGCCGCGTACTACCGACCTGGCCGATAAATATCAGAGAGAAATTCGGATCCTGCAAGCTGCAGCACCGCGCGATTGGGAAACACACTATGCAAGTCGAGACTCAATCCTCAACCTTGCCAATCCTGAATACTGTGGAAAATGGAAGGTTCTCAAGAAACTGTTGGAGTTCTGGCATAAGAACGGCGACAAAGTTTTGGTCTTCTCTCATAGCGTAAGGTTACTCAATATCCTACAACAGCTCTTCAACAAAACATTGTACAACGTCAGTTACCTGGATGGCTCACTGTCGTATGAGGATCGTCAAGGTGTCGTCGATAATTTCAATTGCGATCCGAATCAATTCATTTTTCTCATATCAACAAAGGCAGGCGGGGTTGGTCTCAACATCACTTCTGCTAACAAGGTCGTCATCATGGATCCGCACTGGAATCCAAGCTATGATCTGCAGGCACAGGATCGTGCATACCGAATTGGTCAAGTACGTGATGTCGATGTATACAGATTGATATCTGTAGGAACGATCGAAGAGATCACATATGCACGGCAAATTTACAAACAACAACAGGCCAACATTGGGTACAATGCATCGAATGAACGTCGCTATTTTAAAGGCGTCCAACACCAGAGCAAAGGCGAGCTGTTCGGCATACAGAATCTGCTGACTTATAACGGCGACGAAGGCGTCCTTCGGAATATCGTGAATAAAACTAATGTGGCCGAAGCTAGAGCAGGTGTCAAGATGATTGATATTAACATTGATGAGGTTGCTCAGGCTGCAGAAAAGGATCTTTCTATCAAGAAAGAAGGAGGGGCCGATGATGAGACTGGGGGTCTAAAGCAGCTCTCTACCATGCTCACAGCTCCGAGAAACAAACGCGGTGTGATACAGGAGCCGAATGTTGCCAACAAGGCTAAGAGTGACCCGATACAGGCTATTCTAGCTGGTGAAGGCGTTGAATACACTCATGAAAATTCGGAAGTGATTGGGTCGTCTAAAATCGAGAACGAAATATCCCGATGGGCTGAGAAGGCAATGGACCCAGAGGGTGGCCTCTCTGGATTAGCTCTGTTCTTGGAAACCCAGCAAGCTCACTCAGCAAATGAGGATCATAAATTCTTTCACTCCGAATTCAACCCACCAGGTGATGTTATGCAACGCCAGTTCTGCAGTATGGCTAAAGAGTTCGGTTTTGCCAGTGTTACAGAATTCGCTCTTGCCGTCGAGAGCATGACACAAGAGCAGCGCAGAAACTGCCTCGATTCGTTCTACAAGATCCGTGCCGAACAATTAGGGAAATCCGAGGACATTAATCATAGAGGTGACATGAAGATGGAGGTAAAGGATAAGAATCTCGTGAAGACGGAGGTAGATGATAGCAACCTCGTGAAGCTGGAGGTGGACGCCGCCGACCCAAATCACACCGATAGTTCTTTGGAATTTAAGGCAGATGTGGATAAAGAAGATCTTCCGGCGCAAAGTGTCAATAGGGGGATACATAACATCAAGCCAGAGCCTACTGAGAGTCCGCTTCGTATGCCTCTACCGGTTGTACCCAGCCCGGACGGAGTTAAGCCAGATAGGCGTTCGATCTCAATTTGGCTGTCTGATGATGAAGAAACGGATGAGTTATGATTGTATAATTTTTGTAGTATACCCTTAATTCGACGGGCTTCAACTAGCTTATATGAGCCATTCGACGTCTGTAGTAGATTGAGAGCCTTGTGGCCGGTACCATTCAGGGTTATTAATCAACCAAGTCTCAAAACACATGAAGCTATGGAAGTAGCACATCTCAAATTCCAAAACGAGACTGCAGCATGACGTAAAAACAGAATGGCATAAGTCCAAATCTACATTGCTTTAACTTGTCAGTCCTGTACCCAGGTTGTACACACAGGCCAAATCTATGACTTGTTTTCTATAAGTAATTAGGGTAACGGTTAGAGACACATTAGGATCTCCCTGCATACAGCAATCTAAGGTTACCTTACTCAGTCTGTGACAGACAAGCCATCTTTGTCTCACCACCACAGCACCGGTAAATGAAGAGTTTGAGTAGTCAATTTGGACGATGGGTAAATGAACATATCAAATATCAAGCCTCCTGTTGATCCTCAAGCACACTGCTACAGAGAGGCTATGCACAGTAGTATGTTATTACCTATGGGCAGGTATCACACTTGGGTTGGGATTGGTTACACAGACACTTGACGCTGTTACTAGGAAGCAAGCAGAAACAGAAAACATGAGTATCTGCACTACTGTATGTCTCAACTAGGTCGCACTGGAATGCTAGAGGAGGCACATGACGTAATAACTAGAGTTTGGTGAAGTCTAATAACGGGATGAAGAACACTTTTTTCAATAATGAGCCTTCCTTTATGTAGGTAGGTGGATGTATTCCATGTTCACTGGTATGATCCTCGTTTCCTTGATAATGGTGTATCTTTAGGTGCCATGCAAATGCAAGTGTGAGGCAGGGGGGATGTCACGGAATGACATAAGGAGTGCAGTACTATGCCACTACGCCACCAAAAGGTAACGACGAGTTATCAAGTCGAAGGCTTGACGTCTCTGCACTCACTATATAGTACTGTACTGTGACAGGGGATTTGTTGAGTCATGCAGGTTTCCTCTTTCAAAAATTTGAATTTGTCCACCTTGTATTAAGATTGTTACAAGTTGAAACCGGCGTTAACTAAAATCCATTGACACGGTGCCAGTATGATGAGCATCTCCCCCACATGATGTCTTGAATGCCATGAGAGGGCGTTTTGCTCCATGATGATTCGGGCGATGGAGAATAGAAGTTGCTGATAGTCATTTGAACGCCCATTTTAGCCTTCCTGGCAGGTGCCCTAGACTCACACAGTCATCACCTGATTCAGTCACAAGGAGCCTGGTACCGAGTCGTCGGAATGAACGGCAGTCGCAATGGCAATGGACAGTTATCGAAGTCGACAGGTAAGTGCGTGTTGTGCTTCCTGCCTACTACATAAGGCGTCTACTGTGCATCTACTGTACATCTATGTTCCATCTACATGAGTACATCTACATAAATACTTCCTCATGGTTGTAGACATGAGTTTGGGTTTGCCCATCTGGCCTGGTCTACGCACTGTCCCAACATCCAGCCTTCCCATCCAGAGTCACGCAACGCAAACATTCCTCTCAATCTTTTGCCACGATCCTCGTCGTCATTGCAGCCTACCTGATCATCCATACTTCTCCCGTTGTCATCACCACCCACCCACTATTGCCGCACATTCATTGTATGCTGCCGACGCCATAAGATACAGATACAGATACCACCCGCGGCCCTTCATATAGCCTGCTTGGCCACTTGCATATACCGCATTGTGGTTCTTCTCTCTTGATGCCCACGATATCTCATTCTTCCTAATCCCTCTAGTTCCTCTAGTTCCTCTAATTCCTCTAATTCCTCTAATTCCTCTAATTCCTCTAATTCTTTCCCTCCTATCGCCCTAGCGCACTTTCGCTCCGTCTTCAAGCCACACTCCTCCCTATTCACGTCATACCGACCTACCTGAGACATTACTGCTGTACTATTCAGACAATTCGGCTTCGCCTCTCTAATACCCCGTCGTCAACTTGTTCGTTTTCATTCCAAAAAAAACCTGGCAGGGCTTCCCTCGAGAACGCACCTTGTCATTCTCCAACATGAGGCTATTCATCATACCCCTTTTCATTGGTATCATAGGCAATGCTAGTGCCACTATTCGACCTCGGCAGTTGGGTAGTTCTTGTTGCTTTGGCCTCCAGTCCGTTGGTATTGATGGCGAGGAAGTTAAGGAGGATCATGTAGGAGAGCTGAGCCTAGGTGGCCCCTTCCAACAAGGCCTCTTCTGTTTGGACAAGTCAACAAGAACTGTCAAGGATACACTTAACCACAACTGTTTTATGAGGGCCCCTAATGAGCAATTCCAGTGCTACCCAGGTATTGTTGGAGCCACAGCTTTTGACATCTCGTCTCCCCGCCCAGATGGCAAGTCATACCTCATCTACGACGATGGGCCGGGTACTTTCTACGCTTGCCCTATTGGAACTGGGAATGATAAATACTACAGCATTTTCTCAGACTTGAAACCTGATAAGACTGGCTGCGCCCCGGTTGCTTTGGCTCTGTATGGCCCGTCATTAGGATGCTATACTTCCAGCAATAACACAGTGGTTGCCCCAACTTCCATGTCCAAGAAGACTAAAACCAGGAGATCGCCTGTTCGGCTCCGTCAACGGCAGATATCTGCCACCACAACCTCAACGATGTCCGGCTATAGCCAAGTACCAGGTGCTGGATTGTGGTCAAGCATGCCTTCAAGTGCGATCCCAAGCGCAAGTACCAAGGCTACGGTCAAGGCCGGCTCGGCGAGTATCGAATCGTCCCAAACCTGCTTGATATCACCATCTGCGCCGTCTATCGCTCCCATTAGACTGGGTTCTCGTGATAAGTCAGCTCCAGATGGCATCAAAGACAATTCGGCGGAGGCATCCATCACATCGCACAATAGTACAGTCTTCCTATACAACATTCCTAGCTCATTCCTCCCGCCTATATCAGGAGCAAAACCGGCTCTCTGCGCTTTGCAGTTCCGTATGCCTGTCTGTACGGAACTCCCAAAAGGCTATCCATGCTATAATTTTAGTGGGTTAGAACAGGAGGTGCTCGCGAATTCTGGTATGAACTTTGATCTGATCCTTGACGATGGCAAGGCGGCTTGGAATGGAACTGCGCTACAGCAGATCTTTCCCGGAGAGAACACGATCTTGGGCACATTCGAATGCGGAGCACCAAAAGGCTCGTACGATGATCGGGACCGGAAGATGGGCTGGAACGCGAGCAGTGTCCGTGGTTTCGGTCTCGAGTTCCTTCATGCCGGGGTAGGCGACGATGCTAAATATCAAGATGGGATTGGCGCTTGGATTGTGCCCTGCCAATAGTCTCCTTTCAATCTGGTTCTTGGCATAGGGAGTTTCGAAGCTCAGCTATGATTTTTCGGCCCATCTTCTATCTGATTATTGATGTGGACAAGCCACGCTTGGTATAAATGCATTATTCTCGACGATTAGTAATGGGGAGTAATGAGCTGGAGACATAGAAGCGTAGCAACGCCGCCTGTATTCTAACCTTGTGCCTATTCCGAGGACGGCTCGGGATAGAACATACTTAAACCACGTATATACTCCTCTAGATGACGAATATTAGTCAAGACTTTCGCAACACAGGGTATATCCAACCAATAAGTGGTCCCAATATTATCAGATGCAGTAATGGAGCCAGGCACATGGGAGCCAGATAGTTGAACATGTGATATGCTTTGCGGACCCGGTGAAGCTTCAATCATTAGAGGCCCCGCTCCCAAAGAGTTTCCCAGGATGGACTGTACCTAGGTAGTTGTTGTCGACGTCGATTATCTGTGGCGGAGCTCCTGGCGGGGTTGGCTTTAGTCTCGTTCTACAGCCTCTTGCGTCGGTGCAGCTAAGCTGACACGGCGACCTTAACCACACTCTTGAATGCTCGCCTCATTCGGAGTCTTCTAGCTCTCATGTGAGCCTTGCCTTCCATTACCGAGATGTTCAACCATCAAACTAGCACAGCGCGGGATGGCAATCCAACATTCTCCAACTTTTTTCGTCGTCTTAATTTGGGGGTTTGTCGACTCTCGGTTACCATTCGGGGAATATCGAAGCACGTCAGGCTGAGCATAGATGTCACAATTCTAAGCTTCCCCGCAACCGTACCACACCACGTTCTCGCCCTTCGAAACGTGCATTAGGGAACGTGTGATAACGGACATGAGGAGGGCGGGTAGACAGTGAGGGGAACTTGGAACGCGATATTCCATCCAATCCTCATCTTGTACGACGCGTTATCATCTCGAGATAGGCGGGATGGCGTGAGATGTACGATGCTTGCGTCATGCTGAATGGATGGCGCTTGATCGTGTGTGTGGCATGCTCATGCGCCTATCTCGGACCAGAGATCGTGGAGAAGATGCCATTGTCGCGGGGCGAGCTTCGACTGTCGTGACGCATAAGAAGGGCTGGTCGCGTTGCACAGGAGCTGCTGTGCTAGACTGATCTGCAACTCTCCTCGCATCCTCTCCTTCTATCCGTGTAATACCGGAAAGCAATTTGTATCTCATATATCGTCTAGATTCGATTGGAAGAACCCATATTGCCCTCAAATCCGCGGTGCATATCATATACACAAACATACACAACAATGGCACCCTCTGTGACTGATACCATCGTTCCAGAGGTTGAGACCCTCAAGCAAAAGCTGGCCCCTAATACCGAGGTCAAGGCCCCAGAACACAACAATGGCGGCGCAGTGGGCAGCTCAGAAATCCAAGACGATGAAGTCGCCGTTGATGGTCTTCCGAAGGTCCTGACGGGCCATCGCGAACCCTTGAAGCTTAGCGGCGCCCTCGACCAGTTCAAGCAGTTTGACAACACGCCTGTCATCGGCCGCGAATTCGTTGACGTCGACTTGGCCGAGTGGCTGCGCGCGCCGAACTCAGATGAGCTGCTTCGTGACTTGGCTATTACTGGTAAGACGGTTTATACTTTTCGCTCTCGATGCCTTTTCATCTCATTCTTTCTTCTCCCTCCTATAGACACATGCCTTACAGATACCCTCGAATAATGGTGGTACCGTACTCTTGCCTGCCCATCGACCATGGCTACCTAGTTCTGCAAACGTTCTCTCCCTCAAATCACTCACTCACTCACTTACTTGCTCAAACCCCAGTCTCACGCCGTGGTGTCGTCTTCTTCCGGAAGCAGGACAACATCACCAACGAGCTGCAAAAGGAGCTCGTGCAGCGGCTCGGCGAGCTCACGGGTAAGCCCGCGACGTCAGGCCTGCACATCCACCCCGTCATCAACGCCTCGCGGGACAACGGCGGCAAGGACCATGAGATCAGCGTCATCTCGTCGGTGCAGAACCGCAAGTTATATAAGAGATATGAGCTGGAGCAGAGCGCGTACAATAAGCCGCAGACCCGCCGTGGCGAGTGGCACTCCGATATCACATTTGAACCTGTACGTGATTCGAGCGATGGGTATATGTCCTTCTTGTCGATGTACGTGAGATTAATCGAGACTTCCTAGGTTCCCAGCGACTATGCGCTGCTGCGCCTCACGGAACTTCCCACTACCGGCGGCGGTAAGTTTTTCATCTCAAATCTCTTCCCACAGAATAATACCACGGGATATTTTTTTTTCTAACACGCCTCATTTCCCACACAACAGACACCCTCTGGGCTTCAGGCTACGAAGTCTACGACCGTCTCTCGAGGCCCATACAACAGCTCCTCGAAGGCCTGACCTCGTACTGCGCGCAGCCCGCCTTCAACGAGTCCGCGGCCTTCAACGGCTTCGAGCTCTTCGCGGGCCCGCGGGGCGCGCCCGAGAACGTCGGCGAGGACCTCGTCGCGCGGCACCCCGTGATCCGCACGAACCCCGTGACGGGGTGGAAGAGCGTGTTCGCCGTCGGCAACCACGTGAAGCGCATCAACGGCCTCACGGACGACGAGTCCAAGCACTTCCTCTCCTGGTTCGTCCAGCTCATCACCGAGAACCACGACCTCCAGGTCCGCAACCGCTGGCAGAACGTCAACGACCTGGCCATCTGGGACAACCGCTCCGTATACCACGCCGCCACGCCCGATTACCACCAGGTCTTTGGGGAGCGCGAGGGCTCGCGCGCCGTCAGTCTGGGCGAGAGGCCGTACTTCGACCCCGCGAGCACGGGCCGGAAGGAGTCCCTGGCTAGCGAGGGCGCGCTGTTGTAAGCGAGGGGGATCTGGAGAGGGACAAATAGGTAAATTGGATTTTCGTGTGTGAATATGCTGTTTATTCTAATGACGTGTCTCCCTTTTTATACCATGGTATCACGATATCTTCCTGCTTATAGCCAATTCCACGACACTGCCTTATCATTATTATTACTACTACTTCTATTTATCTTACCTTCACCTAGTATGAGAAATACGATATACATAACAGAATAGGTACATGAATATGAAATTTGAGAAACAACTCAATCAACGGTAGAATGAAATTCATTTCGGTAGAAGTGCTGCGCATTGAGTTAAAGGAGGGAAAAAACTTGTTCACGTTAGTATAACTAGTACTATTACATATTCACTTAAATCTAATAGCACTGCACGAAAGTGATGCAATTTGTAGAATCAAGTGTATTTATGCCGCCGTTGTATGTAATTATGCTATAGCTCTCAACATCCCTTATAGTAGCTTATGACCAGCCCGAAAAGTGAAATCCCGAGCAGACTATCAAATCGATCGATGGAGCCAATTCCACATCCAGCTATGTATTCCCATGAAACGATCACTATCGAGCGTATTTTGTACAATCCATTCTAGTGACCCGATCATAGCCCTTCCAACGCCAAAAACCAAAAGGATCATTATGTTCTCCATTAAGTCCTTACTTCTTGCTGTGTTGTAATTTGGAGGGTTATGAAGTGATATGCTCAGCATTCACTTAAAGAAGCAAGGTACCAGCAAGCGTGAAGAACCCGACTACACCGGTAACAGCCAGAAAGCCCATATCCATCGGTGGGGCGGGACGACCAGTGCCAGCGTTATCGCCTGACGCGGTTGCGCTGACTTCACCAGATCCAGGCGTGGCGGTACCCGTCGAAGTGCCACCGGCGTTCTGTGATCCAGGGCCCGTAAGACCGGGGCCATCGCCAGCACCGTCTTTCATGAACTAGAGAAAGCTATTAGGTATGCTATTCGTTAGATAGAAAGAGTGTTGAGCTTACCTTCTTAGCTCCGTCGGGAATGGCAGGAAGTGAACTCTCACCCCATTTTCCAAGGTCCCAAATCGAATCTTGCGTAGGGCAGGCCACAGCCTTCGTAGTGGAGGTGAAACCACCATCACCAGAGGGAGCAGGGTACTTGGCAAGTGCCTTCTTGAAGGTATCATATTCACTCTCTTTCTTGACCGAGTCTGAGTTGCCGGAAAGTTCGACAATACCGTAACCATTTCCTTCGCGACTGTACTCGTACATCAAACCACCAGAGTAAACACCAGACATCTGATCGCTCATCAAGGCGCTGAGCTCCTCGAAATCACGGGTATTCTTGATACATCCCCACTCAGACAGGAAAACTAGAGGACACAAAATTAGTTACCCGTAATCGGAGCGTGATATACTGTATAGAGTGATAACTTTCAAGAGACATTCAGATAGCTAAGACAGCCTTTCCCTCGAAGACTAACGTAAAATCAAAAAGAGTATGAAGATGACTTACTTGGTAGACCGTAACCAGTGAAGTTCTTAACCTTTTGATCCCAGCCAGACTGTTGGAAGGATGATGGGGCGCACCAAGAGTAGTCGTTCTAATGGTTGTTAGTGTCGAGAAGGATATGCAAGGTCATGCCGTCTTCGTGCTGGCAACTCACAAATGCGAAGAAGTCACTGCGCTCGTCATCACCACCGCAATTGAAGTAATCGGCTGTCTGCATTCGATTTTCGCTAACATCAGCAGCAGAGTAGCCAACAGGGATTTTACGATAGCCGCGAGAGCCAATGTATTGGCGCATATCACGAGTGGTCGCCTTGACATATGGCGCTGACTTGACCGTCTCGGGCTTGTCGTTAATGACCTCGTTGCCAGAGAAAAAGGCAAGAGTGTTGTCGTACTTGGCAAACTCATCAATGGTTGCAAAGACACTTTGCAGGTACTTGTCATTGTACGATGGTTCGGGTTCGTCTCGATTGATCGAGTATTGGGGGTTATTCACGTCTAGGACCAGGTAGATGCCTGCATCATTGAGTTTCTGCATGCACTCAGTATGATCCTTAGAGTTGTCCACCGAGTAAACACGGATGGCATTGACACCGAGGTCCTTGAAGCGCGTGATATCTCGCGAGCACAAGTCAGGATCTGCGAGGGGGTCTGCATTGTCTGAAGAGCCACCGGGTTGGTAGTCGATGCCTCGAACATAGAATCGCTTATCGCCCGTCCAGAAAGCTGCGCACAGGCGTTAGTGAATATTACCATATGAACAAGTCATAGTAACCAGGTAAAAAAGAGTCGTACCATTGCCCGAAGCGGTGACAGTCGGGAGAGCAGCAGCTCGATTGGGTAGTTGTTTTTCCGTGGCGGTCGGGCTGCCGTGAGCAGCGTTGGCGGCCACCAGGGCGCCTGCTGCTGCCAGCACGTGGGAACGCATGGCTATGTTGCGGGATGGTCGGATTGGACCGGCTGGAGTTGTTTGCTGGAGATTAAATAGGTATCGTAATAAACACTAGCCCAGGTCGAAGACAAGGCGTTGCTCGACAGGCTTAAGCGAATAGATTAGGCGGCGATTAAAACACCGTTGTTGAGATTCTCGGATTCAAACGAACGTCGACGAGAAAGAGCAGTGAAAGCGAGTGAACTGCTCGAGGACTAACGAGAGTACGAAGATGAACTTCTGAAACAGGACGGCTCGGAAACCGGGGAGGAGTGATGTGATAAGAAGAGGGATGGATGAAAGAAGGGAGAATAGGAAAGGGCACGAGGATACCAGTTACATAATTACTACAGTAGGTAGTAGTAGTCACCACTCGTGTTCATAGACCCCAGGGAGCCAACAGCAAGCGCCGCCACGTCGAGGAGAGCCCATGGCATCCATGGCATAGTTGGCAGTCCGTGTTGATCGGATAATTACTTCCTAATGTGGCCAAGGGGATGCCTCGATGCCTCGACTCGACACAGTGCTACAGTATTGTTAGTATGTAGGTACTGTGTGTACGCTAGTCAGATGCAGATCGATATCATCGGAAGCTCATGAGCGAAACGCGATATTTCTGGGGACTGTCTCGATCCAGCTTCGGGCTGTTCGGGCATTGGCTGCGGAACTGGAATGCAGATCCGTAAGTACAGTACAGGTAGGCAATCTGTTGGATTGTTTTGACCCGGTGTCTGCCCGGTATGCACATTATCGGGAGACCACCTAACGGCACCTCTACTACTCTATGTATTTACTACTCGACTACATAAGTATGTGGATTGCGGGAACAAAGGGGCAGAAGAAAAGTAGAGGAAGGGCTATCCACCGTACAGACACTGTACCACGACTCTCGGCTCTCTCTGGTCTTGCTCTGGCTGCTCTGGGCAGTGTCTGGGCAGATCTGGGTAAACACCAAACAGAATGCCAAGGTCACGAGAATAAGAGCACTATGGGCTCGGCTTACGACTACATCATACTGCCTATGTAGGTACCTATGCTAAATCATGTACGATATCTAGGTATGTCGGGCGTATCGGATAGGTACAGTAATGCACTCATTCTCTACTCATTGGATTGAAGGGTGTTGTTGTAGGAGATTGCAGTGGTTGCTCGTGTTGCAGATGTGGGAGGATGCACTGCCACCTTCGATTTATTTTTTATTATTTTTTTTTGGGTCACACCCTGCAGATGCCAATGGGATCGAGCTGCCTATTCGTACTTTCTTTCGCTTCGCGTCTTGTCCTGTTGACCTATCAAGCCAGCATGAACAGCAACTCTGTATTGAATTAGCCATATCATCATATTTTCCGTATAGCATAAGGTGGGTGTACCTTGGCAAAGGCATTCTATTCTGTAACTGAGAGGTATTTCATATGTCTCTCCCGGACCAAATTTCTGGTGGCTTAATGATGACGCAATCGGGAATGAAAATAAATGGCTTCCAAGTTTTTTGTCGTTGTTGCCAAGAAATCTAGTGTAGGGCAGATCAGTGGATAATGCTACCTAACACTACTGTAGAAAACCAGCTCAGTACAGCTGCTAGACCTAGCCTATCCCCCCTGGAATTCGCCCCGCCCAGAGCCCGCCCACATCAGTTTCAGGTACGAAACTGGCTAGAAATTGAGACTGTCCACTTGCATTCCCCAGCATGCCAAGCATTTCCTAATCCAGTAATATCTCAAAATGTCGATGGACATAACGGACCTACATATAATTTACATGAGCTACATTTCTGCCCCAAGGTTAAACAACGAAAATAAAGATCCTGTCATTGACACGTGCGACAAAAGTATATATCGTCTTAGGTGCCTTAGATGCCTACATACGCATGCGTAACTACGTAGGTAGTTATATCGCTATTTGAACCTCATGGCAGAACTCACGGGACGGGCCTTGTGAAGCGATCCATCACCATACATTGAGGCTCGCTATCAAGCTGCGAATTTCTACGTGTAATTCGAATGACGCCAGCACGATTTCTCTACATGCTCGAGTCCTTGTTCAGTCAGGGACCTCATAAATGTCACCCCCATCAAAATAAGGCTGAATTGCGCAGGTTGGAAAAGTTCGTTGACCATGTCTAGATGTATTGTAGGTGTGTGAGGGGCGACATTGTTGAAGAGATCGTAGATCTGAAGCCAAACCTCTAAGTTGTGAACCAGGATGAACGGAATTTGGAATGTATTATTAGATAAGATAACTCCCTACACATATATATGCCTGTAGGAGCATACAAAGAAACTATTCTCACATACTAACATACTTGACCTTCAATATCGAGCTTGGAAGCTGATTTTAAGATAGTAAGTAGTACTCACATGATTAGACCATGGCTCAGAATCTCTACTCTTTACTAGCGCTCTCTCTCCCTCTCTCTTCCCCTTTAGTTGACTGTTGCTCGCTGAATGCACTCTGGTAAGGACATTCTTCGAGCGCAAAACAAGTCATAATGGCCATACTCTCTGACTTATTCTCGCCATCTGATCATATCTAGATGATAAGCACCATCCAATGAGATGCCAAGTTATTTAACGTTATATGCAATGCCAATACGAATCAAATGGTAGGGGAAAGACGGAGTAACATGCTAATGTTCAGAGGTCCATCCATCTTGTATAAGTACATAGCACATTCACAATCCACTTCCATTCAGATCACTTTTCAAGCATTCGTCTCTTCCCCCACGTCCAATGCGCCCTCGGATTCTCAGCCAAGCCTCTCATGGCCTGCGCATCGGCAGATCCAGGCCCCTTCTCTATAACTAGCTCCTCCGCCGCCTTCAGCGCGTATTCACGAGACCGCTCTTCGTCGCCGAATAGGGCAAAGTTGAGCGCCGCGCGAGTGTACGCCGATCCAAGATGCGCATGCAGGCCTTCTGCCTCGTGAAGTGCCGCGTACTCGGCCCCAGTCTCGGCCGTGACTTTCATCTCTTGGAAGTTGTTCAGGTCGTTTTTCAGTTGCTCGATGCGCCGCAGACGCATGTCAGACTGGGTGAGGATAACGGTTAGTTGGTTCACCGACGTGGGAGAAGCGGTCTGGGCGAATGCGGTCGGATCTAGGTCCTAGAATACGGGCTGGGATACTCACTGCTATTGTCTCGTTCTTCGGCCCCTGGCACAGCGCACAAGCACACTCGAACCCCCAGCTCCGGATGCGCTCCTTTCGCTTCTTGGATGGTAGGAATATATCCGCGTAGCTGACAGTCAATTCCTCTCCTTCAAGGATGTCGCGGGCGGCGACGGCGGTCATTGTCGTCTCAGCGATGCGGTAATGGACGTTTGGCCGACAATCATGATTGAACTTCGCAACATCTGGATACGTACCCAAGTGACGTGCCCCCTTGTCATCGGCCCCATGGACAAAGATCTCGAAGCTGTTGGTGTTGATCTTATCGTGTATGTCACGGCCCATCTGTCCCATGAAAGCGTCTCGGCGGTCCTTGGGTAGTTGTGCTACCGCGAACCCATACACTGTGACACATAAAACCCATTAGCAAGCTGGGGTGGTGGTTCATAGAACCGGAGGCATGAGCAACTAACACATATCCCTCACCCCAACCTCTAACTCGACGAGCGGCTCCGTCTGTGCGACCAGCGTCGCCCCCCTGACCATCAGCACCTCCCCTCTCTCAATCGACCTATTTGCTCGCAACCCGATGCCCTTCCCACTTATCGTCTCGACATAATACGGAGGCGGATATGCGCCGCCGTCGGCATGGACGGCAAAGCTCTGGATGATATGCGCGTGCTGCGGGCTCGTGATGAGCGAGATACCTCCGTTCTGCACGGCGTTAGAGAATACGCACGTCCCATTGACGCATTTCTCGGGGCCTTTCCATTGGGTAGGGAGAGGCTGGACGAGTTTGCGGAGCAATTCCGGGCTTGCGCATGCTGGTGTTCGGAGGCCTTGGATTGTTGGGTCCCAGGGACAAATCTCTGGGGCTGTGTGCTCTACTGATACTTTGGCCGAGACATTTATCGAAATGCTTAGCCAGGATAAGAACGTGTATAATACATGATTACGCATCGTGAAGGCGGGGGTGAGGGCGAGAGTTGAAAAGGGAGTGGTGGTGTTGTCCTCCTTCCCGGCCTCTCGTGATGCTCGGACATTGCGAGATGTTGTAAATGACAGATACACATAACCTTAGAGAGGATACATATCCTAGCAATGGCGGAACCAGAACGAGCCATATCACATTAATGAAGATATAGTTATTTATTATCCGGTACCCCAAGTCCCAATCTGGTGCCTTATTACGTATTTTGCCTAAGGTCCAAGGCCACAGTGAAGACAACCCCAGCGTCTTGAGGCCTATGTTTTCCCGATGCGGAAGAGGGCGAACTATTTACTGGACAATTCATTCATTTTCAATTTTGCATGCTTTAGCTGTGTCATGTCGGTCTTGTTGTCTTCCTCCACTTCGCTATCAAGCCTCGCCTGTGCTCTGGATATTGGGAGGTGTCCGGAAGCAGATTTTAGATACTATGTGCGTAATTCGACTAGGCATGGGAAAGTGCCATAATACGCCTTACCAGTGCGGCGCTATCCGTATTGAATCCTGCGACGCAGTTATAGTTGCAGGACGTTTCTTGTTGTTCGTGATTGGTACTGATAAGAGTGCAATGGCATTGGAGAAGATGTCTGCATGCATCAGGCGTGAAACTGTTGCGGCCACGGGATCAATCGCCTATGCCATGCTATTCCCCCTTCTTTAGGTTTTCTGTCTGCTATCCAATAACCCTATGGTATCACCGGGGTCAAGTTAACGTGCCACCATAACTCCTCTGTTGATTTTGAGGGCATTGGTCACTCCACGGCCAAGCTGATTATAGCCCATACTGAAACAAAAAGCCCCCATGCCTCTGAAATGGTGAAATATGCCTATAATTCCCTCTCACTTCTTCCATTCTGACATGATTTAAGCATGTAAGAATTAGTTGATGTGCCTTGAAACCATCAATACTCCACCTTGTCGATCCGGCTCTTACTACCTAGTGTATTGGTTTTGAAACGACGTTGATGACGGGCTGGCACGATGGTCTACAAAGGCCCAGCTTGCGTGCCTAGATACCCAGTCCGCAGGTCTTCCCATTCTCACAACCTCTCACCTAGGGCACTTGGGGATCTAAGGCCTATACCGAGAGTCAGGCTGATAGTTACTTAAGTGGCGATTGATGAGATATTAACGGTTCCAAGTACCCTACCATTCCTACTATACTTCGCCACCCCCAACATATGGGCCCCCATCTTCGACTTCCTGAGAAATTTGTCTCAAATACTACAGCAACAAGATGTTTATGCTACCTAATGTACACATGAGCTAATGTAACATAATATGCACGATCTACGTAGGTTCTGAGCCCTTGGAAATCCACAGCCTGTAGCTTGGGGGCCATAAAGGAGGGTCAACGGGCGGTTAGTATCTGTAGGCCGCCGACCTTGTGCCTTTCCATGAGTTTTTCGGCTTGGGCGGAAATCTGGAATCTGGCGAGATGAATGAGAAAGAGTCATGTACACTTCGCGATGTTGAAACGGGTCAGAGAAGCTCAGTGTTCAAGCTTGGCATGCTTGGACTTCAAGGCGGTATGATTACTACTCAAAATGCGCTCAGGGGGCACATCAGTCTGAATTGTTTCAAACGGGCCTGTCTTAGAGTCTCTGAGAGATATGTGTACACTTCGCCATGATCTTAAACTACAAAGGGGCTGTCTGGCCAAAACCTCGTAAGTTTCCATAACTACTATCTTATTCTACGTGTCATGTCTAGCGCTAAGTGAATGCCACTCACTTCTCATACCTCCTTGCTACTCAACTATCCACGCAAACAACTTTCATCTAGCACCCTTGCCTCTAATAGTTATTTCACTAGAAAACAATGCTCAACCGATTTCAGATACAGAAATGGCCTCGCTGTCCCAGGTTCAGGCGATGGGTCTCAAACTATGGCGAACTCTGGACCAACACCTGGCTATGGGAAACAGCATCGATTACCTTCAGTGGCATCTGTATTATCTTAATCTTCTCCATACTTCTTAGATATGACCAGAAGCCGGTGCCCCAATTTACTTATGGGATCACTCTAAATGCCATCATATCTACTCTAACGACGTTCTCGAAATCCTTCCTTCTTGTTGCCGTGACGGGAGCTATCAGCCAGCTGAAGTGGCGTTGGTTCCAAAGCACAAAGGGGAGGCGTATCATTGATACGCAATTGTTCGATGATGCAAGCCGTGGTCCCTGGGGCTCTCTGGTATTTCTTGCTACTCCATCTAGGTGGTCATTGGCTTCCGCTGGGCCCGTGGTCTCTATCCTCGCGTTGGCGTTCGAACCAATTACGCAGCAGCTGACCACTTATATCGCACGACAAGTGGTAATCCCAACTTCCAAAACCGATATACCGATTGTGTACCGAGCGAAATCGTATATATAAGATGATAATCTGGAGGATGCAGTTAACAAACTCCAGGGCCGCTTGGCAGGCGCGGTATGGGACAGCTCAAGCGAGGCCGAAAGCTTCGTAACCGAACAGTGCTTAACAGGAAATTGCTCCTGGGACCATTTTGAAAGTTTGGCATTTTGTGCACCTTGTCAGGAAAGGGCAGATGACATAAAACTGTCAGATTCAACTCTATCTTGGAATAGTTCTGTTGCCCAACTGGTAATAGAGAACGGGGCTGCGGGCGGTTCCAGTGGGTATAGCCTACATAAAAATATTTCATTGCATCTACCCTTGGATCTTGCGTTGGGAAACGCCAAGTACGAATTGAGTGTTGAAACGGAGTTTTTCCTGGACAGAATCAAACCAGAGCTTTGCGTTGCTCCCAGGCGTATTTCTTATCCAGGCCACTTCTTCACTGTGCACCGTACTGGTTACATGAAATTTGAAGAAATGGCTGAGGTTGCTTGGCTAAATGACGGCGCTCTGGCCAATTTATCGGGTTTTACAAGATGGCAGTCTTACAAATTACCTATTCTAAGATTTCACCACATCCAATTCGAAATTAAGAACCAGCACGAACAAGCGAGAATTTCGGTGAAAAACGCGAACTCCTGTGATTTAACACCTTGCATCAAGAATTATTCTTTGTCGATTTCGAACGGTGTTCCAACGATGGACGTGGTTAGTGAGCGATATGGATCCTGGTATTATAATATAACGAGCCAGAAAAGGGATCCATATGATCCATATTATGTAAACACCGAAATATGGTGGACCGACATACCAGGAAGAAACGGAATGATCCTGAATGCAAGCGATATAGATCCATATACAGACAGCTCCCCGGGAGACTTCGCCCTCAGTCTCGAATGGAACACGAATCCATTCTATAAAGCCTATGATCTCGGCCTATACACCGGCGAACTTACAACGTACGAGACCCTCGCAGCGGACGGACAAAATTGCATATCAAATATCACAGGTATACATTTTCACAAGAACTACCCACCAGATTCCGGGCCTTTCTATTATGCTGGCGAAGACGTGTTTCTGACGCGAATAAAGGAAATGGGAGGGTTGACATTGGCTTTTCCACGAATAGCCGCTGCAGCAAGCAGATATCTTCGTGACGAAGGCGCAGATGCGGTAGAGGGAGAAGCTTATAGGTCTATTATCGTAGTGGAGGTGCGGTGGCCATGGCTGGTCTTACCTGTAACCACCTGGCTATGCGCGGTCGTGTTTTTGGCACTCACGATGTGGTTGTGCCGCGGAAGCGATAAAGTGTTATGGAAAACATCAAGCTTGCCTTTGATCTATCATGGGTTCGAAGATCAAGATGTGGCGACTGCCAAATCAACGGACGGCGGGATTGAGCGTGTTAGCGGAATGGAGAAGGTTTCACAGAGTCTTTACGCTAGGATACGGAGGGACTCGAATGACGGGCAGCTGAAGCTGATGAGGACGCTCCCATCCACATGACTTTAATGGCACGTGTCTAATGATTATAATACGCTGGGTGTTTAGGATACATATCGAGTGGAGTTATTATCACATTACCAGAGTAAAAATTAAAGGTGATTGATTTTACGTGATATATTGCAGTCACCGAACAATTTCACACGCTCTTGGACATGTGCAGCCTGCAGACTATTGTGAAATACCTAGACAGCTAATCTCAATTTTATTAAATTTGAGGTTGTCCAACACTCTTTAGTTAAGACGCCTTGGCGAACCCGGAGCCTAGTGAAACCGATCCCATCATATATAAAGTCAAGATCAGCCCGGCCAGGATGAGGAGTTCCAAATGGACCACATGGGACTTGGCAGTCATAGCAGCTTAGATATTGCGAATAGCTTCAATACTGAACCCTATCACCAGCGTTTGTTAAAACAAGCCGCAAGCACGATTAACGTTGCAAATTCTAAAACATGTTAACCAAACGGTAGGGGAGGAAGGAATGTCTACTTTATATGGCAGAAGGTCCAATATAGCTACTCATACGGCCTATGTGACCATATTGCCTGGTAAACCGTAGCAATAACCTTGTGAAAGGGCGAAAGCACATACAAAAGAAGGGAAGCCGCCTGATCAAGTCGTAATTAGCCTCTTCTCGCTATGCTTTATTGTACAATCTTCGGTCCTCACTCTCCTATATATATCATTTCATGTAACGGCTCAAGTGCCCAACCAATTGCTATGCAATGCTATGCCCCCCTCCCAATGCAAGAATAACTTCGGTTTAACATACGTTCTTAGATGGAAACATGGGGGCTTATGCCACCTGAACATAGCTCGCCGGCACGCTCCTCGTCGAGCCACCCTTTTCAACTTCTACCCAACCATCTCCTGGGTCATCTTTAATGAGTACAAAACGCTCTCCTTCTGTCATAGTGTGTTCAGTTTCGCTTTGCGCCGCATAGTCATAGAGAGCTACTACGTATTTGAGCTTCTTCGCCCCACGACGAGGTGCAACAGCCGGCCCCTTTTTCTTGACGGCTGGTGCTGATGTGCCGATAGACGACCCCGAATTTGAGTATGTTGATCCAGGACGCGTCTGGGATGATCCTGTATCTTGGGGCACGATGGGGGCTGCGTATATTTCTAGATACGCTCCGGGTACGACCCCTTCCTTATACCCGGCGCGCACTTTGACCCATCCAGATCCATCTAGAGGATGAAGTTAGTGAATAATGCGCATTATAAGAAGACTACTGATAACATACCGTCTGGTTCCAATATCGTCACTTCCTGGCCTTCCGTCGCACTTATCTCACCTTCGCCACCTGCCTCAAAGGCATAAAGCATCTTCCCTTTCTGTTCGTTCGACTTGGCCGTAGCAGAACCGTTAACGGAGCTTCCGGGGAGCTCGCTGATGTAAGTAGTAGGAGGTGGCGCCATCATTCGAGGCTTCCGAGCGGCAGGTCGTGAGCCTGGAAGCTCAGGAGTGGCCTCTTCAGAGGGGCGCGAATTCGTCGTCATCTGACCACTAATTGACCGATGAGCACTAGCTGCATACCCGGAACTCAGAGAATTCATGGTGTTGGATCGAGTGAGATCAGGTAATTCCGCAACATGATCTGAGGATCCTACAGCGGGTTGAACTAGGGCGCCTGCAGCTACTTGGCGATCTGCCTTGGTCTTCTTGCGCTCCTCCTTTGACAGTTCTCCGGGGCATTCTGGTGGCACTTTCATCTCGCACTTACTGTGGCACGTATACCCACAGTCTCTGCAGTCAAATCCTTTGGCTGACAAGCCCCATATCCGCTCTCCACATAAATCGCAGTTGGTCGGGATTTTGAATGTTTGAGATTTGAAGTTGTGGTTTTTGGCTCCCAATGTTACATCACCAACTGCAGACATTATAGTAGACGTTTCGACTTCGGCGGTCAAGCGTCTACGGTCGACCTGGTGTAAATCTTCTTGCAAAGCAAAGAGATGCGTAACAACCAAAACCTCGTCTTTCTTTTCAGTCCCATCACGGACTTTCTGCTTTAGACGCTTGGCTGATTCGACCTCCCTCCGCTTTTTGTCAACTTCCCTCTTCAGGTCTCCTAGTTGACCCTTCGATTTATTTAATACATTCCGCAAGAACACCTTGGCGGGTTCATCCGTGACCATAGCGTCATCGTCGTGCCATACTGGGCTTGGCTCGAATACCTTGTCAGACGGCTCTTGAAAAGCGCCCATATTGTGACGGATATACATCATAGAGTCAAGATGAGGCTGATTGCGAGCAATTTCTTGTGTTAAATGGTCTAGGAGGCTATTGCTCTGTGTCAGCATTGTTGACTCTAGACTAGCTGCCATGGTCCATATAGCGTTGAGTTTGAGAGTCCGGAACTCTGACAAGTCTTGTAGACTATCCATAACCTCAGGCATGAACTCATGGTAGTATTTTTCCTTCTGCTTATTGGTCACATTGATAGCTATCAGATATGTATTTTTCATATTGTTCATCTCTTGTAGTTGTTGTTGATAATTGCTCTGCGCTTTGGCTTTGTCGAAGGAGCTTTCTGATTTCTTGCGTTTGCTCTCGACCTCTTGACAGACGGTGTCATATTTGGTCTTGACCTTCCGGAGGTCGACGTAAGATGCATCCCTTTCTGCCTCAAGCTTGGCGGCGTAGTCGGCATGGCGTTTGCGCAGCTCTTCAAACTTGGTAGCGTAGTGCTTCAAAGGGTCGGCAACCTTGTGTATCAACTCGTTCCCATAGCGCTCGTGCTCGTCGGCCCGTGCTTCGAGTGTGGCCAAGTGGGTATTCCATATAGTGAGGGAGGCGCTTTCCAGAGAGCCTGGTGTCATTGTAGGGGTGTCACCAACGCTCAAGCTAGTGGACTTTTTCGTTTTTTTCTCGAAATATTTCTTGGCCAATGCATTCAGCCTCGCGCTGTGTTCCTTCTCCAGAGCACTCCGTTCTCGGTAGAAGTTCTGGATGTCATCGAGCCAGGCAATGCCGTTGGCGACCCAAGCATTGGCAGGCTTGAAGCCATCCTAAAACAAGAAAAAGAGACGGGTTAGAGTCGTGTTACCATCGAAAACGAATTATCACATGCCAACATAGGGGGTAGCGGGTGAGAATGGTGCGTGGGCAAAATTGGCGATGGTTGACTGCATTCGATGCGCGACTCACCTTCAGCTCAGCACCAAGCGTCGGTGCCACATCCACCTCAGCCATTCCGATCTCGAAAGGGGGGTTGGCGAGGCAATACTCAGCACGCAAGACAGTGCAAACTACCTGGATATGCGGTGTAGACGATCAAATATGTGCGCAGGGCTGGCCACGATTGCCTCAACCCGCAAGGCCATAGTAAATAGGGTAAGCAATGATGTCTACTCGGAAGCCGGGTAGTCTAGGCGATGGGCAACATGGCGACGACACAGTGACACAGCCCACCTGGCTTTCGTAACCACCGCCTGGGCAGGTTCAGTCAGTGCCAACCTGTATGTAGGTAGTAGGTACCTAAGGTAGTAGGTAACGAGTACGGGCAGATACGGGGTATCTTAGAGCGAGGGGACAGGTAGGTACTTTAGCTTGCAATGAATCAATCGAGCCCCTGCTGTGCTCGCTGTTCGAAGCCTGTACAGGTAGTGTAAATAAGACCTTGCTCCACACTACGATAGTTATTTAGGTAAGACAGGAGGAGAGCTCTTGTACTATCAATTGTTATTTTATTACACTTGACTTTTGAGATAGACTTACCTACATGCATAAGTATGATACTCTGCCAGGTACATAGTAGAGAGAGTGTAAGACTGCGGCTCTGGTTTATGCTTTGCTGGGCTGGGTCTTCAGCCGCGAGCACTCTAGTAGGTACATGAAGGTACATCCATGTACATGCCACTAACTGCACTACCGGCACTGTAAGTAAGGCCAGGTCTCGCCAGGTGCAGCTGCCCCTCCAGGTGTGTGTACTCACAACTACCTATATACAGTACATAGGTAGGTGGTACTGAGGTACTGAGGTACTTGAGCGTGCTGTGCCTGCCTCTTTGCGTGTGTGCCCCTCTATTCTCCAAGCTTGGCTGCCCTCAAAGGCTGCTGTCATCGAGCCAGAACCCCACCAAAATATTCCAGTGCTCTGGGGATTCCGAGACACCTCGGAGCTGTTTCTTTGATCATACCAAGCCGTCACTCTCAAGGTGCGTATTTCGTGCTTGATATACCTGCCTCTCACGGCACACCGACGTGTTCACTTTACGGTACTCTCTAATGATACATCCCACTACGTAGGTATCTGTGTACAGGACCGCTGACCGCAAATACTCTAGGCCAGCCAGCCAGCCTTCCTTTAACCACAGCTACCCGCTGCTGCTAGTTAACAACGAAATCACTTCTCGAATCAGCCACAACTTAGTTTGTTTCGGGCGCTCTATTCAGCAACATCTTCCTGAATTTGACGAGTACTGTCATGGCCGACCAAGCTGCCCAGCCTCCAGCTGGTACCGGCGCCGAGGCTAATGGCGCAGCTCCTGCCTCCAATCTTCAGGAGAACAGCTATGATGTCGAAGTTCAGCTGAGCGATCTCCAAAAAGATGAGGCGCATCCGCTGGGATCAGCTACCACGTTTGAAGAGCTTGGATTGTTAGTCCCCCATGAGCACAGCGCTGCTTCGTGCCGGCGTCGCTGACTTCCCTTTCGCAGGCCAAACGAAGTTCTCGAGGGCTTGAACGCTTTGAAATTTCTGAAGCCCTCCAAGGTTCAAGAGAAAGCACTTCCTCTTATGCTTGCAGATCCACCCCAGAATATGATTGCCCAATCTCAATCAGGCACTGGAAAGACAGCAGCGTTCGTTACTACCGTTCTCTCTCGAGTCGATTTCAGTCAGCCTACCAAGCCACAGGCCTTGCTCCTTGCGCCTAGCCGTGAACTAGCCCGCCAGATCCAAGGCGTTGTCGCCACCATTGGCCAGTTCATCCCGAACCTAGGAGTGGCAGCTGCTATTCCCGGCGCTATTCCTCGCGGCGGATCCGTTGATAAGGCTATTGTAGTTGGTACCCCAGGCACTGTCATGGACTTAATTCGGCGACATCAGTTTGATGTTGGTGGTTTGAAGTTACTTGTTATTGACGAGGCCGACAACATGCTGGAGCAGGGAGGTCTTGGCGACCAATGCTCCAGAGTTAAGAGGTTAGTCTTCGGAACGTTGCATACATATGACTGCATCATGTACTAAGTCGCTATGCCAGCTTACTTCCATCCACTATACAGATCCTACTGTTTTCTGCGACTTTCCCCGAAAAGGTCTTGAAATATGCCACAACTTTTGCTCCTAGTGCGAACATAATCAAGTTGAAGGTTCAAGAACTTACAGTAAAGGGAATTTCTCAGATGTACATGGATTGTCCTGGAGAGGCGGATAAATACGAAATTCTCTGCAAACTGTATGGCTTGATGAACATTGGCTCATCGATCATTTTCGTCAAGGTATGGGTGCATAATGTGATGGCTTGGCGCTTGCTAACACTTCCAGACTCGTGAAAGCGCGTCGCGGATCCAGCAGAGCATGGTTCGAGACGGTCACAAGGTCTCGGTCTTGCACGGAGCGTACGAAGGTAGTGAACGAGACGCCCTGCTTGACGAATTCCGAACTGGCAAGTCCAAGGTTCTTATAACCACCAACGTGCTAGCTCGTGGTATAGATGTCTCTACAGTCTCTATGGTCATCAACTACGACATACCCATGAAAGGAATGGGTGATGCCATGCACGACACGGAGACGTATCTTCACCGTATTGGACGAACTGGTCGCTTTGGCCGTGTCGGTGTCAGTATTACCTTTATCTCGGACAAGAAGAGCTTCAATGCCCTGCAGGCGATTGCGGGTGATCTTCAGATCGACTTGGTTGCCCTGAGCCCCGATGACTGGGATGAGACCGAGAAACAGGTCCAGAGAGTTATTAAATCAAGCCGAGCCCAGGCGAATTTTGTACCGAGCGCTGTAGGTGGAGGACAGTAAGAGTCTATCTAGGAATTATGGGCCGAAAAAAATGATATTCGCTGTCATTGCCACTGCGTTTGCCTCTGAAATGCGAAGGGATGGTATGAAGTAATGACTAATGGACAGATACGTTTTGTTTTTGCACGGAGCGGGAAAAGACGCGGCTCGGCACAGGAGTGACCAAATTCAGTGATTCTGCAAGAGCAGAACTAGATTCATAGTGTAACGTGTACGACAGAGACAATTATACCAAAATGGATGTGCAAAGCTGCAATGACAAGGAAGAAAATCCTCGACTTTAGATGGGCAAAAAAAGAAAGATGAAGATAAGTTTGGGGTGATAATCTACAAATATGAACCTTGGAATGCTTCACTGATTGGTAACGCGACCTTTCCAAGATGCCGGTGCTGTTCCTTTTCTTTTCTTCTGTTTCAATCCGTGGTAAGGCCTTCTGAATAAGTGTTTCCTATCACTGGTTCTCGAGCAGACAACAATATGAATACTCTTCATCTGTCATAACTTAGGATTCTCTTAGTCAAGAATACAGGCGGAATACTGCCGAGCCGCATGGCCTCGCATCGTACCATTTGACAATAATTATTCCGGGCAATTCCAAATAGCGCGCGCAGTGCTAAGTAAAGATGACAGAGAGGAAACTGGCAAGACAAACGCAGGCACCTCGCCTCAGCGCAGGACCGTTATATGTATGTCAAGGTTGTGCGTGCTGACTTGGTCGGAAAATGTCAGATGTGGTGGCCGAGCAGATGCGACGTTGGGATAACGGTTGTAACTTTGGGGCGGAATTTGAAAGCATAGCCCTCCTGCCCAGTCGGATTGCATCACGCTAAAAGACGGGGAGGATAGATCCGCAGGTGAGGCCTATCTAGTATGCAGGAAATTTTTAAGCATACCTATTCACTACTCACTACTCAAATTGGTACGATGAGCTGGCCTATCGTGGGGGCTGCGAGTGGGTGAGAATGATGTAAGAGAGATGCACCAGTAGCCTGTCGATGTCGGCGGTCTCCACGTTTGGCACATTTTGGCGCCGAACCAGAAACCAGCGACACGCTCTCTGGCAGGGGACGACGTGACATTTTTCGTCTCCCTCTCCTGCTTCTGTCCTGCTCGTCCCTGGGCCCCAGTTCTCGTTCTGACGGTGGGGTGGATGCAGATCTACGCAGACACAGGCGAGAACCGGCCAGGGTCAGTCGTTTAGGCGCGCGCAAAAACCAACAACACACAGCCTACCGTTTGCCATATATATGGGCCCCTGCAGCAGCCTCTATTATTCACCGTTGCATTTCTACCGCTCCAGCTTCACGCCATCTGGGAACCCTCTTCCACATCTCCGCACATAGCAGCCCGCCGACCGGGACCGAAATAAACATCCGCCCAATAGACATCTCGTACATAGCCCTGAGCGACCTCTTTTGGGACATCTCACCAAACTTGGCCTATTCGCGCTCCCGCAAATGCTACCCGCGATGCCCGCATCCCATGCAGGCACTGGTGCTTGGCGGCGAGCCACAGGCACTAGATTGTATCATCGTAGTTGTTCGCACGCTCGCCATTGACCAATCTAGATCATCGTGATGGGGGCAGATGCTCTCGCTGCAGTCCGAGTGTTTCTTGTAGGCGCTGTGCCTGGGTCAAGGCCGTGATGGACTCTTACCAGTCTCCTAAATGCAATGTTCTGCCTCGCTCTGCAAACATCTCTTCTGACTCGCACTTCTGCGTTTCCTTCCCATGTTTCTTGTTGTTTCCTAGCCTAGCTTTTATTCTCATATCATTTTATTCTATTTTATTTTATGTTTCTTCTTAGTCTAATTCTTGTGTGCAATTTTCTTCTAAGCCTCTGTATTCTTACCGGATAATTTAAGCATCTTGAATCGGGCTGTGCTGCGTCGTGGTTGAGATGCTGGCCATCTCTATACAAGGGGTTCGAAACAATCATAGGTTAGTCATGCGCGCCCATCTTTTACAAGCCATATATCCGGAGATGCTTCAAGGACTGAAGCCTGAAACATTTGAGCTTTCCTTCTTACATCCTGTGCCGTTCTTTGTGTCTTTCATGACTACATCGATACTCAGAATCGTCCATACGATGATGAAGCAATCCGCCCCCACTGAGGAATAATTTTATGGCAATTGGCTTGGTCGTTGGGGATCGCCTCGTGCTGACCTCATCTGAAGATATTCCCCTATAGAATGGCTCGCAAGCCTGCACTCCTCGAGCTTCTTATATGGACACTCTCAATACCGATAGCATCTTGTCATTCTCGCCGGTTAGGCGGTGATATTGCCTCACTCGTACCTACGTGTGCTCAGCCCTGCTTGGAGTCATTCATACGATCCAATTATCCGACAGTAGATTGTGGAACCAACTTTACATTACCATGCCTATGTCCAGCCCAGTCCCTCACGGGCTTCACGGTTGGAGAGGCTGCGTTGCAATGCCTGTTGGGGTATGTTCAAATTGGTCGTTGCGATGAGAAGGATGCCGAGGGTGAGATCCAAAGACTTGATTGATGTTGGATATGGAGGTGTCAACTAACATACTCAGGTCCTGCCCCAGCGAGGGTCTTAAATATATGCAGCGGACAGGAAAATGCATTGCCAAATACACATCCTACACTTACAGCGACCTTGATCGTACCGCCATCAGGGGTTCCCATTTTATTACCGCCAACTTCTACACCAACCACGCTGCCAACCTCGTCGACAACCTCGTCGACTGTAAGATCAACACAGACAACTTTCAAGACGACTACCCGTACCACAGCGTCCCTCACCACCAGCACTCCTTCTTCAATTTCTTCCTCTTCAATATTTTCCTCTTCAATTTCTTCCTCTGTGACTACAACCATGGTGATGAGCTCATTGTTGACGTCGACCTCGTTTTCGAGCCCAACCTTGGCTCCGACTTCAAGTCCAACTGCCGAGCCATCGTCGGGGGCACGGCTTGCGCCAGGCCAGATAGTTGGTATTTCCGTAGGTGTAGCTGGTGCTATAGCCATAGCAGCAGGCTCTATCTTCTTAGCGAGATGCTTGCGTCGAAGAAAATACCCCGATTCGGAATCTGAAAAGCCACTTTATCAAAATGACAATACCACCGATGGCCCTGATCTTTTGGGATCAAGAGGCTCTCGTATCTTCCACGTATCCCCTCCTATTTTGCGAACGTCTAAATATCGCCCAGATTTCTTTTCTCGCCCGACACCTGTAATGCCACAGACAGACCAGCCGGAGCCACCTACCCAGTCTGCAAATATCGATCGGAATACTATTGGCTTGGCTATTTCGCGCCCCCGTAGCTTCATACCGCCAAAGCCATCTCCAAACCTGTTCTCTTCTATCACATCGTCACCACCTACTGCTGAGGTTCCATTACAAAGAAAGCCCTCAAAACTATTGCCCCCAAGGCCGGCTCTAACGCTTGATATTCCATCGACGACGGTTCCCACTGGTGCCCCGTCTTCACAGGCACTACCCACAACAGACAGAACGAGCACCGTTACGAATCTGACCGGGTTTGCCGATCTCGATTCTGAGGCCGCTGAAGGCGGACAAACCTGGCGGCCGCCACCTACAGACCCCCAGTCGGCCACAACGTTATATGTTGCTGATAAATATGGCAACTGGGTTCTTAGCAACAATAATCGCCGGTCTCAGATTGCCCAAATCGTTGAAGCAGCTGAGTTGGATACGTATACGCCGATGACCAAGTCACCGGTGGAAAAAAGGGAAGAAGCTGCTCGAATGACCGATGCCATATCTGCAGCTGCTGCTATACCAAAAGCACCACAACCAGCCTTTTTATCCCGAGACCCAACAAATTGGACATATTCTCAATCTTCAAGTGCGTATTCACAAGCTAGTGCAGTCCGGCAGATAGGAAGGAGAAACTCGAGTAGGAATAGCACCTCAAGAGCTCAAAAGAACGGCGGTGGGCCTCTAATCAATCGCTCTGATTCTAAAGCTTCGGCCACCACAATACAGACTTCTTCGACAGGAGGAAATGAGGATGGGCCCGCTTACGAAAATGACATTGCTCGACTATCGCAACTGTCACCCGTTGCAGAGTCGCCAAATATAGCAAGCAGACGTTCTCGGGTAAACTACCCGAAATTTTCGGGACGTCTAGATGGAGCAACGATCCGATACGTCCCACCGCCTAAGAAGCCAAACTTCACTGGATCGCTGTCCGACCAAGCAAGCCCAACACTCGGAGTCGTGTATCCTGTTGAGGGTTCGCCTTCAGCAATCCCTCTCCCTCTAAACCCCAGACGCAAAGAGAGGCGATTCGTACCAATGCAGAGGGATGGGTCGGGGTTTACGCCGGAACCACCTAATGTTGAAGTGTTCCCTATCCAGAACTTCGCTCGTCCAAACGAGATTTCAAATTCAGGACCATACCTAAGGGCCGATTATGCAGCTGGCCAGCCCACAGAACCATACAGCTACGGGGATGATTATCAGCAACGGAACCCATTTCTAACACCACCGCAACCACCATATCCCACATTCACACCCTCACCGCCCTCCCCGTCACCCCCCGAGCCCGCTGAGAAGAGAGCAGTAAGCCCACAGCAATCCAGCATAATGAACCGAGGGCGACCACATATTACATCTCAACGAGCAGAATCCGGGACAAGCTTTGGAACCGTCAGCTCGAACGCAAGTTCGCTTCTCGCAAAACGGCTCGGTACCGACAGGGCTGCAGCTCTTGTGATTGATCCATATAGCAGGAAAGCACAGCAGTGGAGACAGCAGGGTGGTGGGATCAACAACGGAGATTTTTTAAGTCCGGATGCCTACTCTCTAGCATCACCGAAGGGGACGCTTCCCCAAACACCAATATGGCAACCAAAACTGACGCCAACACGACGAGGCGACGATCTTTTCTTAAATGTACAATGAGGAACCTATCCATCTTACGCAGCTAGACGGTCACACTTGAAACCGGCCAGAACTACGACCGGCACCAGATTTCATTTCTATTAACTTGGTCTAACACTATATACCCGTCATTTCTTATGCAGTCGATAATGATTCATATTGGTAATATGTCACGAGTGCGTTGAAGCCTCCAGACCTGAACGACATTTCCCTTTCTTTTCAACATGTCATCGTGGATAAATCTTACTTCCACTGTATTATACCCTACCATGCTACACCCTTGATGACACAAGGATAGCGATCAATTATGCATAAGGCTGGCGTTGGGCAGGTTGACATTTTCAGACTGGCGCGCAAGAAAATTAAAGGGGTTGGGGGGTGAATTCTCACACGTGGGCTCATTAGAAACGAAGCATCGCATAACTGATACTAATGATGCAAAATATAAATCTAATGAAAACAAGACAGACAATTTATAGTTGATTTTAACCATTATTATTCGGCGAGTGTGTGATAGCATAGCAATGAGATAAAGACATTTAAAGCGTGCGAGTGATATAGGGACGAAGACTTGCCCTGGAGTACTTAGGTAGATGAGCAGCGTAGTCAGCGCAGAAAAGTGGGTCGAATCGCGAAGTGGGATAAATGTTCTCCAACTTTTTTTTTTCTTGTCAGTAGTTGATAGCTTCAGCTCCCAGTATCATATTCCTTAACCTCAAACCCAACTTTGCCGGCGGCCTAGTTCAACACTCACCTGAATACATAACAACGGCCCTGTATCGCAGGAACCACAAGCCAAAGCGATACACGGGAAACCCACTCTCTTCATCACAAGAAAACCTGTAACTACATCCGGGCCCAAGCGAACACATATTGAATCTCTCCCTCTCTCTCGGGCTACACACATCAACCACCCTCCTCTTCCTTCAAATTACGAAAAATGGCCCAAGGCGCGCCCAAGAAAATAAGTAAACCGACCCTATCCGCCCGCGCCAACAAGCCACAACCGCCGAAAAAGGGCGCGCGCGTGATCAAGGCGAAAAAGGGGAAAGGATCCAGCGCCGCCGATAAATTGCAGCGCAAGCTCGCGGCCGGCATCACGAATAAAACGGAGCGATTGCTGGGTGATCGCGCTGGCCATCTGGAGCTGATCGGGCCCGGAAAGAAAGCGCGGGGCGAGAAAGATGCCGCTGTGAAGAAGGGGGGTAGCAGGAAGTTTGGATGAGGCGTGGACTGGATTGACTGATGGATTATTTGGACTCGGTGTTTGATGCATTGCGCGGCGTATGAGGGAGTTTGGTCTTTACCTTCGTTACGGCGATTGATGCCTGGGCGGGAAATGTTTCTCGGCGCTGGGAGGCATTAGTACGTCGCTCACAGGTCACATTTGCTGGGAGGGATGATGATTACTTTTCAAGACTGTCGTGGAAAGCGGCAATGCCCAGTTCCTAGACGGCTGAAAATATCGCCGTGCGCTGCTGTATTAGTCCTCGCGCTTCGCCTAGCACATGGGCAAGGCCGCGAGATGAGGAAATTCCCGAGCCTAGGATCGCACCTGCAGCACCTGTCAGACTAGCTGAGTCTTTGATGCCTTGCTTTGGGTATCCGGCCTTGAATTTTCTCTCTAGCTACTGATACCAGCTTGCAAATCTTTGCAGACCAGTATTCTTGATACCCACCTACTGAATGGTGGTATACTATGACATATAGTTGAAATGCCGCTGGAAATATAGTCGGGCATAGCTACAAATTTACGCCAATTCATGATGGATGCTCTCACAGCATATTGCGAAGTTCCACCGTAGGCATTTCCTAAGCTTACGAGGCAGTATTTGCACCTCCAACACTTAAGGCATGCAAGAGCGAAGTCTTTTCGTTTGGCCAAATTCACATTGCTAATAGGCGATCCAAATTGCCCCAATTCACAGATAACTGCTTCCCTTATTGAATCTATAAATGAGTAATGATTTGGGTATCATGGAATTCTAATGCTCCCCACAATACGCCAGGACCTATGCTAAAACTCTATATGCAGTATTTTGAATATACAATATATGGTCTTTCTACATCTTTATGCTGCTGCTCCCTCCTATATAGTACTGACGGCTCCGATAGGTTGGTTGGAGTTGATTTTGGGTGAAAGGCGCAGTTCTCTACGCTTTTTCCGCCATTTGGAGCGAGACTCAATCGCTTGAATATCCAGCCTCTCATATCTCTCAGATAGTGATTTGAGGGTCTTCGGCACGGTCAACTTTGGGTACCGAATAGCAATGGGGCCGTTTGACAAGCCCTTCGACATGCCAGATTCGGCTGCAAATTCTGGCAGTGGAGCTTTTTTGCTCAGAGAACTCGACAATGAACTTCGCAGTTGCTCTAATTGGGCAATGGCTCGGTCTTTCAAATGCCGGGGAAGCATATTGAAGGCCTTGATTGTTTTCTCGTCGGGCTGAAAGCCGGCCTTTTCGAGAGACCATATCGCTTTTACAACACCGCCTGCATTACCTGTTTTAGCCATGGCCTGTATCAGAGCATTCCAGGTTGACAGGTTTGGCTTCACGCCACCAACGTTGGCCATCATATCGATAACAGCGACGACACCGTACGTGTCGTCGTGGTTCTTGAGCCCATTGAGAAGTATAGTCCAGGTATGAAGGGATGGAGGATGATGATGTAAGTTAACGCCATACCGCCCCTTCTCACTATTTGCAGCCTTTATGCTTTTCTCCACCTCATTTATCGCGAATCGTATAGTCTCCTTAAACTGTAACAGAGCGCGCAAAAATATATCGAACATTAGTGTGCCATGATTTGCTAGGAGACCCAGCGCCGATGGGTCTTTCCGTTTCACCATATTGTCGAAAGTGTTATAATACCGAATGACGTACTTTGAAGTGTTAAGGGATCGGATATGGGCACCTATCATTAGAGATAACGTAGTGGTGTCTGGCTGCATAAGCCTACTATCTGGTAAAGGCATCAAAGATCCAGCTAGTCTGATAGATGCAGTTGCATATTTCGACTGCACGCGTCTCACTCCGATCATGTTATCTAGCGGGAATAACGTAAATTTCTGTAAAGGATCAAGGTCGAAAAATTTGGCGTAGAGCTGAAGCATGGGATGCCATGCATCATTCGATTTCCTCTGTCTTCGTCTTTGCTCAATTTGCGACTCGTTCTCTCGAAAGAGAAGCCCTAAAAAATCATTGAGAAGGATAGGGGACCAATCATTACGCGCTGTAATGATATTGAATATACTCTCAAAGGAGGCACTGTCAAGACTTTGTTTTGACCCGTTGAGGAGTATGGAGTAAACGTGCTGGTCAGGTTCTAGCCCGTGTTGAAGCATGAGATCAAAGATCTTCCATGCGGTATCAAGGTGACCACGAATGCAGAAATTGCGCATCAACGCCGAAAGCCCGAGTAAATTTGGACGCAGGCCGTTTTGGATAACGAATTCGAAAAGAAGATCAGGCGCAGCTTTCTCGTCTGGGAATGGCTCGTTTTCGTTCAAGGTCAGCAGGGAGGTACATACACTCGCTGCGGCAGGGCTGTTGAGATCAAACTCCGGGATTTCTGTTAACACAGCGAGAATATCTAAAGAATCCAACTTTGTATCAAAACTTTTGGCAAAGCGGCTTGCTAGGTGCAGCAAGGTATTTGCGTGTAATGGGTGCTCGATATTCTTAAGCAATTCAAAAAACGGGATGAGTTCGGATGTCGACATAGTCGAAAGGACCGAATGTAACACAGTCTGTTCCAGGGCTAGATATCTTGGTGGGCATTTGTTGAGCACATAAGTTGCTACCGCCTTAATCTCTTGCTGTACCACACTATAATCTCTGCTCTTTGGGGGAGTAAGTTTTCGCTGGCGCTCAAGAAGGTAAAGCACATCCTCTACAATATAGCTAGGACACCAGGAGGGATCGAAGGTGGATTCGACGAGGGTCGATAATAGGTATGGATCCGAATGCGCCACAGCAAGAACGATTTGTGGCCAGTGCCGCTCTCGTCTATCTCCTTCCAGTCTTCGCCACGCGGTCATCACCGCTGCCGATTCACCGGTACGAGACACTGCCTCTACTTGAGAGTTACTGTTGGTATTCTCGAGCGCACTTAGGATGGTAGCGAAGTCTTGCTTCCAAGCAAGATACTGATCCAGTCGTTGCGCTGCGCTCTGGAGACCCAGGTTACCCCATAGCAATCGTTCCAACTGGCCCACCGCATGGCGTGCTTCTTGATGTGATAGATTATACAATGCAATGAGATCTTTATGGCAAAAGAGGTACTCGCCCTTTGCGCTTAGGATCCGGACCTTGAGCTCGCGCGCATTACCAGCTACTGGTAGGCTAGCTAGCTGTTGCGCGGCTGGTGCCCGCCTTGGTACAAATTTGTTGATTTCACCGTTCCAGTAGGCGGCGCTCTCAACTAGCTCGTTATCTCGTCTCCGTGATAAAGTTGGGGAGCTGACGGAGGGAGCAGAATCATCCTCGCTAGCCCCCTTATAGGTTTCATTCGAGCCTTGAGGCTCTGATAACTCAGGTTTCCAACTTCGGTCACTTCGACTGCCCACAGTCAAAGCATGGGATGGTCGCTGCACTGGTATTACTTTAGTGTGCAACGAGCTAACGTTGGACTCAAGCAATCTGAATGACGATCGTGCGAGTCGCGCGGCGCAGATTCGACATGTTAAGGGAATGGGCATGGTACGGTTGTCGTTGCCGCGATTCTAGTCAGGCTCTTCATGGCCGTGAGACAGCAAGGCTCGTCTAGTTCGTAACTTCGTGGGGTTTCGTCATGTCCGTTTCATCATAATAGAGGGTTGTCCAGTTTGGCGGATCGTACTCGGAGAGTACAGCGAGGTAATGAGTAAGAATTAGCACCCGCTTACAATTTACTACTCGCGGTGAAGCTGGACTATCGGATGCTTATCGGATCTATCGATCTGCACTACTGGATTATTTTTGCAGGGAAATGTTACCTACCGCCATCGTACCTAGGTAAGTACCTACCTAGGTAGCTACAATACTAGGTAATGCAGCGAAGTAGGTAGGTACTTTCTTAGGTACTAGGTACACTGTAAGTCCAGCACAGACATCCCTAACCTGCCATACCGTACGTAGCCTATCATGACCATCAGATAAACTGATGCTACCGTACCTACGCTACTTACTTCTTACCAATTATTATTCACGTTGAAAGCCTAATATCTACCGGCGCGTACCATTCTCGCGATACTAAACTGTACTCAGAGCTCGATAACTTACCCCGGAACTCTCCGTCGTGTGTTTATCAGCATGTCGGCGTCGCACGCCACCCTTAGCCTTGCAGCCGAAGATCGTAAATCGCGGCTTGCCAAGCTCAAGAATCTGAAGCGCAAACAGCCTGCCGACGAGATCGTTGCACCTGAATCCGAGCACCCTGCATCGCCACCTGCCGAGGTAGATGTTGCGGCCCTGCACTTATCTGGCCGTAACTATGATGTCGAGACGAGAGGCCCCAAGCTGGGCTTCGAAGCACCCCCAACACTGGCCATGCAAGGTCCCACGCTCGAGGAACAGGCCGCACTCGTAGAGAAGGAAGCCCTAGAAAAAGCTGCCGAAGACGCCAAAGAGAACCAGGGAATCGACCTATTCAAGTTGCAGCCTAAGAAACCGAATTGGGATCTCAAAAGAGACTTGGATAAAAAACTTGAAGTGTTGAACGTGCGCACCGACAACGCTATCGCAAAGCTGGTTAGAGAGCGCATAGCAAATGCACAAGCTGCGGCGAAGAAGACATCTCAGCCTATTGCGAACGACGGCGACGACGGCAGCGCAGAGGCAGCGGGCATGGATGGTGTGGCGCTGGTTGAAGGATTACGAGTGCGAGAACGGGAAGAGGAAGAGGAAGAGCGAAAGGAGCGCGATGACGAAGACCTGGCGTAGATTCACAAAGTCTCATGATTTGCATTGCACGGCGTTTGGTCACTGGCATAATTCAGCACTGTTCTAGGGGGTGTATACCATTACTTGTGTTTAGGCTTAATGAGATTGGCTTGGCTCAGAGTAGGTAAATTCTATGATACCCGTTATTACCGGTCGGCGTTCATGGCTTGTGTAAGGGCCAATCGTTTGGAAAATGGGCTAAGACTCCGTTCCCGCGCATTTCGCCTTGGTGCTCCTCTCTGTTCTCGATCATGTCGGCGATGTGGGGGTGAATTGTACCGTGGAGGATTATCATCTGGTCTCCAGGGTGCAGCAGGGGATCTAGAGCGGAATCGTCTCCTGTTCTCTGGTGATGGTGATCGACTTGGACTTTGCGAGTACCTCCTACGTCGTTTATCTTCCCATCGCCGATTTACTGGTTGCTCGTCTGGATCTAAACGGCCACGCCGGGTACTGTCGTCGCGACTTGATGATCTCGTTCGCCGCCTCCTGGGGCTAGGTGACTGCGTGCCTCTAGCATGCCTTTGAGGGCTATGGGAGTTATGATCTCTGTCCGAATCGAAGGATCGTCTCCTCGTCGACCCTTGTTTGGGCGGTGGGCTATGGAAAGCTCTGCCTGACCTTTGCGGAGAAACAGAAGGTCTTCGATGAGCTGGTGAAGAAGGTCCTCGTGTTGAGATTGTAGAGACAGAATCATATGAAGACGATCTCTCACGCCTTGAGGGGTCGCGGTCTACGTCGTCATCACTCCGTTCCGATTCTAGCTTCCTGGCTCTTTCAGCCTCCCTCTTAGCTAATTCTTGATCAGCCACTCCTTTTCTGTAGCTAGTTAGTAGATAATTCTATACAAATCTTGACCACGGAACATACTTATCTTGCAACGCATTTGGCGTGTCACTTGTTAGCTTGGGTACAAGCTTGGGATTGAAAAGTTGTTGTGTTCGTGACGGCCGAGGCACATAGGGCCGTTCCTGTGTCGAGGTCTTGCATTCATATGAGTAATGCCGTGCTTAAAGTGTCAGCTCAAGAACAGGTAAGCGTAATCAAATACAGCAGAACACTTATCTCTTTTGAGGCACTTCTGGCATTGTACGTTCGCTGGTGTGCTTTTTGATGGTCCTCTCCGGTACATGATGCACGAGTGTAGAAAATGTGAGGCTCTGCGATAGCCGCACAGCCTCAGCACCAACTTCAACAGATTGATCTATTATCCGATAATATGAGCTCGTTTTCTGCCTAGCCCGCTAGTGAGATAACATGAGCGTCGAAGGCCAAATGTCTGTCAACTACCATCATTTGCCCTTTGGAGATGAGGTTGGATGTGGCAGCTTGCCTTCAGCCACAGCATGAGCTTGATATAGGTAGGTACCTATGTACCTCATCTACCCCACTATAAAACGACCCCGGTGGTCCACCGTTGATGACTGACCATTGATGCCGCTTACATAGTTGTCTCGGTTGTGTGTATTAGCTGTTGTGATGCCCGTCTCAATGAAGCGTTTTGGCTTGCGACAACTCTCATACATAGTAGATGCCAAAATCGTGCAATTCAACCCCAGTCACAAGGCATTTATAGGTACTTAGGCAACAACCTTCAAATCGTCATACCCATGCTTCTCATCGTAATGGAAGGAAAATACCGGTTACCTTAGCTTCTACCCTAGACATATTTTTCTAATACAATGATATATGCTAGCACAAACGCTTGACATTGAGGGCAAAGCTTATAAGAATGCTGATTTATAGATGAAGAACATGGTGATGAGCAGGTAAAGATTAAGCTTTTAGGATTATGGTGAGAGGCATGGCCAAGACTATAGGCCAGGATTCCAGGTTAATTTATATGTTTTTTGTTTATGGTTAAGGTGAAACCAAACGGCTGGATGCCACGGAGCAAGGACAGTTATTTTATGTCTATAATGTGGATCACTACATATGTACCGTGAAGATTTAAAGCAGACGAAATCTACCAAGTGAGAAAACAAAGACCTACGAACCTATGGGAAACAATAGGTTTTCAAAACGTGGCCTGGAAGCGTTGGTGTCTCACATGTTGGTAGAATACCTCGCTACCTCTTCGAATCCATGGATTTCGCATTGAATAATACTTAGGTGTATGCCAATCATTTCATACAGCTACAGAAGTCCTGGGGTATTCTAGTCGCACAGAAGAAGTCCTCAAGGCACTTTCAAGTGGTTTGCAGTTGTTAAAGCCACCAATATTTGCTTCGTGAACTATTATATAAAACTAACTAGGTTGTATAGGTACCTAGGTAGGTACCAATGCCTACAGATTCTGGAATGTGAATGTTACCATATGTTCACGTGACTGGTAGCGAATTTAGTAGAGTGTACCTACGCTACAAAAATAGTAAAATAGAGGGCTATGGAACATATTTAGCTGGGTAGCAGTTGCCCCCAAGGGGCCCCAAAGTACCGTGCTTAACACTGTCAAGTGCGCCTCCACGCTGCAACCTTACGTCTGGTCCGTCCTGTGTACTTCCATGTACTTGCTGCCTATACCCTAGCACAGCGATGCTCTACCATTCTCTTTCTCATTTTCGAACCATTGAAAAAAGACATGATGATTTCTACCACCAATCTATAAGCCGAAGAGTTCACCTGGCTCTCTCCACTCTTCTAAAAGCCTCAGAAGCGTGCCTGATCTTGTCTCCCAATACCTAAGTAAGTAACTACATGCGTACTGTGTACGGGGTAGAGGTAATGCGGTAACACTGCACCTACAGCTCGCTAGTCAAATTTAGCTACTGGTGACTTACCCACCTACCTTAACCTAATTCCCTGGCACTGCAGTGCTTTACAGCAAGGATACGGCATTCAGCGCCTGTAGGTTAGGTGAGGTTGCTGGTGTGGTGCGGTGCGGTGCAGCAGCCCGAGCAGCCTTCTCCTGGCTCCCGCCGTCAAAAACTCTCCACAACCAACCTGGGCACTTTCAGCACGCACAACCACACACAATCGGCTTTGGCCTCCACCCGTCTCTAAAAGTTGATCCCCAACTCCTCCCCTGCTTCGTCGGGTTCCCTTCTGGTTGACCCTCCATCCCATACCAACGACGCCAAACAGGATCGGGGGCTGCATTCCTGAACATAGAGACGACTGGCCGCCGGCGCTCTGCAGACCGACCCATCCGCCCGTCCAGTCCACCCATCTCCAAGTGCCGGCTCTCGCTCTCGCTCTGGTCAATCGATGGTCAATCGATGCTAGCCTCGCATCGTCTCACTCTTGACCACTTGGCTTTCCTCTGCTCCCTTTTGCGACCGACCTCGATACCACCAGTCCCGGCCAGGCATCGCCGCTGAGTGACGCCCTACGTTGGTCTCTTGTCGTCGCTCGCTCGCCGCAGAATTGTTTGTGCGACCTCCAGAGCCTGTGCCGACCAATCCCTCCCACCGACGCCAATACGCACCTTTCCCTCCCTTTCCGGTCCCTGTTCCTGTGCTGACGGCAGCCCTGTCTTGGTCTCCAACCCTCTTCCACCAACCTTGGGTCGCCCTGCTTTTCGCATCGTACATTTCTCTCAAACCGTCTTCAGCGCTCGATCACTAGCAGTAGCATACTAGTACCCCACATAGACGAGGTCATATACGATTTATTTCATCAGCGTACCGTTTTATTTAGAGTGGCCTTTTACGACAATGATTAGCCGCATTTCCATCTCGCGGGTTGCGCTGATTCACTTCATTTCTTGATCTCTATCACCCCTGGCATTCTTGTATCACAGCTATCAAAACATCGTGGCCTCCATTGGGCGACTTTGTTTGACCAACTAGACTCTGCGAGATTGCTGGCGGTGTCTTTTCTTTTTTTCCTTCCACCCCACCGATCATAGATAGACATATCTGGTCCATAATTACAGAGTCCTTTCAAAATGGCGACTGCGCCGCCCCCGTCGGCTGCTCCCAAGAGGTTGTCTTTTGCAAAGGTATGTCCACTTGACCCGGGTTGCGAATATGCCTTGTGAAGAACGTTTCCCCATACGATCAAGTGCTAATATGATGACCAGGTTGTTGCGTCCCATCCTAGAGATAGTGTTAATCCCATACCTGTACCCCGAGTCGCTGTACCAACTATGGATCGTCGTGCGCAACCCGCGATTCCGGTAGCTACAAACTCTGTCGCAAACACGCAGTCTGTTGCTACGACTGTGTCTACAAGCGTGGGAAATGCCACGCAGACTCCGTCAGTGTCTATTGAGGGGAGCTCGAAAAATACTATACGTGGGGCTCAGGCCCCTACCAACCGAGAGGTCAAGAATTCAAACGGCCCACCCGTTAACACCCGTGCGATATCTACACCGAGCTTAGTCGTGAATGGTTCATCATCCTTGGTAGTAGAGCCGCAAGTAAAACCCGAGAATGGAGCCTCTACATCGGATGATGTGTCACAGCGAGCGGATTCTAATTCAGAGATGGGTACTAAGGCCCCCAGCCTCGACGGGAAAAGTATCACCTCTGGCACCACTTTTGCTCTAGATGAAAAAGAATCTCTCCGTCCTGATGATAGCGCAAGTGTCAAAGCCGCCGCTGAGGACGACGAAGCCTTCTCAGTTCGGAGTTCCTTACTTGCGACATCAAGGATGGGTTCTGAGAATGCACGCATGCATCGCCTCAGAATTGGTGATATGCCAGAGAAACGACCTATTCCGACGCTTTCTGAAAGCCAGGACCCGGGGCTGGCAACTCCGCAAAGTGGAGCATCCAGCCAACAACCACCTCCCGAGCAACCGCAAACTTTAGGTGCGGTCACTGGATCTAGTGACGCTTTCAACTCCATCTATGGAAAAAACCCAGACGAAAAGCTCCTGGAGGCTATGAAGTCCCCAAAGGATCGACTTTTCTTGTTGAGGCTAGAACAAGACGTTATCAACTTCGTATTATCGTCAAAGTAGGTGATATCACACCCTATTTCCGTGTAATTTACTAACATGTAACCTCGAAGAGAACCTTACATGGATCTTCCGCCAAATAATTCGTTTTGCCGAATGTTGACCCATAAGCTGGCTGACTATTATCATATGACACATTCTTTTGAAGCAGTTCAAGGCTCTGTTCGCATCTTTAGAACCCCATTTTGTCGGGTACCTGCGTCATTGGCAAGTATCATAGAGTTGAATGCAGATGACAAACCGAAGACACCGCCTCCAGTGGTTTTGCCGAAGAAGATCATGCGACGTGGTGAGGATGGTGGATCTGGTCAGGTTAGTACCAGTGCCTCGAAGGCTACATCAGAAGTAGGAAGCGATGGCAAAGACAAAACAGCACTTGCCAAGGAAAAGTAAGTGATGGAACTACATACTGCTGACCGGGACTGAGGCACTAATCTGCAGCTAGAATGACGCGAGAAGAACGCGAAGAGGCGTACAAGATAGCCAGAGAGAGAATCTTTGGGAACAGTTCGGACAAACCAACAGAATCAGGAGCAGGTTAGATACCAAAGCATCTTAAGTTATTAGAAGCTTGCTAATATGTGTTTAGACAATGACGAGGCAAACGGAGTTTCTCGGGCTAGTTCTGTGTCCGCCAAGGATAGATCCAACCTTGGAAAGAGAGGAAAGACCGGCAAGCAGCGTCGGGATGACTCTGAAAGCTTTGATTCGCGCTCACAATATATCAAATATTTCGCTCCTCCTCAACCCCAGATGGACTGGTCTACTCAGCCACCTCAGTTCATCCCTACAAATATGCCATACAATGGTCAGGCGTCTCAGCCCTACCACTACCAAATTCCTCAGCCCTATCAGACTCCTCCACAAGGATATCCTGCCATGATGCCAAATAACGGGTATCCGCAGTATGGCAATATATCAACAGTGAGTAACAGTGTCTGCCATATAAGTCATAGAGGCTAACCATAACTTGCAGTACCCACCTCAACCCCAGCCGCTGCCATCCCGATACCCTTCGTCTAACGGGTCAATCGGAAGCAACTTTGGCCCCCCTGCTCAGCCTGCACCTCAGCAGTCCTGGCAGCCTGGCTATAACCCAAATTCTCCATCACTCTCATATCAGAACCGCGGACCTCCAGCCCAATCTCAGGGCACTGCTGGGCCCGTGGGCATTCCTTATGCATTTGGGCAACTTCCAGCCCATGCAAACCCACATGATCCTAAAAGTCAGCACCCTATCCCTGGGAGTTACAATCGCCATGCCTTCAATCCAAAAACTCAATCTTTCGTGCCCGGCAATGGAATGAGCCCTGTTCAGCCTCCAATGGCTCCTTACAACATGCCAGTTCCGCCTCATGGCAGTCCTCAGATTGGCTCGCCACACTTGAGCTATGTCGGATATAATTCTCCTGCTCCGGCCCAGCCTTACACGATGGGCGGCCCTGGGTATGGCATGAGCCGCCAGAGCTCAAACAACTCCCTTCCAGCGTATCATGCGCCACAGCATATGTCACAACATCCATCAGCACATCTTCCACAGATGCCGAATAAACCAGGAGTTCCACCCCAGGGACCGTCAGCTGGACTAGGTCAAACATTTAGCCATCTCCCTAATTATGGTAATCCTGCCACACTACCACAGAAACCGCCGACCAGCATCTAGATGATGCAGGCCTACATGCGCAGTATACGAGAGCAGAGCATTAGTGGTGTTTCATGTTTTGATTGAGGGGCGATAAGCAAGATCAGAATGAATGGATAAAAAGCATGTCATAAAGATTGATGACCACCATGGGCGTACATCGGACAGGGTGGCTTTACCATTGCAACATGCATATCATTGGCGGGAGTTTCGGGCGAGAGGGAGTAAATAATGATTGAACTGTTATTCTGTCATTTAAATTGGTCATCGATCCTGGCACATCTAGAAGTTTTTCCACTTCTGTCAGGTTTCCAGGCGCACAAGGACATTGCTGCACCGTTTCATGCGGAATGAGTTGAAGGAAGGAGAACCTTTATATGCTTGGGTATGAGGTCGGGACGGCGCTCATATTCCTGGGTGATGCCGGATGGGGGTGCATGAGAGCTGACGGGTTTGGCTTAACTATTTCTGTAGACCAAGCGGGTGGGCAGTGATTGACGCTCCCATCACCACATTATACTATGGCTGCGGAAAAGGCATGCCAGATAGTATTATTTGCTTAAGGTGATGCATCATAATGGAACCATTTTTCTCACTGGCTCTTTTCTCCCGTTTCAATGTGCTCCGTCTGTTTGAAAAGAGCAGTCAGTCGCGCGAGGCATCTTCATTCAAGGGTTAAGCTGTGGGTGCTGATGGTGCTCACTAATTCATAAATTCAGAATGAAAGCGGTGTTTCTCTCAAGCGTACTCTGAGTCATGCATTTCCCTGAGGCTGTATACATATGCTTTACACATGTTATAATCTTTCTTGGCTATTGGGACAACGCATCTATACACACCCCTTTTGATGACTGATAAACTATATACGTACCTCATCGACTACGTAGCTAGATGCCAACATGGCTAGCATAACGAAATGCTTGTTTGTTGTATGTTCCATAATATAGATAAATATATATATAAATATATAACTATACGTATCGAACAATGGCTGTTTACTTGGTTTATGTGGTGATCGAGAGTTCAACACATCTACACTCTCAGGGCGATATAAATTATCAACAAATTACTTATGATTGTGATGTAACTGGAACGGTTATGTGATGTTCCTGTTACATTTACAGCTCGAAGACTTGCTAATCAACACACCAGGGATGACATTGATGAGGTATCGATCATATTTTTATTTCGTCAAATACGTCCTAATCTATTACTCTGGTTTCCCCAATCCGGATGGAACGCCTGCAGTAATAATGTGTCTCCTTTCTAGGGGACTTTTGCCTGCCTTCTTCGTCATAAAGCAAGCCAATGATTCTTTTACGGCTGTCTTTCCGGGTCTGGAAATAACTAACCCCCAAATTGTTAGTTCGCCGCTTGTATGGTAATTCTAAAGCCAGGGTAAATGCCCCATCTATAGGGACAGTACTGGCAGTGGTTCGTATATCTATGAACTTGCACTCCCACGTCGGTACTTTTCAACCTTTTACACTGAGGTTGTGTGTTCACTCGGTTGGTTCTCTTGGCTCCCTGGGCTCCCTAGGTTCTCTAGGCTCACGCTGCTGGCCACCGCCTCGACCACCCCCACGACCACCTCGCTTGCCGCCACGCTGGCCGCGCTCACCGCGCTCGCCTCTCTCACCCTTCTCGCCGTCCTTGGCGTCTTTGTCCTCGCTAGACAGCACTGCCGTAGCAAGACGCTGGCTCAGGTCGATCTGGGTTCGGATGCTATTGGCTAAGTAACTAACCATGAGCACATCCTGAACGTGGTTGTTGAAGTCGGCTTCAATTTGGACCGGGTCAACTTTAGGTGCGAGCGCCAGCGCGCTCATAAGGTACTGCCCTAGAGCGTTGTTTGGTTCCTGCTCCTCGTCGATGATGGCGCTCACAAACTCGGAGGTACGATCTAGAAGGTCTATTGTACTCTCGAGGCTGCGCAGCAAAGACTCAACGTCGGAACCAACGGGGGCGGTGCGTGTCTCGTTATCCTTGGCGCTCGAAATCAAGTCAAGCGCAGATCGCTCGGCATCGTTGTATGCAAGCTTGTGGGGTACTTGGACAAAGAGGCAGCTCTCAGCGGCACGTTCAGCATTGACAGCCACGGGAGAGGATATGTAGGCGCGTAGTTGAACATCGGAGCCGGGCTCAGTCGACACGGTCAAGTGAACAGCCGGGTGAGGAAATGTTCCGGTCTCGGGAGAAGCAAAGAAGTTTTGAATCAGGGCGCTGAAACTGTTGAGTTCTGGCGACGTTGTGTACCAACCGAGTAATGTCTCGCGAGGGTTCGCCTTGAGGTGAAGTGACAACATATTCTTCTGATATTCGACATCCACCTCGACTTGGTCCTCGTTCTCGGTATGGGGGATAGCGAAGGACGAAACAACCGAAATATCGCTGCCATCTTCAGATCTAGTTCCTATCAAGGCGCCGATGACGCGCGACGATGTGGTGGGTGTTGCGGGGATGTCGCGGCGGTTGGCATGGTCAAGAATTGAGAGGATAGCCTACAAGGGAAGACAACGGGGTCAGTCAAAGCCCACACAGCTTCACGAGGTAAACGATATGATCGTAGGTTTAGAGGATCGGCAACATACTTGAGGCTGGATGTTAACGCTAAGCGGGGCGAGGTTGTTTTGGAAGTTGAAGGTGGAGGGCGCAAGAGGCCGTGCCAGATGAAGGAACGAGCCGGAATCTGTCGCAGCCATGCTGGGCGATGGCTATGGGGATCGTGATGCGAAAAGGGGGACGGGGTGGAAGAAGAACGAGGCTCACGGAGAGTGTGGGAGACTAGGATCGTGGTGTCCCTTGCTCGTCTTCTTAGGTCGACTGATGGTTAGAGAGATGGCTCGCTCGCCCACTCGTCACTCCCTAGTCGCCGTGAATTTTCACAATTCTTGTGGGATTGGTGGGGCTTACAGCGCATTTGCAGGGCGTCCGAGAGCGTCAAAGCGACCTGGGCGATTCTGTGGCGGGGAACCATGCTGCGATAGCAAAACCACGCTAAGATACCAATCCACTAGCCTAGACAGGTTAGACCGCCATGCTTAATTGCCTTGGATCAACGCTACCTGTGGCTGAAGCTTCGGGCATTGTGGCTCAACAGCCTGTCTTTATAACTTTTTTTCTTATATATATATATGTAAATTGATCTTATATAAGAGCAGCTAGACGATGCGATCTCGTTGACGGAATTCCTTGTCATTATAATCTTTAATATTCTACGTCTCCGGGGGAGTTACGCGACATCGTCAGTCCCAAATGCCGCCTCGTGGTAAATTTTCAGGTCGTCGCGGATCCGCAAGGGGTCGAGGTGGAAAATTTGGGCGGGGTGGTGCGAAAAGGAGCTTCGGGGGCGCAGAGAAATTTCATAATACGAGACTTGAAGATGCCGAGTAAGTATTTTTTTGACATGCTGATATCAAAAATTCACTCTGACACTCATTTAGGGAATCTGGCAGTGAATCGTCTGGCGAAGCTTCATCAGATCTTAAGGTTGATAGTGAGGGCTCAATATCCGATGTTGAGGAGACCCCAGCAACGACCCAGCCATATATGGCACTAATGCAAAGTCTAGAAAGAGATTCAGTCTCTAGCGCAGCTCCCACTACGAAGAGGAGAAAAATAGACCATCCGTCCCCCAAACAAGAGGTACCGCCCGCAGCTAATGATGAAAACGGAGAAGTCTCAGATGACGAAGAACGTGATGTTGATCACGTTGAGGAGCCAGAGGAAGATCCATCTAATGACGTGGAATTGGAAAACGACAATGATGATGATGATGACGATGACGACGACATACCTGATGCCGAGGACCCCTTTGAAACTCATTTTGTAAACCCCGATAGCAATGAATATAACATACGCTTGAAGGGGGTTACATCCAATGTCCATCAGACTAAGCAGGTAGAGAAGAACGGATGGCGAATGTTTAGAAGCATCCCTGGTCAGACGCCGGACCAGACAACTCAACCGCCTGCGACTGTTCCGGGGCCGTCTGGTTTGAAACTCAAGCATAGGCTCATTGAGACCTCAAACAAACTGTGTCCGTCTTTCGATAGGCTCGAACAGGTTCTGTACCCAATAACATTTAGTTATCAAGATCTTTTATTCTGTGGTCGTAATGCCACTAATGCTGGAAATCTAAGACGAATGACGTGTCTTCACGCCATAAACCATGTTTTCAAGTAAGTACTGGCGTACGGTGTTGACCTCGAGCGAGCACCTAGCTGACCATATGAAGGACACGAGACCGAGTCATCAAGAATAATGCAAAGCTGGCAAAAGAAGGCGAAACCACCGACTTCGAGCCTCGGGATCAAGGATTCACACGACCTAAAGTCCTCATGATCCTCCCTACGCGCGAGGCCGCCGTAAAGGTGGTAAACGCGATCTGCGCGGTCTGCGAACCTGATCAGCAGGAGAACCGCAAGCGCTTCGACGAGTCGTACATCGACCGAGAAGTAAAGTTCTCAGCAGACAAACCGGCAGATTTTCGAGATCTATTCGAGGGCAACGACGATGATATGTTCCGAATAGGCATCAAGTTCACTCGCAAGACAATTAAATACTTCGCCCAATTCTACAATAGCGATATTCTACTTGCAAGTCCGTTAGGACTGCGCATGGCAATAGGGTCCGAAGGGGACAAGAAGAAGATGGATTACGACTTTCTTAGCTCTATCGAGGTCGTCATCGTTGATCACGCCGACGCCCTGCTCAACCAGAACTGGGAACATGTAGAATACATATTCGAGCACCTCAACCGCCAGCCGCGCGATGCGCACGGCTGCGACTTCAGTCGCGTCCGCGAGTGGTACCTCGACAACCAGGCAGAGAATTTCCGGCAAACGATTGTCCTCTCAGCCTTCAACACGCCCGAGCTTTCAGAGCTCCACCGATGCAGCAAGAACTGGGCGGGCCGCGTGCGCGTACAGCCCGAGTACAACGGCATGATCCAAGAGTTGGGGCTCGTCAAGGCTAAGCAGACATTCTCTCGCTTCGAAGCGCCCTCGATCGCCGACGAACCCGACGCGCGATTCACCTACTTCACGAGCGCCATCGTTCCCTCTCTCATCAAGCTCGCGGGCCGCAAAGGCTCCAGCGCAGACGCCGGGGGAACCCTGATCTTCATCCCATCGTACCTAGACTTCGTGCGCGTGCGTAACTATTTCTCTACAGCCGACGCTGTCGAGAGCCTCTCGTTCGGCGCCATATCCGAGTACGCCGACGTGCGGGAGGCGTCGCGCGCGCGCTCGCACTTCTTGTCGGGCCGCCACAAAGTCCTGCTGTACACCGAGCGCTCGCACCACTTCCGGCGCTACGTGATTGCGGGCGTGCGCCGAGTCATCATGTACGGCCTACCTGATAACCCTATCTTCTACCGCGAGATCGTGGGAGGATTCCTCGCCAAGAGCGAGCAAGATATGCTCTTGGAGCCCGGACGTGGATCCGTCCGCGTTGTATTCTCGAAGTACGATGTGCTGAAATTAGAGAGGGTAGTCGGGTCGAAGAGAGTGGGCAAGATGATTCGCGAACGTGGCGATACGTTCGATTTTATATAGGGGTTGAGATCAGGTGACCAAGCACATGTGTCGAGCTGCACCGAATCTGCCCATTTTGATGTAGTAGTAGTGATTAGACGAGATACCATATGACTTCCGCTGTTTCGTCGTCTCAATAAATGAAGTCATTGACAAACGATAAGAACAAAGCCTGACACATCTGCTGGTGCCTGCCTGAGTTTTCATGAAATAGTCATTTTATACTATTTTGTCTGAGTTGTAAATTTTACTTTGGTATGTGTTCTAGACGGAGGCCAAAATGGCGTATTTATCTAAGTAATGTACAATATTGTCGTACAATTAGATCCTGTACTTTAGGCTAGGATCGGAGGGATACAAGTAGATACGGCTATCTGTCGTTCAGCGCCGCCTGATCTTCTCATATCTTTGGACAAAGGACTTTCTGTCCACTGTGCGTGACCCAGAATTACTTCCACCCCTAGCTTTGCCCCAACGAAGTTGTCAAAGCCCGCTTCATCCTCACGCTCATCGCCCCTTTCAGTCCCTTCATTTACGCCGTAGCGGCGTTAGCACCCTGCTTCTTCCCACCAGCAAGATTTAGCTTGCCAATCCTCTCGACCATGTCGTCAAAGACCTTCTGGCCGTTATCGCGGTACCGCAGGACCTTGCCGCGATTCTTGAGCGTGAGTTCGTTGTGCGGGAGGCCGAGGGCCTGGTCCCGCGCCACGGCGGCGGCCGTCATGGCGAATCGCATGTCCTTGGGCCCGTCGACGAACTCGAGGATGGCCGAGGCGCCCTGGTCGTACGTCGACTTGGGCTCCGTACGCAGCACCCGCGTGTACCCGCCCGGCCGCTGGAGGTAGCGTTCGCGCAGCTCGCCAAAGAGCTTGGGGAGGAGGTCGTGGGGTGTCTGTTCGGAGCGAAGAGGAGAGTCAGCTGGTTCTACTTTGTGGCATTGTTGCGGGTCTTATGCCGGTGAAACCATGGATCTTAGGGGAGGGTGTGGTGTGGTTGTAATTGAAGTAAAGGCGTGCACATACGTATAGTATTCCGGTGGCCCGCCGCCTGCTTGTCTCATTGTTTCTCTTCGCTAGTGTTATCAGCTTCTCAGCGAGACGCTGGGCCTCCTTCGCCTTAGGCCAGGTGGTGTGTATGGACTCATGCTTGACGAGCGATGTGACGAGGTTGCGAAGCAAGGCTTGTCGATGGGCTGAGTTTCGACTCAGATGACGGTATTTGACGAGACCGCCCGCCATCGCTTCGTTTTGTTGGGCGTGGGGATTCCGCCAGAATGCTTAAGATTCACCCGGGGACTCTTTGCGATTGAAGGCGGCGGGTAGAGAGGTCGTTGATTGGAGGTATCGATAATATGGTTGTTATTTTGTCTAACCGACTCCAGGGTAGGCGCTCTAAAGAAAGAAAAGACCCGCAGCAGTTTTTGAGTGGGCGTACTTTATCTCGGTAGGCCCTGTTGCACATGTCTTGGCGCTTCCCGGCCGAGCTTGGGGCTGGCACCGGGCCATTGACTTCCACTGAGCCGCCTACTGGCCGCCGCCGCGAGACTTTCGTCATTCAACGCCGGCCACCCCAACCGACTCTACAGCCTCATCACTCTAAGAGGGAAATCGACAATTGGGTCTCGTCAGGCTTGATATTCGCTTAGTCTGTCATACACACAAAGTCACAAGCCCTTTCTTGAGCGTTTTCCCGGCCGCTACATATCAATTGGTCTACCCTGGTACATGCGCCCTTGTGCGCGAATCATATAGCTCAAGCTCAGCTCGTCATGGGCTTCACCACCGGCTTCGTATGTCTGTTGTCGGCCTTTCCACAAGATACACAGCTAACAATCATTCCTTCTCATCCAGACCGGAGGTGTAACCCTCACCCTCGGTGTCGCTTATCTCACCTTGCTCGCGCACCAGCGTAACCGCGAACAGCAAGCTGCCATTCTACGCCAGCAGACATACCTCCTTTCCGGTGTTGTTGACCCCTTACCGCCTGTGCTACCACCTACGAGGCTTGAGCAAGCCGTTGCCGAACGTGCACACTTTACTGAGGTTGCCAAGGACCGCTGGAACGCCGAGATAGAGCATGCGGTCCGGTGGGCGCAGACGAAAGACTGGTCCGAGGTCCGCGAGGGTGTCGAGACCGCTATCAGTCGCCTGTGGGCCCGCGGAATAGGGCAAGCACAGGAAGGAATCGAGAAGGGGGAAGAGAAGAGTACGGCTGTTGCGCGTGACCTGTCGAGCAAGGCCAACGCAGAAGCGCGCGAGAAAAATGATGGTGTAGCTGCAGCTGCAAAGTCTGCTTATGCCGATGCCAAGGCGAGAAGCGTTGACCTTGCTAATAAGGCAGAGAAGAAAGCCGAGGAGAAGGCTAGCGAAGCTAAGGGCTCCGTCTTCGGGGCTATAGGGCGAGGCATTGAAAAGGGAAAGGAAGTTTTTAGCAAGACCAAGTCAGCCGTCGTTGCCGTGGAGGAGAAGGTCGACCCTACAGTATCGCCCGTGGAGAAGGCTCTGCAGCAACGGTACGAGCAACCGGGCGGGCTGGACCAATCGGTGGAGGAGCTCTTGGCTGCGAGGTACGTGCCGATAGATCAAAAGGACAATACCGACTTGAAGGCATTATAGAGAAGCCGTGAGTATCCGCCCAGACCACTCAGACCAGAAAGACAAACTGGATCAATGGGCTAAGACCCCATTCTACTCAATGAGGCCTATAGATTCCATTTGTAGTATCATAGCTGTACCATGCATCACAATAGACGTGGCTATTGACCACAATAGTTATCATTCATACTAGCTGATATTCTAGTGCCAGTGCCATTGATTCTCATCCCATTCAGCCGCATTGGCGCAACTATGATATGCCGCTTCAGCAAGCTCTAGATATTCTCTATACAACTACTCGCTGTGTTCCCAGACTTTTACCATTTATTCTTTCTATCTGCACCACCAAGATTTCGACAACGTTATCTCAGCTGCACATCTCAGAGCCATATACTACACGCTTCATCAGAACAATCTCTATCCAGTTTTCACATATACGTTACCACAGAAGAATCGTCACTGATACATCTCATTGCTGAGCTTTCTAACTGTCCATTTCCTCCGTTTCTAGGATAAAGAGGCGAACTACTACTTCATACACATCTCAACAGACGACCACACGTCTGCTACACGTCTCACTAGAGAAGGCTTCGTTAGCACATCTGTATAAGAGAATCATTCCATACATCTTCCATCAGAAGAGCCCTTACATACCTACACATTCTCGACGAAAGAGTCCTCATATACTACATAGCTCACCAGACCCATCGTCTCATACGCATCTCGACTCCACATCCTCTTACTTATTTCAGGGGAAGAGTCTTTGAACGCTACATATCTCACCAATTCGGTCGCCACTTCATCAGAATATTGCTCGTAGCCACGCCTCGGCCAAACTGTTCTCATATACCACCTATCATACACCACCAGAATAGACCTCCTGTCATATTCTAACAGATCAATCTTCGGAATACATCCCATCAGGGTCATCATACTCTATACATCCCATCAGAAAAGTCTTTATATATACATCTCGATTTCAGAATTCTCAAACATGGGTAACTCACAGAGCGACATGAACCACGACATTTGCGACTGGTGTGTCGCCGAAGATCTCCGTTCGACGTATGGTATAACCCCCGAGTACTCGGTAAGCCAAGCATATATCGATTGGCTGAGGAGACACGGCGAGATAAATCGACACCAAGCAGTGGACATCCAAACCCGTCTTCAAGGTCCGCACTGCAACATCAATGACGGTGCGTATTACGAGACCCCCAGCGTCCCAGCGGTATCTGGTGTCGAACCGTATCCGGTGCCCCGTGAGCGTGAGCGGGACGTACCGCGTCTCCTCTCGCGCGATCGCCCACGCACCCGGGCACAACGTCGACAGGACAGAAGGGACGACAGACGTCACATGCCTTCCCGGTATCGATCGAGACTGCGCCGTTCCAATTCCGTAGATTCCTATCTCGGCCGCGTCCGGGCCTGGCGCGCCTCGGAGCACCCAAGACCTGCCTCGATGAACACCTCTTCCTCCAACGCCGGCTCTAATACCGGCTTACTCTTCCGCTCCCGCTCGGGCAGGAATAGCAATAGAAGTAGGAGCAGGCACAACGCGACACCACCCATCGGTAACCACACAGACTGGAAGAAATTCCCCCGCCTCCGAAGACTGTGGGACAAGATCAAGGAGTCATCCCGGGAGGTGAAAACGAATACCAATGCCGACATCCCAGCCGGCGCAGAAATCGCGTCCAATGAACCACGAGAGAAGACCGACTCTGGGATTTCTCCTTCTTCCACAGCCGCAGCCGCTTCGACACCGGCATCAACACCCGACACCCCGAAGCGAAGAAGTCGATGGTGCATCCGTCGACCTCGTCGAACATCCACCGCAGAACCACAAGAAGAAAAAAAGACCAACGACACGCCCCCCGTCCCCACCACTATCCCTCTTCTCCCCCCCTCCGCACCACCACCGCCGCAAACACCTTCCATCCCGAAGCGACGCAAATGGGGCTTCCTGCATCGACCTCGTGGAATCCCCCTGCTCACCGACGAATGTGTCGCGGGCGCGAGATTCTGGAATCGTTGCTGAAAGCACACGACCTACCTCCCTATGACTCTACGTATCACACACTCCCGTGTAATCTGAAGGAGTCACGTACATACGCGCCGGTGTCGACGTGCGCATGAATACATTGATTCCCACGACTATTACCTCCGCGGATCTCGTGCCGCCAGAGTTTCATAGTCTCTAGTATTTTTCGGACATTTGTTTCAGCTATCTACCTCTCATCTCTCGGTTGTCGATTTATTCTGTTTTCTTTCTTTCTTTCTTTTTCCACCCTATTTTTAACGTGGTGTGCGGCGTTTTCGAGGTTTTAAGATTACACGGATGGGGGGGAGAGTAAAGGATCGATCGGTTGATTCATTGATGGCGTTTGGCGTTGTGAGGGTATGTTACCTTGTAGCCTTGTGCGTTCAGTTAGTTCGTCCTCTAGATCTTTTGGTGTCTTCCAATCGGGTGGGCTGTACCCCCGGTGGTCTGGCCAGCCACCGGTTCCTAGCTCAACCTCGAAGGAAGACTCTAAATGCGCAAGGACGATACCATAGGAGGTACGGGTTTTCATGCATGAAAAAGTGAAGGATTTCAGTCGTTGTCAAAAGCTATTTCCAGTTAGACTAGTGCGAGCGTAAGAAGCCCCTTTTCTCCATTTCCCTATTTTATAGAATGACTCAACGCTTTCGACTCTCGAGGATAGCACAAATATGAGATGGTTCAGATAGGAGAATTAACTTGTTTTCGTTGTATACATACATGGAAGTGCTATTCAAGCTACAATCTGTCATCGCAAACAACTAAGACGATTGAGCCCTCTGGGGAAAGCAAAGTTAGGTACATGAAAGAAGCAATAATGCAGTTAAATGTCGTCACTACCGTAAATATCGTGTGGAAGAACTCCCCTATAGAATCTTAAAATCGAGCATTATAACCACTCCAGGTACGTAAACCAATATTATTCGGCAAACAACGGCTATACCACCCAGATAAAGCATATACTTTGTTTGAAAGGCCCTTGGGCGTGTGAGCCGTCTAACACAACAGAAGAAGCGAAGTGGTATCAATAGTGTGTCTGAAGCGCAAATACGCGGGGCCAAGCGGCTAGATATATATCGCAACTGTCCTTATGTTCATCGGAATGTTGCACCCCCAATGGAAAACGAACAACAATTCGGAACTTATACATGTGAGAAATGATGCGAATCATGTGTATAAACTAATATGCCGTTGGTTTCTTGCGTCGTTCGAACATCCGAGAAAATCCACTACTGGCTTTGTCTTCAGGTGGCGGTGTAAAGGTTGGTATTGAGGGCGGAGGTCGCGAATCACGAAAAAAATTGGCAAGGTCTGTTGTTTGAGCGCTTGCTGAGGAAGCATCTCGTGGCTCAAACTTCTTCATTGGAACGCGTCCAACCGAGCCATTTCGGGGAGGATCTATTGTTTTGATAGAAGAGGCGTATCTATCTACCACGGGAGGTATCACAATAGGGGTATGCGTAACTTTCGAACCCGTACGGCTATTTAGAGTTCGATTGTCGGACACGCCTGATCCTTTTCGAAAATGAGCAGACCCATTAGAGCCAGTTGATGACCCTGATCTCAACCTTGCTATCAAATTAGGTGCACTAGATTTCTTTTTCGGTGGAAGAAACTGAGTTTGAGGTTCTGCGGGGGGTGCATAGTTGTTCAAGAAATCAATTAGGCTCTCTTCCTGCTTCGGCTGCGCCTTAGGATAGATATCAAATTCTTCCTCATCGCTGATGTCGATTGCATAGGGGTCAAGAACTCGTCTTTGTGTCCGCTTCGGCATCGGTTCGTCGTCATCAAAACTGTTCCCATTGTATAACTGATGCCGATTTGACTTGTTCAGTAACGCGCTCTGTGAGTTCATTGACGATGGGGCGGATGCCTCTGTTATGTTTGTGGAGGCTAGACTGGTCCGTACGTTAGGAATGATAGCGTCGACGGCCTTTCCCCCAACAGCACTCGACATGTAGTCGGAATCCTGTGTATTTCGGAAGGGCGCAACAGTGCGAGGGATTCGATGACTATTAGTGCTGGGTGGTCCTCGGCGAATGAAATCGATTAGGTCGGAGCTTTCGTTTGTCGTATTGACAGTAGCATCCCTAGCCTGCAATTTAGGTCCTCGTCGAGCTTCCATATTGGAGCTGTTCGTGACGGAGGGCGACCTAGTGATGCTGCGTACATTGGCCGAGCCATTTGACAATGGTCCTTCTGTTCGAGTGGCGTTTGTCACCGGCGGTCCAGTGGAGCGGATAAAATCGGCAAAATCTTGCAGCGATTCCCGAGGAACTCTAGCATCCCTAGCCTGAGGCACAGGCGCCGTGTGGCTTCTCATAGATACCGGAGTTAATGCTTTCGAGGTGCCGTTGCTATATCTTCCATTGGTCATGTCAGGAGAAGGGTGAGAGCTTAATCCCGAGGCCTTGTTCACAGATAGCGATCTTTTGATCGAGGAAGACCTCGAGCGTTCTGCAAACTTCCCGTCATCGCTTCTTCTAGTTCTTTGACTAGCACTTGGGCTAATGCTAGATTGGGATGGCTGAGACTGTCTCACTATTAGATCTGTTGCAAACGGGGGGGGGGGGACAAGTCAGGTTGCTCACATCAATGTCTCGCATGTTCTCTGGTGTCAAGGTGTACTGTAAAGTCTCATTACTTTGTATCAGCTCTTCAAAATCACGAGCAACATCTGCTGGGCGATTAGAGCTACTCTCTTCAGAGGTCCGTTTCGGCCTGAATCTAGCCGGCGAGGGCATATCGTTCTGTATGGAACGTGGGAGTCTTGGTGATTCCGGGGCAGTGCGATGAGTAGACGTCGTCGGGCTATAAACTGGTCTGTTTGCACTCCTCTCTGGCAAGGTCGGCATTGGTGGATTCCTCAGCCCATTTGTGGGTCGCTGGAAAGCCTCATAACGTTCCTCTTGCGGTAGGCTTGCATTTGTAACTATAGACACTATGGTAGGCGCCGATGTATGAGAAAATGCCGCGGTAGATGTTGTTCGGGGAGGTAAGCGACTCCGTGGAGGTGGGGACAGCGTAGAGACAACATCGTGTACATCCTCAGCATAAGATGAAACAGTGCTTGAAGTATTCTTTGTAACGGTGACGTAGGGTATCGCATAAGGATCTTTTTCTTCCACAATAGGAGGGGTTTTAGAGACAATCTCTTCACGAGAGAAGCTGACTGAGCGTGGGGTAGGACTGCGCGAGTTTGATTCAATCGAGCTTGCCCGTGAACGAGGTCCCTGCACTTCAATAACCCGGACAGAACGCACACTGCTTGATCTTGTAAGAATGATAGACGCGGGTCTCCCAGACTCCGAGTTTGTCGGCGAGCTTCTGCCTCCAACAGACACTCTTGACGAGGTCAGGATCTCTGGTTCTTCTACAAATTCTTCAATGTCGCCATCGAACTCGTCCTCTTTGATATCAGGCTGGGCGATACCTTCAGCTGTGGCACTTTCAGCCTCAGTATCAACCAATTTGCTAGGGACTGTTGTGATCTGAGCCGTTACCTCGGCCTCAGGTTTTGCTTCTGGTAAATCTGAAGCTTGTGCAGTTGGCGTGCGCTCCTTCAAAGATTCACTGGTTGTATTGAAGGTCTCATACCGAGGCTTCTTTCGAGACGGAAGGGACGGGGTGCGTTTGATTGAGGATTTTGAAGCAAATTGGCTCCCGAGATCGTGCTCTTGGGGTATGACAAACCAACTCTTTGGACGCGAGGGAAGCTCTTCATATTCAGATTCTTCTTCATCGCTATACGTAGCTTCAATGTCACTATCGGGTAAGGGAAGCGTAGAAGGATCAAACGGGTTACTTCCGTCGCATGTGGTTGAAGCTTCATCAAGCTCGTGGGTGTTATCGTGGATGGCAACTGGCTGGCTGGGCTGGTCGCCAGTGGCAGTATTTGACTCCTCGGATGGTGGCACGACTGGGGGCTCTGTAGCAGTGCTTTCCCGCCGTTGGTGTGAGGCTCCGAAACCATTTGCCGAGCTTCGAGAAAACGGACGGGAGAAATTGGGTTCCATGGGAGATCGTATCCTTTTCTTCCATGCACGCCATAGTCTACCCAGAGTCCTGTCCAGAGCAACACGTTCCATGTCTAACTCTTCCACAACAATTCGATCAAACACGTCGCCAGGTTGTCGAGCGCCATCTTTGACCTCCTTCTCATAGTTCGCACGTAACCTATTGAATGATGCTTGGCCAGCCACAATGAGAACCTGCTCACCCATGAATTCGAGTATAGAAGTCAGGAAAATAGCGACTGCTGGGGACACAACCTCGTTCACTGCACCACCAACTCCTCCGCCAAGGTGCTCTTGTTGAACGTAGTAATCTTCGTCTTCCTCCTCCATATCCCCTAGGGAGGAATAAACCATGCATCGTAGCCGTGTTCGCTTCCATACTAATTCGAGATCCCAGTCTCTTGATACTTCCGAGGCATTGGGGCGAGCTAGGTCTTCGATCTCTCCGCCGCCAAGGTATTCCCGGAGTTCTTCATCGGCCGAATTTATCACATCCTTTGCAAGTTTCGGTTTGAGGACGTCGATAACAGCCGAACGAAGCGAAGCAAGGGTGGTAGATTTCGCAGTGGCTAGCACGTTAAATAATAGTTGATCGACGAAGTTATTCGCTAGTAGAAGGGCGCCATTGGCAACGAGTGCCGTCCCCTCAGCAGGGTCAATACCAACTTGATCATACCATGTCCCCGAGTGATTGTCATGATCGTTCGTTACAATCTGTGAAGCAGCAGAGGCAGCGATGAAGGCTGCCTCTGGTGATACAGAAAGGGGGGGCGACATGAGACTCTGGACACCAACGGTGGATGGTCTATCGCTTGATATGCTGAGGGCTCGAGAATTACGAGCGGTTGACGAAATGTTCGCCATGGTTTTTTCAACAAGAGGTGGTGTGTCGACGGGCATCTTTGTCATAATGGCAGACCCAGAGAGGGCGCCTTGTCTCGTGTAAGACAAAGGATGGAGAGCGAGTCTTGGCTGACGGAAAAAGAAGCTGCAGCAACGTGCGTCAATTCAAGTGGGTGCTGTTGGCTCAGGTTGGATGCTTGTAGTAGTGTATGAGGATCTGGCGCAGTGCAGATATTAGATCCTTCGCTATTTCGCAACAGGCATCAGCATGGAAGGATTCCTTTAACGAAGGGTATCAAACGAGAAATGATTGGCGCCAACGGCAAAATGCATTGGGGGCGGCAAATGAAGCAGCCCAGTATCTTTGGGTGACTATGATCTCAGGAAGGGTGCTTGTGAGAGCTGTTGGTACACATTTGGACACTGCTGGGGGGGCGCGGCAACATGACCATCATGGTCAACGCACAACTAGTCATGATCTGACTTGACACTAAACTTGGAGAGATGCTCAGGTAGTCGAGGGTGGGCAAAAAGGAATGCGACAGCGGGATGGGGTCAACGGGAGGCAGCAGGTCAGCGAATGCGAAAATGGCGAGGTAGTGTAACCACTCGGTCACCGATTGGGGAAATAAAAAAAAATTCGAGAAGTGATCAAGGCCGGGCCATCAGAATAGTCAGAGGCTGCCAAGCTGTATACTCTGTTATAGTCTCACATCAAGATGGATGGTATAGGTTTCGGGGTCTAAGCTACGACGGGAGGGGAAACTGCAGCGTAACAACAACAGCAAAAGAGAAAAGGACAGTAAAATTGCAATGCCACATACCTAATGCTTTGATTTTGAGTTGGAAATGGGCGATGCAGCGCTGACGAGAGGTTAATTAAGGCCGGCAAGGACGCTCAGCGGTTTGGAGCGAGAGGCAATTCAGGGGTTCACATGTCGTGAATCGAACGAGGCCCCGCGAGGATCAAATATAGTACCAAACTGATGAGCGAGCACTCCCGACAGTGCCAGACCGCAAGGGAGAGAAAGAGAGGAGGAGGAGACTAAGATGACAAGCAAGCAACGCTACATGTAATGGAGAGACAAACAAACAACGAGGTGGTCAACCCAAACAATCGCGTGCGCAGCGCTGGAAGCTTTGGAGGAAGGAGGACGAACAGCTGAAGTCGAAGGTCTCGAGAAGAGATGAAACCAGTGAGAAGCAAGCTCGGTTTTCCTCACACACTACGGCGGTGGCGTGGGTCGTTGGTGGGCGGAGAGGTATCTGTACTTACTGTAGCGTAGCGTCAGTGTACAGGTCAGTAATACTTACATAGTACACCCTCAGCACCCACACGTAAGACGAAGGGCTATTGTGGCATGTCCATGTAGAGGGACATGGGAGGAATTGGGTGCTCTGGCTGGTAAACTTTGATAGGGTCGCATTCAATTGATGGAGATTTGGAGACGGATGGCACGACAAGGATATCCCGGCATCCTCGGGGAGAGCCAGGGGGGTCATGCAGAGGACTCCTTGATACAGGAGTGTACCTTAAGTATGTTCTAGGTACTACTATGTAGTAGGTAGGTACTCTGCCTCCTGTACCTACATTTACTCTTGTACTATATCAATGGTTACGATAGTTGCAATAGTCACGATGCTAGTTGGGTAGTGTACGCTATTGGTATGTGTTCTGCCAGTACGTGCTGATGCTGCCGAGTTACGTTATCGTGCGTACAGTATACAACAGATATTACCTACCATAGTATATTTCATATACCATATAGGTATGTGTGGTAGTATCTGGTAGTAGTAAGATATAGATACCGCATGTAGGTAAGATTACCTACATGGCTACATCCTTCTGTATAGGTATATGCCCATCCACTGATTTGCCAATTCGATGCCCGTAGCCACGGACCACGGACCACGGGCCCCGCCCCTCTCCAGACCCTCTCGATCCCCAAGCGCATCTGCAGCGTATTTGTGTAGGGTGCTGCACTGCGCAAGCGTACTGCAGTAGGTAGGCAGGTATCTATCTGTCAAGCACATGCGGTTGGCTGCCAGAATCACCGCCCAAGCGTTCATCGGCATACTTCGTACATACTATCCACGTAGGTATCTGCTAGGGAAGAAGCCCCTGAACCAGGGTTCTGCGCTAATGCAAAAGTCATCTGGCGAGCTAGTCCGTACTAGGCACTGAATCGAGCACATGGTCAGCACCCTATTCCCGAAGCCTGCCCTGTTCGGTATAGTGGCCCTTCGGTCAGCACCTCTAAAATAGATAGGGTACTGTACCTAGGTATTTCCCAGACCTACTACTTACGTACAGTAAAGGGCCTCCAACAGAAGAGCCATGCGGAAGCCCCTACCTTAAGTCCTTGTCTTACTTACGATAGACCATTAGGTATTGTAACGGACGATTCTCTCAGTTTATAGGTACTGGAAGTACATACTCTAGTACACTAGATGAGGGATGTACGAAGTAGTGTAGGTAGGCAATTAATAAGTATGCAGTAGGTCAAGTTGAAACCCTTAGCTATGTATCTACTGTAGCAAACACACTACCTACAGAGAGCTTCAAACGCTCTGAAAATGGCCGTCATCATCTGGTTGTGTAATCACTGTCATCGTTACTGTACCTACCTACCTAGTCAATGCCATCACCTTAAGTAACAAATTGATCAAGGTCGCCTTTTGGCGGGGTTCAACTGGTATTTTATATTCTTATCTGAGAGGGGTTTATATCAAGTAGGTAAGCCGTGTTTGAAAGAAAGGTCGGAGAATTCCTGCCACGTTTTAAATAAATCTGCAACGGACCACGAAGATTGCTTGAGAGCTAACTCCGCAACAGGCAATGATGTGCGTCTTTCGCTGCCGTTAAAACATGCGCCTATCCAGTTACACTGCCTATCTACTTCGTAATACTACCTATTCGCCTCCTCCGTACACGCACACAATCATGGAAGAAATAGCAGAAAGTCGTAGAAAGACTTTACTGAGCCTTGAATCATGGGCATGTGCGCAGTGAGTGAGTCTAGGCCCGACCTTTTTCGCGCTCGGATACCTACCACCACTGTTCTCTCAGTAGGTACACGAAACCTCTCAGAACACCAAGTGTGCCCGCGCTACTTGGTACTAAAAACTTGACCATACTTATTGGGTATTCAGTGACACAGCCCACGAGCTGAGCAGGTGTCGTCCCATGTGGGATGCGTGTATCCTCTCCGGATGTAGGACGGAGAGCCTTGCGTATGTAGCGGATGTATGTTTCATGTTCAAGGGCAGGTCGGAAAAGGCCATGGTGCTGGCATGCCTACACAACACCGACCTAGGTATCTATCGAGGGTGTCATCGCATCGTATGTAGCGTAGCATTCGAAGCTGGGTTCAAGATCATAAGCTTGTTTTCGACCGACCTACCCCAGCCTTGAACAATGGCGAGGAGTACCTACTGTAGTACCGAGAATGTGTTTTACTGAGCAGGTCCCTGCCTACGATATACATACATACATACATACATATGGCATAAGTATTCTCCGGAGAGCTGATGAACGTTGCACGTGTCAAGAATAAATAGCAATGCTGTGCAGACAGCCTACTCTACATGTAGATAGGTGCAAGTTCACGCGGCGTAGTGGACATACCTACTACGTAGACTACAGTAGATGCCCTCGATACCCACACCACCATGGCTTCTGAAGGATCACGTAGCTGTCACCCTAAGCTGACTCTGCGTCATGTACCAGTTTAATAAAAGAAACACGACCACTGCCACTGCCAGTCACGAGCGGCTTGTTTTTACGGATCGGCATATACACAGAATCCTGCCAATGCAAAGCGATACACTGCCTAGACCTGAGGTTACTGTACTATGTAATAACAACAAAAATAATAAAATCATAATTATAGGTACTTAGGTAGTGTTGGAACAAGAAATCTCCCGAAAATGATTGCTACGCTACCGGTAGGTATGGATGTGTCCCAGACTGCATACTCCGTCTTCCACTCACCCATTATCTTTTTTTAATAAAAAAAATCCAAACAAAATTCACTAACGCTAACTAATGATTATACCAAATCACGGGTTACATACGGCATTGAGCATGACAATACGATAACAGGCAGCCAACCTCTTCTAATCACTTCCTTACATAGTACATAGCACCGTAGACTACCTATGTAGATCGCGCTTGTGCTACCTAGTTTCGTGACAGTTTCGTGACTACCTAACTTAGTCAGCGGTCTATTGTGACCCGGCTCATGATCGCCAACTAACCATCGGGCTATCATGATCTACCATTGGCGATAATCGATATTACTCTTCGGGTCCGAAATTTCCATCCGAAGTCCCAGATAAGAGACCGAGTCAAGCTCTTCATGAGCACATGGGATGTTACGTGAGGTTGGGGCTACGTAGGCCGCGCACCACCACCGTCACTTTCAATATCGTCTGTAGTAGTAACTATCCACATAGTAGATAGTGCCAGAGAAAAGGTGGAGGGGAGCATAAACCATCGTCAAGGCTAGTTACCAGCCACCATTTAGCCCAGAGTTAGGACAACTCTCCGGGGTCAAGATCGAATATGGTCATTACGCAGTGGATAACCATCGCTAGCTCCAGACTAAATAAGCTACAGCAGGACAGGTTCGTCTGACCTGGGGATAGGTACAATATCGTCTGAAGGGTCTCACTCCCCCAACTCTTAACACAACAGAAATACATAGTAGGTACCAATATCACGCATACAGTAAGACGAGGATGACATGATCAAAAGCTACTGCTATGTAGGCACGTAAACGCGGACTTGGCAGCATCAATTGCGTTCCACCTGCACTTCACCACTGTTGGTGCATATGCCTGTCCAAGAGCGAGCTCTGCGTACAGGATATATGCTTCGAATCGCATTTACTGTGCCTGTTTGACATCTAGATCTGCGGGTCTCGTTTCCTGGAGCCGATCTCTCGGTATTCGATACCTTCATGCATTCATCAGCAGGCTCCAGACCGCCACATTTCTAAACACGACCATCCCGGACAATCACCCATTAAGCGTCGTTCCCGCTTAATACCTAAGTAGGTAGTTTTGAGGCTGCTGCACACCACCTTTATATTCTTGCTCAACGGCTAGGTGCCTGGAATATGCTTGTGTCTGACCACCTCGAAGCCAACCCTTTTGCCCACATAAAGCTCATCTTGTTGCGCCTATCGCATCGCAGTCGACGATACATGCCCAAACTCTAGCCCGTTGCTTTTGTCTGCAGCCTTTACAATCTGCCGTGCACTAACCTCGGGCGTATTGCGCATTACGACATGTCCCCCGCCTACACGACCTACAGTCAGTCCCGTCGGTTATGCAGGTAGGGTTGTTTTTCTTAATTAGAATCTGCGGTCACCCTAGAAAGCTGAAGGGTTGGGGGATATCGGATCTGACGCTCGATAAATATGCACAGCTTACGACTAATCCATTAAATGACACCCGCTGCTCAAGGTTGTCATCATAGATATGACTCTTACTAAACTACTGCATCAACACACAGGTCAACGAATGGGCATTGCTCCGTCCATCGGCTTCATCAGAGAAGCCGTTTGTGTGACACTCTTCGTATTTGCGTTGGTGATATGCAAATGGGCCAATCTCCCCGCACGCAACAGAACTAGAATCCTTACGGCTGACGTACGTCTCCAGGACATTCACTCAACCCCAGGTTCAGATTAAGCGAGCCAAAGATGCCAGACCCAACCCTTTGTGTCTGCTATACAATACTGACCTTTCACTGGTCAGATACGATCGATCAAGCGTTTCCGATGAGCCAAGCGATTATGCTTGTCATGAGTGCTCCTTGTAAAATGTTGAGAGAGCACGAATCAGAGGCCATGTACCCAGAATATTAAGATCGCCCGGTATGAGTATCGCAGTAATGCTAACGCTCGGGCTTCACCACTTCAGCCGGCCCGCAGATTTGGTTTCGCACACACGGCATCAAAGGACACCATCGAAGGTCAAGTATATCAAACCGTCCGGATATAAATGCCCTCCCTGACTTACAACTAGTACGACGGTGAGTTAAAAAAAAATAAATAATAAAAAAAAATAAAAAAAACCTTGCATTACTTGATCAGCTTCTATCTCTTATGGTCATGGCATATATCCACAATGCCTGGATTCTACCGATAAATCAGGAGCATAACTCCTTTCGAATCCTTGAAGCGCAGCCCGCTACCTATCTCACTAGGTCCAGAGACGAGACTTGTCACATTCATACTCTGACCGGTACCGGTAATTGACGTTCTGTTACTGAGATTGAGACGCAGGTCCCCGTGACAACACGCTCATGCCATACATAAAACATAATAAGTCGTGACACACCGGCTGCTTAGCCCCCCTTAGCGAAAGCGATATGTAGTATGTACTATGTAGTAACCCCCAACCCAACGACATATGAGCAATCATGAGCAGTCAAGTGCCGGGTATTTCTGGCTACCACGAGGTACAGTTTCAAAATCGTAATACCCAAGTTACTCCCCCTTCTGGCCTCAGCAAACGCGTACCCCTGTTACCATGCTGGCAATCATTCAACGGCTCCGATGTATCACCATGGACAGCACCACGGCCCTCGTAGGCTGAAGGAGGGGCTATAGGTACTGCTAAGTTTAATCAAGCCTTGTAATAGGGCCGGACGCCCAACGTGTGACGGAAACGTCTTGGCCCCTGAGACAGAAGCCACATGATTATCTAGCCGCGCGGTGGAGGGTGGAACTTTACTAACAAGCGTTGCCGCCACAAGCCTGTCAACGTCATGGCAATTTAAACGACTTTTATCTCCCTTGCGAATACCACAAGTCAATCACAGAGATCCTGAGTAAGTCCTGATACATGTCCAACATGATGCACTGGTGGTGATCTGTCAGACTGCAAAAGTAGTTTATTTGCACTACCTATGTTTGCGGCGGGGCTGTTGTACACAACAGGCCCTCATAGCCAACCAAACACAAGGCATCGGGCACAATTCTTGCTGTCTGTCGTGCAAGAGGGGCTCTGAGAAAGCTCCCTTCGCAAGTTATTCCTGCACACTACACATACACAGCGTCTCTACTCTCCAACAGCGCACATCTCGCCCATTCATATAGCAGAGCTGATAAGGGAAGCCACACCAACCTATGGTTGCATGTTCCTTTACTGTCGCAATGCCTCCCTGCCTGCCTGCTTATCTCCCAGGGACAAACAATCGAGGGGATAGGTCCAATGGGAGGAAGAACCTACAGGCAAACATTACATAACTACCTCCCCGTCAATTACCAGTAAGTCCGGTTAAGCGCAGAGAAAATGAAATAAATTGGGGAAGACGGATATCGGGCGTATTTTTTATATTCATTCCCTGCATTCAGGTACACAATGTGACCGGTCGACCGGCTGTGCGCATAGGTACCCAGGTGTGTATGGTATGTGCGCTTTTTGAGATACGTCATTTCCATCCCAAATTCATTTCCTCGCCTACCTTACACGTGGTTCTCACGGTACGGGAGACCGCGTCTCGTGCATTCGTACCTGATTCCAGTTAACTCAATTAGCTGGGGGAAAAAAATATCTTGGTTCCGTTTGACTGAGTGCTTTATATGTTGGAAAGGGGGATGACATACCTTGATGATTGGTCTGATATACTGCACTATGATATCATTCACTATTACATGGAAATACAATGGTAGACGATTGTGCATTCTTTAGGCGTTCTATTGAGTTGCTCCGAATAGTAAGTGTAAACATGTCCTCGCTCAGTGAAGCGAGAGTGTATCAATCAGCTCTCTCCTTCTCATGAAAATACACAAATACAATACCGGACTTGATGCTTCAACACTAGCCTATCTCTTAAGTTGATCTCCTGGATACCTCGGCACGGTAGGTGATACTAGCGAGTAATTATCAACAGTATCATTTTATGACGTAATTCCTTCACAATTCAAACAGTGACTTATAAATCAACTTGACTCAGATCTTATGCAACCGAGGGTTTTATAAGTTAGTTATTCGGGTATTGGCCTGAGTGAAGTATTGGTAATAGGCTACATAGAGGGTTGTCATTCGATTTCTATGTCCAACCCCATGTGAGACTCCTTATCCACTTCGAGAACGGTTACATACACAAAGAAGATGCATAGTCAGATATGATTCATTGTTTAAAAAAGACACAATCTCCTTGTCATGGGTGATACCTTAAAACAAGCTTTAGAAAGATGCTATTCGTTAAGCAACTAGGCAAAAGGCTGTGCCTATGTGAATGGAACTGTACTTAAGAACAAAGATAGAAAAACTAAGCTGCGAGTTGATTTATATCCAGTGGTAAAAAAAAATCAAATTTATCAAGAATTTTCATAATTATTTATTATTGGCTACTACTAAAGCTTACTTTCTGCAATCAAGTAGGTGAGTAAAAGGTAGTCAAGGGTCAATGGATTAGTCAAATTGATTCCTCAACCTTCTCGATACTTGTCTAGAGCATGGCTACACCACTATTCTTACCATCGCAGGAGACTGAGATATATCCTACAGACGCCGGCATCTGTAGGTGGTCTGTTGTCAAATGCTCTCTCAGAGGTTTGAGGGCGTGGGGGGCAGGCGACATTTGGAAATACTCGATTGAAGATGGCCACTCATTAATGACTTGACCCAGAAACATGAATGGTTCTCGACGAAGGCTGTTTTCGAAATCAGACACGGTCTATCGATCTACGCCAGCGTAGAGTTCTGGTTTAAGATGTGCCGGACGCTGATAGTTCACACGCTGGGTGAGCCAAATTAGCGTTTAGTGCTTTCGAGCCGACTTAATTGTGGCAAGCAAGACGTCTTGATTACTTACGGACGAAGCCCTGGCACCATAATGACGCTCAGCCTTCTCCTGCATTAATTGGCAAGAACTGCATTTGCCAGGGATTGTTTGCGTGGCTGCGTCTCGTTTGTTGGGACAGTTGAACCCGGCCCCTATCGGACAAGGCTGAGAGACTCGAGATTGGCCTCGGTGGCCACATTGGTGAGTAACGGAGGCGATTCCACACATTACCGAGAGTTGAAAGATATGGGATTGATACTGAGTATAGGTAGTTTGCGCTTGGATTTGAGGTAACCAAGATGATGATTTATTTGCTTGAGGGTGCAAAGAAGAGCTTAGTGATAATAATAGTAGTACTTCTTTCGTTGAAGGCTTTCCGCTTATTTATGCTTTTCCCTACATTAAACAATGTCATTATGAATTACTTTCACAAAGATCCTGTTTGCAGTTACAAGGACATTGTATGATATTATAACAAAAGAGCTGTAAACTAAACTACATAGATGTGAGTAGATACACTATGCCTTGTTGAAAGTGAATGCCATTATGTTAACGATGGTACATTTGCTCAAAGACTTTCTACAGTACCATTAACCATTTCTTTCAAGCGATGGCTTCCTAAAGTCCAACAATGCCCAAGAACACGACTGAAGTTTCGATTCGCTGATAATTATAAAGTTTCCAACCACCCCCCCCCCCCCCTTTCTGCCATAATTTGAAGTCAGAATAGAGGTTTCCCCGTGCCCGCAAGTAGTTCATCTTGTCAACGAAGCGAAGAATAAGAAGAGGACTGTGAGGCTAATAATATGTAGAGTAGCGGTGAACGAGCTAGTTCGTACTGGACCATACGACTTTCAGTAGGATGAGTGAGTTCTCATGTGGCAGGTGGAGGTAAGGCTAATTATAACTGATGAGATCTACTCTGCGCTGTTAGTTGACACATGAAGCAGATAGTAGCAATTGAACCGTTGAACTAGGCGTTAACGACAAATACTCTACCTTTGCCGGGTTCTCGTTATGATCAACTCAAGTAATGCAGTGCACTAAAAGAAGAACAATCCCCCATCCGGCCCCTCCAGGGCATATGTGTTGCCGATGCCGTTTTTATATCCGATTTCAGCCGGGGGGTGTTTAATTCTTTGATATTTCTATGGCTCTCACAATGTCTTTGTGTCTTTCATTTCTTTGTGTTCTAGAATAATAGAAACTTAACTCTTTCGAAGTCTCCGTGTTGTCCTGGCAGCATAAACAGAGTGTTCACTATGATTATTTCAAGGCCGACTACTGGGGATGTAGCGTTACATCAGGGAGTGACCATGTGTCCGTCGTAGGAATGCATCAAGCTGCTTTACTTGCTGTATGTGTACCATAGTAAGCCTTAACACGTCAAGTAAAGGACTACCACAAAATGAATATTAGAATGGAGCGATTGCCGCATCGAATCACATTGTTGAAATTCGAAATGAGGCCTGATAATCTAGACGCAACCTGTAACCAGACCTTGGATATGCCGTACAACCGTAATGCAAGTTTGCAGTGTACAATAGGAGCGAAGATCACATCTTCAAATGGACATGATGCGTGATGATCACTGTAAACTTGGGCCAAGCTAACGCATGTACTTAAGCGTGGTTAGGCAACGGCTCTGCATTGGCGCTCTCCACTCACGACTTACAGTAGCAAAGCCTCTTGAAGGGTTGCTGCGCAGCTCACGATGATTGGCTGGCAACTACAATCTTTCGCCTCTTTTTCTGGGGCGCTGGGTAGCATCTGTCTTCCACATCCTCGCCAACTACAACATATGATATAATGATGACTGATGTAATATGGATCTTTCTTCGGTGAATGAATCCCAGTCCGTTGCGTATTGACGGTAGTAGGCAGGCGAGACAGGCGAGCAGGGTGCACACTTAATATAGTATGCCACGCCTTGATCTTCTGCTGGGCCTGGAACTGAGAGTAATGACGACAATAGAATTGCTTATTGTGATGTCTGTGGGATCTTTGAACCTTGGCGCTGCGTCTCAAGTGGGTGGTCAGCATCGATCACCTCATTGATGTCAATGAAGTGTTCGCTCATTATAAAAGAAACGTGGTAGGGCATGTCGATCTCAAGAAATGGTTTGGATATCTCGTTCTCCTATCTTCATTATCAGCTCACTCTCACATCACTCTCATATATCACAGTGGAATCGAATCAACAATTCTCATTGTTGAGAATACTTGCCTGTTTAGGAACCTTCCAAATTCGACCTCACACTCTGTTACCAGTAGAAAGACTCAAAACGCGCATACCAAAATCATGTCCTCACGAAGCCGCGACTACCACCGCTCGCGCTCACGCGCGGACAATATCATAGACGCTCTTGAGAGCGGGCGCCTGCTCGATGCCGTGAAAGAACTAAACCCGTCTCGCTCAAGTAACGATCACCGACATCACCAACGTCGCCACCACAATACCCGAGCATACGACTACTACGATGAAGGCCCGCCTCGCCGCAGTCGCTACGATGACTACTACCCGCCTGAGAATGACGAGTATTACTACGATTCACGCTCGCACTCACGTAGACACCGGTCTGCGCACTCAGATCGACGCCACGACGATAGTCGCGGCCGAAGCAGCCACAAGCGGTCCTCAAGCTCTCATGGTAGCGGGTTGGATTTCAAACAGGTCGCTGGCGCAGCGGTGACTGCTGGCGTTATCGAGGCTTGGCGCTCGCGACATGACGCCGACAAGACGATGAGGATTGCTACTGCCGCTATTGGAGCGGCGGCGACGGATTCGGCGCTGGGAGGACGTCGGGACGGCAAGGATAAAAGGCATATTGTTGAGAGCGCGCTGGCAGGCTTGGTGGAGAACAGAGTCATCAATGGGCCGACGCGTTAAGGTCTGAAAGAATGAATATTAACAAACGAACGGTTGTCTGTTTGCAAACATATGATGAGTTATGAGGTATTGATTACGGCGGTTTTCTCAAACTTTTTTTTTCTCCAGGTGGTTATGGGATACTGGCTCTATGCTTTAGATCTCTTTCCCATTAGGAAACGGCGAAGGAACAAAGACGGAGGGTTAATTGTGAAACATCATTATGATAACAAGGTCGGCGATTACTATGTAACTACGAGTCTAGGAATAATGGAGGAGTTGATGACAAGAGAATTTACTCATTCCCAGTTCGACGATTGACATAAACGCCGCTCGTAATGTCTGTGCCTCGATCCCGTGTACTCTCATCATTCGTTGACCGCATTACCGGATCCCCTATGCTATGTGTACCCCTGGGCTGGATGGACATGCTTCCGACTCAGACACAAGAGCCCTGTGATCAGACGATATGTATCAATGTGGAAGGTAAGTAGATATAGCGTAGAGATAACTAAAGTAGTGGCTATGACTTGCCGGCCTCAAAGTCGGAATGTCATACACCCCAATCAAACCCACCTCCATTGAGAGCCTGTCCGTACAACATGCATGCACTCAACCAAACAGCAATTCCCCGGGAATCCCGTATCAGATCCCGATCCCTGCAGCCCCGGCCTCTGTTGCTCCGTGCCCCCTAGGCACCGATTCCGCAAATAGCCTAGGGAAAACCAAGAGCGGAAGTGAATGTTCTTTTTTTCGGGAGGTGGGGATGAATGAGCAAGGATTTGTTCCCTTACTTGATACAAGTAGATATTGCTAGTGTTAGCGTCTGAAGACATTTAGTCTTGACTCGACATCTCTTTTTCAGAGGGAAGTTGTGTGACAAAACGTCGAGAACAGGCACTAGTTCGGGGCGGGTGGGATTTTCATGGCTCGTATCATAGCACTCAGTATATCAAGTTCACAATCTCGTTTCAGGCGAGTCTACTACGCTAGAAGCTGAATACTTTGTTATGAAACTGAGTCTATGGAGATTACCGTGAGCAGGAAGTATGTCTTTCGACTTATCTTCAAGTTGGATATCACAATCTCACCACAATCTACGATATCACTAGCATATCATGTCCATCTCTAATGTTGCTTACAAGTGTTTGATAGTCATTTATCTAGGGTGTGGTTTATAGTTCCGTCTCTATGCCTTTTAGATCCCGATCGAGTCTTCAGTGTGACGATATGTCTCCGGGACCAGGAAAGCTGTCGATATATACACCAAGGTTACATCTATTCAGGGGTCATCAAAATGCACTCAATACAGAATTTACAGTGTTACAACCAAGGTATGTTCACCACGCAATCACAATATAATCAGGCCATAATAAGGGCAAGGTTAAGACATAATCAGGATTCAGACAAATATGAGGATTAGTAGCAAATAGAGAAAGTACTGAGCTGTCATTGAAGACCCCAGAGGAGCTATAGTCTATCAACGTATTGGACATTTATGGGTTCATAACAATTAGCCCATATATGCCCTGGCACTCACTGTCATGAGTCTAGGGATAGTTACAGATTAATAGACTCGCCGTATTTAGTTATCCCTTTAGCTCCCAATCCACCTCCGTGACATTGCTGACCCAGTCTTAATCACATGCTATGTTTCTTCCTACCCTTGCTAATGGATCAACATCACCAATACTTGCCTCTTCCTAGGGTGACACTAAAACTGATGTAGCATTTTGTAGTTATCTGTTTAAGTATAATACAAGTGCAAGAAATTTATATGGTTCTGATTGAATATTTAAAATCTTGGCAGGTCACGGAGGTGAATTGGGCTTTAAAGGGATAGCCTAGCCACAAAGGCTTCAGAATCTTCGTGCAACACTAAATGTCATACTGCACTCCTTCATGATTGTAGTTCTCGTAGGCGGCGAGCTTAATTTGCCACACATATTCACCAGACCTCTTTATGGGCCTTTTTTTGAGACTCTTTCTATTATACTATACATGTTGTGATTATTCATGGTATTAGTCACAAGATACAGGCAAAGAAGGTACTTTGTATATAGTATCAGCAGTAGGCAGGATACTTATGGAAGACTCGCGCAATAACAAGAGTCATATACACCCCTATACTCGAGATCGTGACAGTATTGTCCAGGGATGGGACCACACAAACCTATATGCTCCTCAAACGGCGAATCATTCTCATTTCGTATCCTAGCTCATCCGACCTGGTGTACGGGCACACCTTCTTTACTAGGCTTGCCGTAGAGTTACACTGGCGTGATTTTTGGCCTCCTCAAAACATCAATGGTAGGCAATGTGGATCTTGGAGTAATAATAAGAGAGATAATAGTATGCATGAGGTGTACTTGCAACTATTGGTTCAGGCTAATACAAACCAGCCATCTTTTACAATGGTTAGTCATATCCAGCCAGTGAAACATGTCGTCCGAGGTGCCTGGCGAGCCTGGTTGTGAGTGTGAATATTTTGTTGGTCGCGCGAGGATTCCAGATTCACTTGCTGGCCTACTCAAACGATATGCAGAGTACTTTTTTCCTGGTCCAAAAATCTCCTGCTGGCTACTTCTATGACCTCTAAGTTTTGAATGAGCCGAGATTTCGTTTCGGACCTTCTGCTTCCCTCTAGATGGCTTGTTAACGATAGGTTTGCAAACAATTTGGACGTTGCTTCTTGTTGGCTGCTGGGGTATCCGAGAAACTTCCGGGACGGTGATCCACTCATACGTCCGTTGTCGTAACCGCGTAAGATCCGGCTGACGGCAATGCTCTTCTAAGAAGCTTATATGAACCGGCAACTGGGGTTCACTTCGGTACCCTCAGAGATAAGTCTATGGGTTGGATGATCTCTGGTACATAGGATTGACACCACTACATGGGGTTAGATATGCATGAGACGCTTGATCCTAATCACTAATACAAACTTCTTAATAGCTGCATGAGTTTTCTTGAAACATCTCTTTTCAAAGGTTATTCGCATGTGCCTTAAAGACTCTCTGTGCCCCGTGAAATCGTACGATTATGAGTACATGATGAATAACTTTTAGGCGAGTTCTTGAAACCTCTCAATTCTCTCGTCCAGTCTTTGTTGAACCAGCCAGGGCAGCATTGCGTCTCAATGTCTTGAATTTGTGATGTTGTGTAATCACCATGTCTACCCAGCTGGAACTCATTAAGATGCGATTGGAAGATTAGACTAATGAACTAGTATAGGCAGATACCAAAACGCGAAAAGCTGAAGGGAGAAGAGACCCGCAAAACTAAAGGAGCTCGAGCGATTTCCGTCTAGGACCTAAGTATGTAGTAGTGTAGTGTAAAGACATGCATGAATGCGAGGGTTTCCCAGGGGAGCCTTGACTTGATCCATCAAAATCGCCCTAGAGTAGTCGATCAGAGTAAAAGTCCCTGATTTCCCCATTTGAGGCCTCGAGATGATTTAGTGCGCATTACTCATCAAATGATCCGTCGCGCTGCAAGGGAGACATAGCTAACTGACTCGGACATTGGCGAAAAGGATTACAGCAGCATTTTAGGGAACAGCCTAGAAAAAAAAATAGAAATAAAAAATTAAAGACAATCGGAATTTGAGAAAAATAATAAGACGGCAGTGGGAGTTCCGCTCATCGGAATAAGCTGACATACATACATACACTTAAGGTACGCTAACGAGATAGACGACCACGTGCGAGGGAAGCGGTGCGGTAGTATTCAGCGTTGTTTTTCAACGACCAACAATTCTCTCAGCTGACCATCGCAATGGAACAAGAAACTTGAGAGTATGTAGACAGAGGGCCTTGACTTGTGCCCTTTGATTTGCAGACTTCTATGCAAGGCCGCCAACAGAGACATGATTAATGATTAACGGGCTGTAACCAGCTTCTGGCAGGCCAACCATGTCTTTTCCGAATCGATACTTGGTGTCCCTTTGATGATGCGCGGGGTTTAGTGTAGCGTGCAGACGAGTGCGTGGCGTAACACAGGTCGTACATTTGCTACACTAGATTACGGCACATGGCCGACTCCTCCTGCATCTAGAAAGGTACAGTTGCAGCCTCTGGCTCTGTTGTTCCAGGGTTGGGAATCCAGAACCCGGTTTTCCTGGCGAGATTCCTACCAAGTATCTCAGCGCAAGCCATCCGCTAGCCTTTTTCAGGTGGACAGCTCGAGAGAGAAATACCGTACCTACCACCAACTGCATACTAGTAAAAGGCGGTAAACCTATCAGTAAACTTCGTGTCAACAGCCATGGTGAGATGAGATGAGCACCGAGCGCGAGGGATCAGGGAAGATTAGGTAAGTTGAAAAACCAAACAAACAGGGCATTCCCGGTGGTTGTGGCGGCTCTGATACCTAGTCAAGACACAAGCCGAAATCGCTGCATCAAACAACCTACAGTATCTGCTCGGCATGCCTGTATCTATCTGACTACCTATTAGATTTGTTGAGAAGGCCTCTCTTACCATGTAGTCTTTCGATAGCCTCCCAGCCGTGCAGGAGCAGACGTGCCGTAGGTGCCGAGACCTGAAGCTGAACAGAGGTCGATCCATGATGATGGGCTACGGCCCAATACGTCACGGGTTCTCGGTTGGTGTAGTCCCTCGATTTGGTATCGAGTGGAAGCGGAGGGATCTCGACGATCACCTCACTTCTGCATTGGGGCGTTTGTGCAGACATGCAGCCCTCCCAACATCTCAACCCCGGGCGTATCGATGGCCACTTCAGATAGGCTGGGCTGTGTTGTACGTACAAACCTACTGCATGCATGGACTACTTGCATATATATATATACACGTACATCAAGTGCGGTGGATGGTGGATGGTGTGTGCGAAGGTGTGTGCACCTGTGTGCTATAGTGTCGTTGGAGTTTCTCCATGTTTTTCTACAGGCCCGGTACTGTAAGGTCCATGCCATGTAGGTAGGGGGTTCGCTTCGGTTCCGTTCCTGGTAGACGAACGACAGCCAGCACCTGTGCTGCTCTCATCACCACCCGTTTGAACCACCCGTTTGGATGGTTTCATGGTGGGGTGATGGGGACAAGCCGCGAGCGTTTTTCAGTGTCTGAACGTTGGCTTTGCATGCCATGCTCCGCATACGTATATGTAGGACTGACTACGTATCCACCCACTTACCTACCTCCTAGTACCTGGTAGTAGTAGGAGCAGTAGGAACAGTCGTCGTACCGGTATCGTAGTGATAGTGGGAGGAGATGTTTACGCACAGACTGACGAATGCTACGTACATGCAGCTCGCAGCACAGGAACGGGGGCCATCGTGGGTTGAGCAACGTGCTGCTGTGAAGACGTATAGTACAGTACCGGGAGGTAGGCTAGTCTGCATTAGATTAGATGATTAGGGATGAATACGATCATACCTACTACTACTTGTTACAGTACGTAGACACGCAGATAGATAGATAGATAAACGAAAGCAAGACAGGGTAGATACTGGATGGCTTCGAATGGGCAGGTCGGAATGAGGGGGGATTTTCTTGACGATTGGCGATTGGCGATTGGCCGCACCAGGACCGGACCAGCCGAATCTCATTGGCCACTATTACCACTATTAACACTATTCACCACAGACGCCAATGAGCAACGACTCTCGCTTCTGTAGAGGGCCTGAAAATAGTCCCTTGCAGCTTGCATCAGCCATCAGCCATCGCTATCATCGCCATCATCACCACCATCATCATCATACTATCGTACTGACTTGGTCCGTCTGTCTGTCTGTACATGTGTATGACTACTGGGAATTAGTGGTAAAATCCCTAATGATGGGACGGATGAACGAGGATGACTGATGTCGTTCGTGCCCCGCGCGTGCGCTCGCCTCTGCGCACGAGAGAGCACGGGACTTTGTTTGCCCTCTCATCCCTCTTCCCTTTACTGTTTACTTTACATACAGGTCCTACAGGCTCCCTACGGGCTTCCGAGGTCTACCTCCATTACACGCTTGCTGTAGAATCCTTATTCTCGGTAGTTGTTCGATTTTATTCTATATTTCCCCCAAGTCATATAACTGTTAGTACCTGCGTACTCAAGTAGCCAGCCGACTTATATTATTCTAAAGTGGCGGCCATATGCCATGCCACCAGCAAGCAGCCCGACTGTTGTAACTGTTCTGGGCCCGCTCACTGAAACCGTCGCCCTTGTACTTTTTGATTCGGGCCCCATGTTCCAATTGCAAGCCAAGGTGCTACTCTACTAGGCATCTGACTAGGGTAATATCACCAACACGCTCGGCTTCCCGTTCCTTGACAAAGAGCCTCCTCTCACCCATTATCCGGCTATTAATACCGTCTAGAACCAGCTTGCAATGTCTGCAACTTGAGACCTTAGTCTTTATCCCCCCCTTCCTCCCTTCCCCCTTTCCATTCCAATTCGAAGCTTGCATTACGAATTAGCCCCCTCCCCCGGCAATCTCCTCGTACCAGTAGCCTATCCACCCTAAACCAACAACTCACCCTACCCACTCATCAATTGCTTACATACTCTCCCTGCTCACCTCACATAACTATAAGCAACAGTTGGCTGGCGAGTTGTTATAAAGATGCTGCAATCTTCTCAACCCCCCGTGATTCCTGCTACGGTACCCACCTCGACTTCCACCTTGACAACCGGCAACCCTATATCCAGCCCGGCACTACCACGAAAGATGCCGTTAACCAGCGGTTGGAGTTTGCATGTCACCGTCTACATTGCTCCCGACAATGTGGATCGTTTCTTGGCCGCCTTCAAACCCGTATTCAACAAGGTCGTAGCCGAGCCCGAGTGCCTCTTCTTTGAGATGTATCAGAGCCCACAAGAGCCCGGGAAGCTCAGTTGGGTGGAAAACTGGTTAGTCTTCCCACAGATGGAATGCCAAAAACCCGGCATTCTGAACTTCCAAAGACAAGGCTAACTGGCTTTCAAGGTCAAAATCCCCAGAGTGGTTTCTCGAGGTGTGTAGAAGATGGTACCATCGGTGAATATGAACGATGTTGTTGGTCACTAACTGCATTGCTCGCGCGGCCCAGAACCAAGTTACCAAGGACTACTACAAAGAATACTTCGCCATCACAGAGGCCATGTTCACCAAACCGCGAGAGTTCCAGTTCCTCGAGAGGGTTGGACCCGATTATTTTATGGTAAAGGACAGGCAATTCACGCAATAGCCGAGAAGAAACCTAGACAAAAAGAAAAAGCACCACTACCACCATCGCTACCACCACCAACAACAACAAGAGAACGGAGACCCACCTTTATTTCTGGCATGCCATGGAGTTGAGGATGAGATCTAGGAATATTTTCTTTGCGTGTGTTACGAGAACGGAATGACTTCACAATGTCCGGCGTTTCTGGTCAAGGGGGTCATGCATCGATACCGAAATCACAGCTTTGTGGTGGTTTGTGGCGAGGCTAAAACTTGTACACAGAGAATGGACAGCCGGGCTGCATGATCAATCCAATGAATGATGACGATAACCTGTTCTCAGCCACATATCTTCGGTTCTCACTTTGGTTTGCTACCAACGCGTAGTGACCTCGAAATTTATTTATATGAATATGTATAATATGTTTCTCGATGGAAACGTGTGTGAACGCCCACGAGACGAGCTCCCGGACGATAGCGCAGAAGGCATTGTCGCCGGTCCCGTCTCGGCTGATAACACGCCGTCCCAGGCGATGGCGCAACGGCACTTTCGCCGGCGAGAAGAGGTTTCCTTTCGTCGCAACAAAAGACATATCTCGAACAGACAGCGTATCCTAACAACTGATGGGGGTATCATACCGTAACGCCAATACGACTCTAGAGCGAAGGAAAGAAAGGATGACGTAAAACCATGATCCAAAGCAATGAAAGAAAATATAGGAAGAAAGTCGGAGTCGGAGATGGGAATGAACTACTACTGATAGCGCCAAGGCATTATCACGTTCACTCGTTCTCACCCAAGACCCACGCACATCGACCCTTAGCGATGGCGTGGTAGCACTTTCGCCGAAAAGCTAACCCCTCGTGATGCGCGTAAAAAAAAAGCCGCCAGCTGCCTGCATTGAGAATGAGAAGACGAAGACCGAGTAGCCCAAAAATGGTGACAAGAATTGTTGTCGACAGGTTGAGCTGTCCGATGGGGGTTTGTTGATAACATGCCAAGGCTATTGTTGAAAATGCTTGGGTGATATGGGTCCGTCACTAGGCAGAGAGGCCTAGGATCTCTGGCTCCACCATGTCCGACCGAACCCGCGTTGTTTAAGCTCGCGGCGGGCTGCACCATCTTGGAACGAAGCGGACTCGCCATCTGTAGAATTTCCGTTCTCGGTGGATGCCTTGCTAGGTTTGTTGCCCACGATCTGAAGGGCAATGAACATGACAAAACTGCTGATGATACTAACGGCGAGGATGGCGACCATGACTAAATTGCTATTTCGGTATTGGCGTGGCCCCGGCGCGGCATCTTCTGGCCAGCCAGTGTATAGGGCATATGTCGTGGTAATACTGCCTAGATTACCAAGACCTGAAACAAGAGCTGAGGCGGCAGCTACACCGACCTCGCCGTGTCGGCGCTGAAAGATCTCGTTCGTCCAGGTCATACATATAGGCACGGTTGGGCCTAATCCGAACCCGATTAGTAAAAGCCCACCGTAACGTGCCCACGGGTTCGTGGTTGGGGCAAATGTGACTGTTAACAGCCCTGCAATCTGGATGCTCGTAGCAGCCGAGAAGAAGAATGGGCGTAGCCGATGAAAGCGGTCGGAAATGGGCGTCACGAGGAGAATAGCAATCAAGTCCATCTATGAAAATTATATCAGTAAACCGTAGGGGTAGATAGTGTGGGGTTTGATGCTAACTTACGATCCAGATGGGTGCAAACAGTAGACTAAGTTGTACCCCAGTGAACTTGGGATTGATCCCTTTGATGATAACTGTTCCGTAAAGCTGGGTTCCAATGCCGACGCCGACAACGCCGAAATACATTAGCGTTAGCGGCCATAAACGCCAGTCGATCAAGATACCAAATAGGTCTTTGAGGGTCCAAGGCCGTGGGTGGTAGACGCGCTTGAGGTCTTCGTAGTGGATGAGCGCATCTTCACCAGTGAGGGCCTCGGGTGTTGCAGGAAGCCACTTGGCGATTCCGGTGCTGGTGCGTGGCTGTCCAGGGGGTAGCGGTCGGTCTGGCAACCACCACAGGAGAGAAATGCCTACGACGATGGCCACTAACCCGTAGATAAGGAACATCCATTGGAAGCCATAAAGCCCACCTCGGCCATCAATGAGTTGGAAACCAGCGGACACCAACCCAACTACAGCTGCTGAAACCTGGGCCGCCGTGAAATATTGGCCGATGCGCTTGCCCGTTCGTGAGGGGGGATAAAACAAGGTCAAGTAGTAGGCCATGCCTGGCCACATGCCCGCGATCACAACCCCAAGCAGGAACCGTAGAAACCTTCAGTCATGGCTATTAGTCTAACTTTTCTTTTTCTTTTTCATATCCGCCGGAGCTAATCTCAGCGACGATAGAAGACGCAGCAGCGACTATCTAGAAAGAAGATAAAAAAAAAAAAAAACTCACTTCAAGCTCCACGCATCCCGTACGGCAGTGAAAGAGGCACCAATGACACCGACGGCGAACACTATGCGGGCCATCCATGCGCGAGGACTCAACTTGCTCATGACGAGGTTCGAGGGGAAGTCGAAGATGACATAGGAGACATAAAAGAGAGCCAAGGCCGTAGAGATATCTTTAGGCGACAGGCGCAGCACGGTAACAAGGTCATGACCGACATCTGCATTCATCGTCTGTGCCAGGCCAATATTGGAGCGGATGGCGGAGCAAAGAAAGTACAGGGTCCAGAAGGCTGTCGGCCATCAGTGAGGGGATTCAGTGAGGGGATTCAGAACGAGAGAATGCGGCTGGTTATGTTGAGCCGATGGGGGGTACACACCGGGGATAATGCGCAAGTCGAGTTTCCTGTAGACCTTTTCGACACGCTCGACATCGTACTCGGGAGCCCGTGGCGGGAGGCCTGCTTCTTGACGCGTAGTAGCATCGTAGGATGCAGAGGAGTCCCTGGGCTGTAGGGCTTTGGTGAGCCCCTCAGCTGTGGCGTCGGCCATACTTGGACCGCTCAAGCAATGGAGGAGCGTGCTAGCAGTCCTTTTTGACACGACGCGGACGCTGGCGGGCGTGTATGTATGCCTGGGATATGTCGATTACTTGAAAGAGCGACGGCTGCCGTAAGCACGCATGCGGGCTAGGAGAATATCGAGATCAGGGTTCTTGTATACTGTTACAATATAATTAATTTTTGTCCCCGCGGGAGGACAAAAGTGGGAAAGCTAAGACGCAGAGGCGAGGCCGTGATAGCGCCATTTCCCCTGCGGGCCCGGTTCGCAGCCCGTAGAGAGCCGCAGTGCCACCAAGTAGGTATCTGCCTGCTTCCTTGCCTCATACTTTTTCATACTTGGCTATCTGCATCGTTCCTTGGAACAAATCTTGTGTCTACCTGGATTTATGTCTAGATCTATGTCTACTCGCAGCAGGTAGGCGCTTGTCTGTGCTGAGGACCACTTTTTCTTCTCCTTGGTATTGTATGTACCTACCTAGATATGTACCTAGGTACCTCTTAAGGGGGCCCTTGAGTGTGTAATATGTAGTTACCGCCAGGGTTTACATTGCTAGACTCTATATCAATCTTCGCAAGGCTTACTCGTAACGATTCAATAGACTGCAATCCGAGTTGGCATCAGGCCGCGCGTGTGGGCGGGCGAGATTAGCCTTTAAAACTTTCTACCTAGGTAGGTAGGTACCTTTCAATCCTATTTAATTAAACGAGCAGTAGATTTAGATAGGGTAGAACGCCTAACAGTCGAATATGTACAAGGTCATGGAATGGCCCATGGAGGAGCCACTACCAGCACTTACTAGGTAGCGTGTTGGGGTTTGCATGCCCCTGGGTGAAGCGACTGGCCGTTCAGCGTCTAGATTCATATACCTTTATACTTCTTTTCTTCTCATTAGACAAATGAGAGGAATGATGCAACTGTGAGCGACTGTGCTGAAGGCTGTGAGTCCGAGCGAATTGAGCCTCCTCATTAGTTCTAGAAGCTTGATAGTCTTCATCAACTGGACTAGTTTCGACCGTTCACATTTGTAGGTATGATATGTTGCTGCATTGGAGGTAGTAAGGCGTTTGGACGCAGGGTTATCTAGTACATGTTTGATCTGCCTCTGCCTCGACCCCGACCGCGGCCGTGAAACCCGCCGCGCCCGCGCCCATGTTGTTTACCGTGAGCAAAAGTTTGAGCTTGGTATGGCATGGTTCCCGAAGACGGGGGTGGAAACGATCTTCTTTGCTCACTTTCGACAAGAGGCGGAGGGGGGCCCGGGGGTAGAGGCGGTTGCCAATTATGACTGTTATCTCGTCCACGTGAATTGCCATTCGTAGCACCGATGTTACTAGCGATTTTGATTGCGCCCCGGGCCTGAGGTTTAGCAACGGGCGCATGAATGAGATCGTCTTCTGACTCGCTCGAAACAAAATATGTATGGTTCTTTCTAGTCGCCCGTCCACGAATATGGAACCCTTTCCTCGTAAGCTGCTCTAGATCAGCATCAGCCCAGGCTATTGCAACGTCATCGCACTCTGGGTCGACATAAAGATCTCGAATCTCTTTGGACCATGTTGTATGACCAGTTGCTTTGCCGCCATTATTGGCAAGCGAGCATTCAGAGCCGTAATGATTTTCACCACCACATACATAGCAGAACGCCGGGATGTTCTTCACTCTTTTGATATTGGCATCTGAAGGTCTGAAGCTTGTCCAGATCTCTAAACAGTCCTGATCATAGTGGTCCGCGTTACAGAACGCACACCCGCCTAGCTCATCGGTGGCTAAAGCGAGTTTCTCTTGGCATTCATCGACGCCGTGTCCAACTTGATGACATTTGTCGCATCTGCGCCGTGTCGGACAGCCAAAGGTGTTATGGCCTCCCCGATTGCAGAATCGGCAGCTTGGCTCGGCATGGTCCTGGATGGTGTGCCTGGATCCCGTGCTTGATGAACGGTGCTGAGCCGAATCATCGGTATTTGAAATGTGCTGGAACTGGCGGGTGGGGTCTTCGTCACGGTTAGACGGCACTGAGTCCATCGTATCAACAATTTCAACTGTATGCTTTGCACTGCTGATCTGCCGCGCGTCCGCTAGCATGGCTTCAATCTTGTTCTTATCAAGAGAAGTCATGAAGTTTTGGGCGGCCAGTCGCACGGCAATGATTTGTTTCTTTGTGCCCTGTAGGTACCCCATCCTCTTGGTGAAATATAGTGACCACCCCGATCGCACCACTTTGTGAGTCACTACTTTGTCATTTGCTTGTATTAACTTAGCAACCCAGCTCTTCAGAAGCAAAGTCCAAAAACCTTCATCTTCAAGATTGCTGTTGGGTGTGGAAACCTGTGGGGAGTCAAGTGGGAAATTCCATGTGGCGTTGCTCGCCTCAAATGAGGTTACGCGATCGCGTGATCGAACACGTTTCTTCTCCTTTATAGTCTGCTGGTCCTGGTCCTGGTCTGGTATTGTAACTGCAGTGGGCGAGGTCCGAAGAGAAGAGATCGCAGGCTTGGTAGCAAACGTTGTTCGTGTTCCTAACGGAATACCATGATTCCAACCGGGGAGAGAAGGCGGTATGTGATTGCTGGGCACCAAAGATGTGTCTCTGTTTTCTTTTCCTCCCCCAGAGTTCTTGTCATTGCTGGCTTCTGAGATCCGACTTGAGTCTTGTTTTGACCCTAGGAGGGCAGGAGACGCCTCGGTTAAGACATTCAATGTGTTCGAAGGCTCCGGCCCGAGATGCGTTCCAGGGGGAAGCGCGGTGTTAAGTAGTGAAGCAACGTGAGAAGCCGATGGTGATTCCACTATTTCACCGTCGTCTAAGCTTTCCGAGTCGCTTCCACTGGCATCACCGTCATAAGCCAATCTTCGTTTCTTGAAGGCAAGCAATGACTCCTCGGGGCTGCCTTCGTCAGCCACAGGGCTGAGGCCTTTCAGCTCTTCACCATAGTCACGAGCGCGCTTCGACGGAGCTGGACTGTCTCTTGATGAGCCAACTGGCGCGGGGGGGTGGTCCATTAGGGTTCGCAACACGATGTGTATACCTGCAATTCATCAAGTTGATGCGCAGGCAACCTTAGGTAGGTATTGCGGCTCTTTCAAACCAGGTAACCTGGGCTAGTAGGGCCAAATGCAGGTGGCGATCCCCAAGACATGCACATATCCCACATCCACCTAAACGCGGCAAATAGATACTTACCTACCTAGGTACATGCATGTATCTTGGCACGGCAGGCATAACCTGGTTACCTACAATAGGTAGGTACCTGCCTATGTACATAGGTATAGGTACCGCCTGCCTGCTCGCAATGGACAGCTGCCAGCTGAAAGGCCTTGGCACCTCGGCCGGGACAGCTCCTTTCCATCCCGGCCTCAACCAGCAACCAATCTGTCTCCAGCCAAGTCATCAGTGCTATTCGCAGCATTCGTCATTGAACCAGATCTCCTCGTTCCGTCTACTTCTCTACCTTGTCCGCGGCGGTGCGCCCACGCACCCACGATACGTTCTTCCGGCCTTTTATTGCCCTTTCCACCTCGACGACCCGGCGATCCGTGACGGCACATGCTTTTCTGTGTCTCTGGTCTTTTGAAGTATCGCTAGCCGTGCGCTTTGCGTCGGTCTCGGCCAACTCGACGGCGTCTGCGCCCATCAAACATCACAGACCACGAAAAGTAGCAATATAGCGGTTCTCTGATAGTAGCTTCGCGGCTCGATTGCCTGTGGCTTAGCTTTTGTCTGCCCGCCCTATTGTTTCTCCCTTCTACCCACGAGATACAACGTCCCAAGGCCATTATATTCGTTCGTCGAGCCGCCTACTACTCTGCGCACCCCCTTCACGAATCTGATCAATACCGCCAAACTGTCTTCTCCAATTCTCATTCCCCGGACCGTCTCATACGACGTCGGTACCAATCCTCCTCGACGGGGCACCGCCTACCAAAATCCCAATATGGGTGACCAGAAGCCTGGTAGGAGGAGGAGATCTAGTAGTATTCTTCAGATCTACCAAGAGCCATTAGAGCCTTTAGAACAGTTGAGCGATCAATCTGCCCTTCCCAATCTCAATGCGAACTGGGTCAACGCCAAAGGTATGTGCTAAGCCACGTGTGAGAAGTGTTGCTGCAAGGCGGGTGTTAACGCGCATTGCTTCCAATAGGGGCGTGGACAATCCACATCGTTTTGATAGTCGCTCTTAAAATCCTCTGGGATGTCATTCCGGGTGTCTCACAAGAAACTTCTTGGACGCTGACCAACATATCTTATATGTTTGGCTCTTATATCATGTTTCACTGGGTTCGTGGCGTCCCATTTGACTTCAATAGCGGCGCCTACGATAACCTAAACATGTGGGAGCAAATTGATGACGGTGCGCAATATACACCGGCCAAGAAGTTTTTACTCAGCGTACCTATTGTTCTCTTCCTCCTCAGCACGCATTATACTCACTACGATCTCGCATACTTCACAATTAACTTTCTGGCTGTTCTGGGCGTGGTGATACCAAAATTACCCTTCGTGCGTTGTCCCAACCTTAACAATATTACTTTTCCACTAGTCAGAGTATCTAACTCGGTTGCAGAGCCACCGCATGAGAGTTGGTCTATTTTCGGGGGTACCTGACGACTGAAACCTAGTCGGGCTTGAAAGAATGAGGCTGCTCGGGTAATCAAGTTGGCTTGTGGATACGGTTAGTTATCGGCATTGCTTGGGGAAAATGAAGCTGTGTTATGTGTATACGATAACTTTTTTGACAAACTAGATATCAAAATCCGGGGCTGAGCATACTATAGGAATACATACAGCTTGGAAGAGAAAGCCCAGCAAGTCTTGATTATTTCTTTGCATAACTGGCGTCACACGAACTACAATTCAAGCTCGAGCATCGTACCTATGTCCTGCTATTAAGCTTCTGCTACGGGAGTTCTCATACCTAGTATTTTAGGTGTTGCCTGCTTGCATAACAAGATTTTCCAATAACTGGCACCATCTAGAAAGAGAGTTATGGATCGGCTTGCATACGCATTCAGTCTCGCCGTCGTCTGGTTTTGAGTGCAATCGCACCTTAGGTCTACTGGTAGATCCGAAGACTTGGATATTTGACACGAAAACTTGCTTCAAGATGGGCTGACAGTATATGGATTGAGGTATATGTCTTTAGCAGCCCCCTCTAACTCATTTCTCGTACACCCTCCCAGATTCAACTACTAACGACCCATCTCGCGAATTTTATAAGTCCCTTCAACTCAATCTACGCATCGAAGCGTCGTGTAAGATGAGGCTCAGCACGAGTCTTCTTGCAGCCCTGGGCCTTCTGGCCCAGGCATGGCAAGCCTACGCACAAGGCGATCCAGCTATTCCTGTTATTCCCACCCCTACTGCTAGTCTCACGATTCCTCTTACCACTATACTTTCCGGCATTCCTCCTGGTTCTCAAACAGCCACTTCAACTACTTCTCATACGACCACTCCAAGTTCAACCACTTCTCACACAACTACTACAAGTTCAACGACTTCGCATACAACCACTCCAAGTTCAACCACTTCCAGCACAACTACTACGGGTTCAACAACTTCGCATACAACCACTCCAAGTTCAACCACTTCTCACACAACTACTACAGGCTCAACCACTTCTCATACTACTACTCCAAGTTCAACTACTTCTAGCACAACTACTACAGGTTCAACAACTTCGCATACAACCACTACAAGTTCAACCACTTCTCATACAACCACTCCAAGTTCAACAACTTCGCATACAACCACTCCAAGTTCAACGACTTCTCATACTACTACTACAGGCTCAACCACTTCTCATACTACTACTCCAAGTTCAACTACTTCTCATTCAACCACTACAGGCTCAACTACTTCCCATACTACTACAGGTTCATCAACTACAAGTTCAACCACTTCTCATACTACCACTACAGGTTCAACTACTTCTCATACTACAAGTTCAACTACTTCTCATACAACTACAGGTTCATCAACTACAAGTTCAACCACTTCTCATTCAACCACTACAGGCTCAACTACTTCCCATACTACTACAGGTTCATCAACTACAAGTTCAACCACTTCTCATACTACCACTACAGGT